TCTTTTATTTTTAGCATACATTGCCATACACAAAAAGAACAGAAAATTATAAATTAACTGCAATAAAAAATTGACTACAATATTAGAATAAAATTTTATATTAGATGCTGATCAGGTATATTTGTGATAATTATGTAAAGTCTTTTTTTGTGAAATAATCTTGAAAAATAGCAGGTAATGTTCCAAAGAAGGATAAAAGTGTAATGAGATCTACATGTAATGATTGAATAAAAATGTTTTGGCTTTTCATAAACTGAGAATTGTCTAAAATAAAAAGGCAGAGCTGTCATTAGGGGCCGTAACCCATAACACCTGTTACAGCTGAGCTCACTTGATGTTACAGGTGATCAAAGTGGAAAGCTGAAGGTGGTAATTTAAATTTTTGGGACCTGTATTGGGTGAATCTTCATTTGCTATGGCTGTTTCAAAACGTAATGACAGCCCTGAAAAGGGATGGTTATATCTCTGTAGAGCAATCCTTGGGGTTTTTTTTTTTTTTTTACACCAGCATACTTGCCCTCTTTGGGTCACAGAAGATTGCTAGCATTGGGGGTTTACCTGTACTGTGTATTTATTAATTGTGATTGAGTACTTTTAAGTTTTATAATATGTATACGCATAATCAGTTCTTGTTTTGCCAAAAAATGCTTTCCAAAATATGGGTTTTCTTATTTACGATGTCAGCTAGAGCCAAAAATTGGCACATCATGCTTGTTAGTTTCAGCCGGTGAGAAATTTGGTACATCAAGTACAAACTTGTCCAGTTTTCAATTCCAAACCTTTGTCAAATTCATGGTTGCATGATTGATGCATGCACAGCAAAACATTAATTTTTGACATTGTTTCATTTTCTTCAACAAAAGACCAATTTACATAACTTAAAAAAAGGGTAAGAAAATACATGTAACTTAAAAATAATATACATTTCCTTTCTTTAAGTTCCATCATGAGGTCACATAGTATTACATCTTTCTGATTGTTGAGTGTTGGATTTTCTTTTGTACATGTATCAAATTCATCCATGAATTGGCTCACAGGAGGCAATGACTATGATCGATAAGAGTGCAGTCAGACCCTTCAAAGTATTATTGTACACTGTAGCATCCCATCAACACTGTAGCCAGTTTCAAATAGTAAGTTGTTCGTAATTAAATTTTTATACCATCTGGAATATTAAGATAAAAAGAACTGCTGGTAAATGAAATTATAAGCACCACTTTATGGACAGCTCATTATTACAGACAGTTTTCTTTGTCCACAGAGAACCCAAACAGTGTATTAGCTAAGAAATAATAATTTAGATGTACATGTAGTAACACTGTATTAGCTTATAAGATAGTTATCTTGAGGTGTAACTGTCGCATCCGACTCGCCTGACAAGCAAGCATTTGACACTGGCAATGTTAACGATCTCTGATTCAAATCCCTTGTAAAACGAATCATAAAGAAACAGGAACACAGGTTCTTACATCTTATGTTATTAGCTACTACAGCATAAATGCATCTTAGAATTATTCCATTGGCTAATACAGCATTTGAGTTCACTGTGTCCAGTCTTTGGGCCGTAGCAAAAGGGGACTGCTCTACAATGTACACTGTAGCTGTAAGCAAAGTACCAAGCTTTTTGAGAAAAATCCACTTTTCAGCATAAAACAACCAAATCTGGCTATTTAATGCAAAATCAGGTGAAAAAGTCAGCAAAAGGCGATTTGTAGGTTTTTTGATTAAGGGATAGGTAGCATGATGGTCATGGACCGCTTGCATGTGTATATCCAACAGTGTTTATTTACTGTGCAATATCAGGGCTGTCAAAAAGTTTTTAAGTAGCAGGCTCATAATAAAATAATAGTAGGCGGCTTTGGAACTTGCACCAAAGGATTTTGTTAGAGTCTCAGTAATGTCCCAGACCTTCCACGACATTGCACCGTTCTAATGTTTCACAGATCTAATTACTGTTTAAATATGCATTCAATGTGATTCAAACCTGGGAAAAACCTTACAGGAGTTTAAAGTTTGGAGTAAACTTTTAGTCTTCATGAAATTTTAGTTGGATCATGTTGATGAATGCAGTTGTGTAGGATATGCAGTTTCCTATTTTGATCTTCTGTCAGAATTATGAGAGAACTCTCAAATACAGATCTCATTCAAACATTATAGTTTCATTGTAATTATCATTTGTTTCTTTTCCTATAAACTTCTCATCAGGTCTACATTTTGCATGAATTTAATGTTACAGTGAAGTATTTTTCATTTTTTTTTTTTTATATGAAGTTGAGTTTCTTCTTAGTTGTTGGCTAAGGCAGTGTTGAAGTAGTGACATGCTAACATACTTTATTGTTCATTTCTCTTCAGAAAAGATTGATTGATCCTGAATCAAACAAAGTGCAGCTTCACAAACAAGATTTTTGAAGAACAAATGTGTATTCAAGCAAAGTATATGTCCCTGACAGTGTCAATAAAATTTATTAATGGCAAGATCTGGGTTTTTACTCCTTTGTAGCACTTTTGACTACTCATCACTTTTCTAACCTATATAGTAAAAAGATCATATAGTATAATCAGTATTTTTTCCAACTAACATATTTGCAATCAAAGTTCTCTTCTTTTATATATAGTATTGCCCTAATTTTAAAAATTTCATTATCTTATTCAGATCAAGCACAGTAACCATTGAAAAGAAAGAAAGAAAAAAAAAACCTGCTCGGTCATAGACGGTTTTAAAGTTTTGATATTAAAATTGCAATGAAAAGAACTTGAATGCAGACACTACAGTTCATTTAGCTCATGTTCAAGCTTTTTTTTATAAATTAGAAAGTCTTGCTGGAGAAGACATAATTTTGCTTTATCTTTTCGGTAAAAAAAGTAATAAAATAACTTCCAGGTGTCTAAGCAATTTCAAAGGACCCATAGTGTCTTATTTCTCCGCTGCATAGGGCTGTGAACAAAGGCCGTTCTTTCTAGTGACCCGGCTTTCATCAAAAATATTGTTGTCCTTCGTGATCGTGAAGAGTGCAAAGTTGAATCCGGTAAACCTGCCAAAACGCGAGCATCGCAGGGAACGAATCCCATAGGAATAGGTGAAAAAGGATAATAAAAAGTCTAGGCTATTCTAAAAATATCCGTATATGCATTTGCAACTCATATTAAGCCGCAATTTCACTTCTTTCCACTGGAATAAACAAACGATGGATGTATTGCCGCCATTTTGAATCTGGCAATGTCACGTGGTCGCGCGTCGACCAATCAGACAATTTTCGCCGGTGAAACTCCACAGTATGGCCAGTACCTAACGCATGCGCACAACCATACCACCCTGGCAGCCATGGACAGCTGTTTCCGTTTCATGAGGGCTCACCAACATGGCATAGGCATAAGACCCCGGTACGATCGAAGTCTTTTACAGAGGCCCCTTAAGGCCGAGGCGAATGCAAACGCACCCTGTATTAGCGATATTTGTTCGACTCAATTTAGGTTCAAAAATGGGGCCAAGCACGTATATGTCATGTCGGACACTGAGCAGTCGTCGATGGTGGTGGTTCCAGATCATATGGAAACAAAGCTTAAGTGCTTAGACACTGCAGTAGGCATCAAAGTAAAAAAAGCATGAGTGGGAGGGAACGTTCATGTCGGGCTCGTCTATCGCGCTTCCCTTTTTTCAGTGCCAAATTTATGTCACAAACGGGCATCATTTCTTGCTAAAACAATAAATAACCAATCAGTATATTTATTTTCTAATGACGTTTTGATTACGAAAAGTTTCTTTTAATATGGCTCGCAGAATCTTAAACAATAATCTGGTTATACAATGATGTGAATGCTACGCGCGCTGTGATTGGTCGTTGCCCATGATCTATTAGAGTTTATATGTTGTAGACGCTCAGTTATGCCTTATTTATATTTATAACGGATATTATTTTCTGATTTTCACTTAACTCAGTTCTGTTGTGCGATGACATCAGTTTACTACTATTACCAGACCTTTTCAGGTTTTAGCTTCCTCTGAACTAAGGAGCGACTCATTTCTAAGATTCATTAGTGACGGTCCTCTGGCATCTAAATACTGAAAATGAGCTAACAACAAAAAACGAGAAGTCCAAAAACTTCTGCAAAGCTGATGACAACGTATATTGATTTTTTCAAACAATATTTCGGCTGGCAATACCAGCCTTCATGAGTTGGTCATCAACAAAATATTTTCTTTGAATAATGCCTATCAGCCCTAGCGAGGAAGGGGGGGTGTGAGGGGGGGGGGGGGGTGGGGAAGCAGACTTCACTATATAAGCTAAAGAGGAATGTGCAGCGCCATACGGGGTGGCAAGGATAGCATGCCGCAAACCCCAAACCCAGTTTTCCAAAAGTACCCCCCCCCCTGGCCTTATCACGTACCTTTGAATTAAACCCCGATTACAACACAATAAAAAAAAAAAAAAAAAAAAAAAAAAAAAAAAAAAAAAAAAAAAAACAAAATATCATAAACATTTATAATAATTTTTTTTTATTTTCTAAAACTGTCTTGTACCACGCGTCACACATACATAAAAATATAAAAATAAATATTATTTTTTTAGAAGGCAGCGGCGGGGGGGGGGGGGGGGGGGGGGGGGGGGGGGGGGGGGGGGGGTGTGGGGAAGCAGACTTCACTATATAAGCTCAAGAGGAATGTGCAGCGCCATACGGGGTGGCAAGGATAGCATGCCGCAAACCTCCAACCCAGTTTTCCAAAAGTACTCCCCTCCCTGGGCTTATCAGCTACCTTTGAATTAAACCACGATTACGAGTATACCAACTTAGTTCGCGTGCCTCGCATTATCACTAGTTGCAGAAATCCTATCTCTTTTGTCTTTTATGTGCAGGCTTGAATAGCACTAAAAGAGAGGTAATAGTAGTTTAAGAAAAATTTCAAATTCGTACATGCAGCCTCTTCCCTGAGAATCTAAAGGTCGCTATTAACTACTTCTATTTTTCGCAAGGTATATGTTACTGTACAAACATTGATTAAACTAAGAGTCAAACATGTCTGCTAGGGATCCTCCTTGTTTCGTGATCCTATCGTCTTTAGCCTCTGCGTTACTTGAGTCGCCATCAGTTGTATCACTAGCGTTATTCACAGTATTCACAACTTGAAGTTCTATGGTTTCTTCGAATTCAGCATTTCTTTCATTGATGCAAGTAGAAGAAACTTGTTGAGAACCGACTGCTTTATTTTCAGCAGAAGAAAAATCACTTCGCTCGCTATTTCGCTTTTCAGTTTGATTACTTGTAATTAAAGGAGAGCAGTCACGTGATCTATCAAAGTGATGTTTTACTGGATGCCTTCTCTGGCCAAAAGACCGCACACTGGAGCAAGTGGATGAACTGGAACTAGTTGAACTGTGTGTTTTCTTATTATGAACAATCACCTTTACCTCACGATGAGAATACCCCGTACTTGTCGCTTTTGCTGCTCCTGCAGGTGTCTCTTCGTTCCCATCATACGTCACTATGGGTGTCAAATCTGCGCATTGAGCCTGTCCCTTGGTTGGAACATCGCTGACTAGTTGGCTGAAAGACTCTGCACTCATTACCCTTCCTCTGCCAGGCAGCTTAATTTTTTGGTGGCCACTTGTTGTCTCGCCAACGAAGGAATTATAGTTTTCCCTTTCTGGTGTCGTATTTTCGTGGTTTTGGAGGCGATTGACATTTGTATCTGTTTTCGAAATGGTTTTAACATGTTCTGGAATGAAGCAAACACGTACACAGAAATAAATCAACAAAGATTTCTGACCGTAGAATAGCAACCTGCGAAAACAATTGTGATACACTGACTAAAATACAGAGATTGCTTGTAACTTAAAAAAAAAATGTAAAATTTTACTGTGTCCGCGGAGCCAGGGATTGAGGTGCATCTTTGTAACATGACGAAAAACAGAAAGGCGTTTTGAGGGGTATTAGCAACGAAGACCCCTCTCCCCCTTTGGACGTCATATAACTCGTGTTAGATAATTTTGTATAGTCCACTTAAAATGGAAAAAGTTGACTTTACATCCTTTATAGTTGTTTGGTCGTGAGAAAACAACTAAAACATTTGCCATTTGTCCACCGCAAAACTCAATCCTCTCACTGACTAGAGAGACTAGGTTACAAAATCTTACCAGAAGCTCTTCGAAAAATTTTCTTTCTGTCCTCGGTTCGCTCCTGTAACGGAAAGGCAGATTTTTGACTCCTTAGCGAGAGATCTTAGAACAGAACAGGAGCACGTTTACTTGTGCGCTCATATATACAAAAAGCACTTACATGGTGTAACTGCAACATGAGATCACGATTGGAACTTTGAAGGTAGTTTGCCTTGGACCGATAGTAGTAGATTGCAATTCTAATAAACAAATAAAATAAAATTGTTTGGTACCCTTCCTGTGATGACTAAACTGCATTCTTCCGTTAATGCTGTTGGTTTGGAGTGTTTCCAAGGGCAGTCCAGTCTGTATCAGGTTGTGTAGGTTTGCGAGAAAGGAACGGTCTCACCCCAAAATGCCAAAATTTCACTGCGTTTAACTGGCACAGAAATGCTGGCTACGTACGCGTTACCTGGTTGTCATTGTTCTTGCTTTTGCACCATAAATTGAGTATAAAGTGTAGTGAAATAGCAGACTATAACTAACGAGAACGCTCTTACAGCGGCTTCCAGTCTTGCTTGCTTGGAGATTAGATGAAGGAATGAGGAGGCGATTAATTCTACTCGAAAGAGGATTTACTCGCTAACGGTTTTCTACTTCCCATTTTATCGTCTTCGATACTTTTTATTTATTTGTATCTGAATTGATTTAGTACGCGTGTTAGCGACGACCGGAAATACGTCTGCGGTCGCAGGCTATACGCGTGTGTAAATACACGAAAATTCAAGGGCCTCGATTCCAGAGAAATTACATCATTGCTAGAGATCAAAGAAGTGATTTACATGGCACGTCATTTCAATCTTCGCCGAAAATAAACCGCATGCTCATCACAAGAGCCATTTGCATACAATTAAAGTTTACAACACCCGACCATCGTAGTTTTGCTAATTAAGATTCTTATTTCTTTCGACCACTCAGTAGTGTTCACTTGTTCCAAAGTAATCAGCGCTTTGAAGCGGTGGAGTTCGTGGACCGACACGTTTCGGAAAAGCTCTAAATTTAATCGTTCCTAAGCTTTCTTCGCAAAACATGCGTGGCTTCGATCAAGCAACGATTCTTATTCCCAGTTTCCACGGTCTCCGCTACGAACACCTAGCACAATGACCCCCCCCCCCCTTTTGTGTCCTAAATTAAATATGAAGAAAAACGCGTCGTAGATTATGAGTCCCCCTGCTTGCGCAGGCGAGACTAACGAGTGTGTATCAATCCTTATCAATCCTTTCAATGCTTGTTGCTCAAGAAACCAGTTCTTCGCAATATATATATAAATACGGTATTTTCTCTCCTTCTTTTAGAAAGAATGAAGCCACTAAGCTTAACCCGGAGCGTCTATCTCTTATATGAATTAGGGGTAACAGTCTATTAATTTTTCAGCTATTTAGAGATTTATCTTTCCCGTCTGAAAACATTCATCAAATCAAAGCAGATAAGAATTCCAATCAATAGCGCCATAAGAACACCTTAGTGTTACGCCCTGATTGTTATCAGCTACTTACGTCATTATTATAAGCACTGGTATCACAACACTCGGGCCACTCAGGTAATCAAACACAGTGTTCAGCAGGGAGGGGCCATTATCGATCGCTTCTGTTACCACTACGTACATGTTATTTTTACCCCTGAGAAAAATTAGAAATTCAATGAATTTAACCAGAGGATCTGAATAAAGAGAACTGAAGTTTAACTTTTTAAAAACGCATGGTTCACATATTTATGACTTCCAACGCTTTTGTTGGAGGTGGGCAACACTGTGAGAACTTAGACTCATGGGGCAAATGTGAAATGTTACAAGCAAATATTGCCCTCTTAATGAAAACAGGGCATAACATTATATGATTAGCAGTTCGTTGGTTTCCATGCATTTTTTAATTAAGTTCGTTTTTCAGTATAACTGTTTCCTCTTTCTTGAGAATCTAGGCCGAAAAAAAAAAATTTTCCTATGGGACCAGTCTTTTAAAGTGAAATATTACTGTCGGTTACTTCATAAAAGTAGTATTATCGAAGGGAGATGTTTACATAATCGAAAACACTGTTAGTCAGAGAAAACCACAGTAAAAGTTTAGCTTGCAAGTCAAACAATGGATCATTAACCTTCTGATTCTCCGAGAATAGAAAATTGAAAAACGACTCAGTAACCAAAATTAAATTTGAATATACCTGAACGGACCGCACCATCTGGAGGGTTCAATCCTAAAAGTTTTTCAGACAAAAGAGAAGTTACAAGTCAGGTTTTCAACAAGCAATTTCAATATAAAAAGCATTACGCAAAACGAAAGCAAATGATAGTGACAATTGTTTTAATCAACATTTCTTTCTTGCTCTAGCCGCTTCCTCTGTGCTTTACAACAGCTAGAACAGAGCACAGTCAAGGCTTCTTTATTCGTTAATTTTGTGACACTGAGAAAGTGTTACATAAAGAATGGATGGTTCATAGTTTGCTTGGGGAAAAGCACCCAGCAAAAAGGATCATTTGTTTCGCCTGCAACTTGAAGCCTACCGAGCCCACAATCCTTCCCAATAGTGCTACCTGTTTGTAGCCTGAGTGGCAGGCGCAAAAAGGGGAGGGGGAGGGGGAGGGAGAAAAGCGCGAAAGAGGGGAAAAGGGAAGGCGTCCCTTATCCTCTCTCTCCAATCTCCCTCTTTTTCCCTTCCTCCCTATCCCCTACCCCTTTCGACGCCGGCTACGCAGGCTAACTGTTTGAGAATGATTTGAAATTGAATGTTAAATTTATCTTGTATCTTTGATTTTCAAACATAGACAAACATGCTATGAAAGTTGTAAGATTCACATGCGGTGTTAGTTTTGCTTTATTTTGCTATCGTTTGAGTTAAGATGTGCTTGTGCGCCGACTATATAATATTAGGGTCTACTTACTCAACCACTGCATATCCTACGGCCAACAGGCAAAGAAACAACATAACAAGGAGAAGTAGTAAATAGAACTGATGTGATGCCTTGAATATCCTTTTAGGAGGTACATTAGTCACCATGATGGCCCAACTCCTCAAGTACATGATGATCACCAGCTTCAGAATGTTTAACATGATCAAACCGGGTGAAAAAACCAGTCCCATCCTAAGATGATGGAGATACGATCAGTTAGACAGCAAAATACGAGTAAGACACTTGTGCCAGTTCTTGAGGCAGTGCTGGTGACTGGAACAAAAGGCTGTTAGTCCATGGATTTCCAGGGCGTGTTTTCCATTTACACAAACCACCAAGGTGGAAATCTTGTGCATGAGCATAAAACTATAAAAATTAACGGGGTGGGAGAACGACCTCCTAAAAAAAATTGATAAAGAGCTTTAGCAACGACGACGGCGACGGCAACGAGGACGTCAAAAAAGCAATAGGTTTATTACGCAAAACAACAAGTTTGCACGTGCATCACGTTTTTTTGTACATTTCTTTACCGTCCTTGCACGACTACGACGTGAAAATGTCTAATTGCAAGTTTGATGGAGGACGTAAACAAGCGACGACGAATTTCTTTTTCCCTCTCTAAAGTTGAGTGCGCTCCTCAAGAAATAAACTCTAGGGAAATTCGCCTACATTTGCCATTTTCAGCAAATTCGCTACAGTGTTTGAAAAACGGAAATTCATTTCAAAACTGACGTTTTCACTGCCGTTGCCGTCGTCGATGCTAAAGCTCCCGGATTTGACTCAGATTGCAGCCCATATTTCAGATGCTTCCCAAACGGAATGGCGCGGACTATGTGATTTTCCAGCCGGAATTTCCGGTTTTTTCATGTAAATGGTAAGTACCCTGGTTCGAATGGTCGGTCTAGCTGAGCAGGAGCCCATATCATAGAGCGTGAGGAACTCCCATATTAGGACTAATGTCACGGTGTTTTCAAGGGCCGGTTTAATTTTATAGACATACCATTTTAAAGACTGAAGGTTTTGCTGATCACTTTGTGGCCAGTTAGGCAATTTCTCAAATCCGGACAAAGGCGATCAAAAGATAAAATGGGCGGTGAAAATCCCGTAACACGAATAAATGCATGGATGTTGATCTCTCCAGGTTTAAACGGGAGGGGAGGAGAAAGAAGGAGGATAGGAATGTATAACTCTTACTTGCCTTTCTTTGCCTTCGTAAATTGCATTTAAAAACAAATTGCTGCACTGAAAACAGTTCATAGGAACTTCCTATTTACCATGAAACGAGGCAAGTGGCGCGTCCATTTGAAACGTCTGATGAAATCAACCCAAACTGTTTCAAAAATTCCGAATACTTCTTACTGTTTAGACTGTCATTTACTGAACTATCATACCATATTAATCCTTGGCTGTTTATTAGCTGTAACACATTTTCGGCTAGTTTAAACTCAGGGTAGCCCAACTGAAAGAAAGTCGAGAAAAAACGTGTTAAGTAAACGTAAATCTGTTCAAGACATTACAGAGACCTTCGCAGTTATTTGATGGGACTACAACATCTTCAAAGCGAGTGAAAACAACCCTAAGATGAAAGCATTTAGTGCAATTTCAATTTAGATCCCTAAGCGTTCCTCTTGCCAAGTTGGCGTGTATCGTCCCTCTGGTTACACACAGTGGACACGTCTTGACATAATTTGCGCCCGTCTTCCATTCACCGAGAGAAAACTGGGCCGAGTTAACTTTCGCGAAGACTTCTGGGACTGTGAAAGGCTTGTATCCAGGAGTACAGGAGTCATTTCATAAGTAGGTTGAGTATGACCGTCCGGGGCTTTGAAGACTCGTAATGTCATTGGTGCGTTTCGATTCGTCTATTGTCACAGTTAAACAGTCGTTTATTGTTAGTCAAATTGTCAGTTGTCCATGTCATTATGACACTACGAGTCTTCATAGCCAATAACATCACGGCTTAACTAACAGACGACCAATAACATCGCGACTTAATTGACCAATTAGGTCAAAACCAGAGTTTTTAATGCCATCAACTGACGTGATACAACTCACTTTGACACTAAAGATGACTACCGCACAGGTTGTCGAAACGTCAGTCACTGTCAACAGTGTCAACAACAGTGCTATTCAGAATTACGTTTACTCGGACGATGATGCTGAACCTACTTACTTCCGGGAGTGACGCGTTTCTAGGGACGGGAGAAAAATTAGCCAATACTGAACTGGCGGGCGCGTCCTCAATAAACATGCACAGATCCCAGATACAATTGTAATTGTGGTTCCCTTCTAGTTTCTAAAGTGGCGAGCACATTGCATACATGCAGTTTTTGTCAATTCACCTGAAACTTATTTGTAAGCAGCTTTTTTAATTATTCGGGTCTTTAAAAAACCCTGACTGATAGCAATAAATAATAACAGAAACCGATTACCGGTTAGCTGGTTATAGACTCCTGATAATAATAACTTACAATTTTCTCAAGATCCAAGAGTCGACCTTGAAAACAGTTAAGAAACCTGACAGCCAGTGACACGAATAACTCACTGGTTATCACGCTGAAAACCAGCGCAACAAGATCAATGACCGTCAGCTTGAACAACTCCTGACCAACTGTAGTCTCCCAACACAACGAACCTAATCGATTGCAAAGATACATAGTTAGAAGTCTAAAGAAAGTGCTATTTCTTCGCTTTTTATTTGATTTTGCATTGCTAAGGGTAAAAATGTTGCTTCTTCTTAGCCAGACAGGAGTAAAACTATATTCAAACACTGCAAGAGTAAACTCGGCGATATTACCTGGAATTAGCCCTAGCTAGCTACTGTAGTATGACTGATTGGTAAAGCAGAGTAGCATGACATCTAACGTCTCTCCGTTTTTAATAAGTGGTATACTTGTGATGCTTAACTCTCCCGAATTAAAAAACAAAAGCTTTTGGAAGACTTGTTACCTGTTGTGGTGTTTAATGCTACCATAGTTACAGGAGTGACAGTTGCGTTCCCAACTTTCGTATCAGTGGAAACGCTTGGAAAAGTTTCTTTTGTCTGCAATAAAAACAACGTTAATATTAGAATTCGGTTGGCCCAACTACCTAATATCGTCACAAATGTTTTTTTTGTGTGACACACAGCGTCGCGTGGTGCCGTCCTCCAACTGATTCACAATAACGCTAGTGGATATAAGATCGTATACATAAATCAGCAGAGCAAGCAAGAAGAATGGAGGATTACGTTAGAAATTTATTTCCAATAAATTACCTTATTTATTTTGTTTAGAAGAGATATCACCAAGACATACATGTTTCCAAGATACAAAAACATTATCCTGAGAAGAAAATTCCAAAATTAAACAGTATAATGGATATAAATAACAGCAGAACATTGCATGAATTTAAAAAGCATGCCAAAAAGGGAACTGAAACCGGCAAGCTCTTCTACGCGTCTTAAGAACGTATTCAGAATGATTACGAATATGTGGCATACTTATATAATATATGTGAAATACATACTTTTTCCTGTTCAACCTTAAGAGTTGAAACAAACACAAGCAAGAAACAGAAGTCGTTTAACACTAGACTTCGACGCCAATACCCTTTGTCACTAGACTCACTAGGGCAGGCAAATTGAGTGGGCGGGGAACAAGCGAATTGCTGTGAGCTGTGGAGGTACTTTGGAGTTCTCAGTACTTTGAACCGAGATTTTTTTTCCTGTCCATATACACGTTCTTATACACAATAGAGACCTTTAGATTCTAGGACGAGAACAACTACGAGTACCAGATTTGACTTAATTTTTTTCGCGTATCAGTCAAAATATAAACACCCCAGATAGCTTCATTGTACATCTTTTTCACCAAACAAATTAGCACTGTTATCTTGATTGAAGGAGGTTAAGCTATCTCCCAGCCGCAAATAACAAAACCTATAACACTTTATATTAATCTTGTGTCCGTTAACGAGAGAAATCGCTAAAACTCGTAGCAAAATGACGACGACTATCACATTTTCCCGCCAACATGACGGTGGGTTATACTCGCGCTTACTACTTAGTATTGAGAAAATCTCGTACTCGTAGTCGTGCTCGTCTTCCGCTCGTCTTAAAATCTAAAGCTCTCTAAATTGAAGAAAAAAAACAATTTCAAAAATATTACAAAATTAAAATACCTGGTCAGTTCCCAGTAAAGGGCAACCCTGGGATGGTACTGCTCTGTCATAGCAATCAACTTGAAAAATACCGGACATACGGCATTCATACCAGTAATGGCTAAAGAGATCTTCAGGACATGAAAAAGATATTTATCAGGATTTTTTTCAGTGAAAATCAGTGACAGTAGGCTGCATAGTTTTACTTAACGAGGCCGTTTTTATACTAAGGAGGAATTATCCGTCTGGACGAACTTGGGCAAACGTTTTGTAAATCGTCTGGTTATGTGTCTCTAGTATAAAGACGGGCACAAGACGCATTATGCGTCCAGGCGAACTACCTTTCGTAGTGCGTCGTTCAGGACGTATTTCGAAGGCCGGAAAGTTCGTCCACAAGCATAATGCGGCTTGTACTCGTCTTTATACTTGAGACGCAAAACCAGACGAAGTAAAAATGTTTGCCCATGTTCGTCCAGACGGATAATGCGTCCTTAGTATAAAAACGGCCAGTGAGTAACAAAAAGTGAGCTTAGATTTAGTAAAGTGCTCTAACCTTTCTGTGAGCCGGGCTGTACGAATTGTCCACGAATGAATCAAAACCTCCATCTTAAATTTACGAGCAAGAGGGCTCTAGAAACTACGCGAAGCATGATCATTCAGATGCTGTCCTTTGATCGTTTTCCGTTCGTTTTGTCTTCTTTTGTGGTAAGTTATTAGCTATATTCGTCTTAGAAATTGGCTTTTATGTAAATTTCCCATCATACCTCGTACTGCTCTAATACAGTTGGCGGTTTTCCATTCTTTCCTCTTTCATCTGAACGTTTGACGACCAAATAGATCAAAAATGCACTGGCGGCTAACACCCCAAGCACTAGCACGTTAGCCAGTACCCGAAGAGCAATCAGGCTTTTCCTAGAAAATCGGTCATTTATATCGTTAGAATAATCACTATGACAACTTTTACTCCAGGAAAAGTAAGGGAAACATAAGGTACTCAAGATACCGAAGAATTGATGCCCGCGATATCTACTTTCTTATAGAGACTTCCTTGTTGTTTAATACTGTGTCAATTAATATTACGTATGCACAGGTCAGTGTTATTGAGAGGAGGGGCGAAGGGGAAGATGATCCCCCTCAGTGTTGGTTTTCGGTATATCATAGACTAGCGAAGTTTCGGTAGAACAAGGAAAAAAGATTAAAAATAAAATTAAAACTTATTAGTCATTACGTTTTTTACTCTAACTGTTTTTAGAATGGACGAATCTAAGAATGTCAACGTTTGAAAGGTTATATTGGGATATGCGATCCTTGCCGTTTGTAAACCGGTCAGAGAAGAACCTGAAAAAAACAGGCTTGACGGGGATTCGAACAAGCGATAAATTACAATTAGTAGTTTTATGAAACTTACTTGTTTGTGGTTTTTCCTTTTTCAACCGCTTCCAAAATTTGTTCCTTAAAAAAAAAACTCATGAAGTTATTTTGCGTCAACAAAAGAACCTGCCGGGTGCGTTTCGACAAGTGCTTGTTACATTCACTGAGTATTTTTCGTTTTTAGTCCTGTTTTAGGGAGGAAGGGTTTATTTGTATTATAATGATGTGGTATGCCTTTTCTTTTCTCGAAGTATTACCATGATCCAATGCTTTCGTGTTGTTTAAGGAACAAACTAATTTTCTCTTCCTCATCAGTTAATACTAAATCCAAAAACATCGCGACTCGCGAAAATGACTGCCGAAGAGGTTGTCGAAACGTCAGTCACCGTCAAAAACATGCCTATTAAGGACAACAATCACCCGGATGATCATATACCACCTACCTATTAGCAATAAATAAACAAACGTACCCTGATAGCGGTTGTAAGAGAGGCCAATTTATTATCGGCGGTTTCTCTCTCAGTAATAAGGAAGTCCCAAGCAGAAAACACTCGCCATCCAAACGGGTAGTGATCATTCTGACCTGAAGACTTCACTAGGCGCTGTTCACGAACAATTCTACGGGCAAAAGGTAACAAATTTTATGATCAACATGTATTCAAAAATGTATCCGTTTCTTATTGCCTTAACTGTCTTCTGTTTTTTTTCCGTATCCAGTCAATGCTCACTCAAAACAAGAGTCATGCCATTGGTCCAATATTTTTTCTGTTATTCGTCGATTGACGTCAATCGTGAATGATAGAACTCGTACTGATACCGGTCTGAACAGCGAATTTATAAGGAAAAAGTTGACCTTATCGTTGGAATAATTTTTGGCGTCTCCAAGCGTTACTGAAGCGGCAAGGAAAACAGAGAAATTAAAAAACGTTTTCTGTGTAAAAAAAGTGGATGTAAGATAATGTTCGTGTATGTTTTAAAAAAAAAAAATAATAAAATAAAATAACTCTACTGCTGCTAGCTTGAACTGACAGACTCCAAAGGGTTTAAGCCTCCGTCTAATAAATTAATTCTTAATAAACTGAAAACTGGGATCGAGGCATACTTACGCTCTGAGGACAATGATGATACTGAAAAGATAAGTACCCATAAACACTACAAAGTAGGCAAGAGGCAGAGGATATTTAACTGCACCAACGCGAATATACTCGTTTCCATAGTAACCATAAAACAGAAAAGAATACTCCAAGTAACCCTGTGAAAGAAAAACAAGAATCTTCAAAAATATAGTTTTTGTCCTTTTTCTGTTTAGCTTACATCTTAAGGTTATTGTAATAAAAAGTAATGTTTTATCTCTCATTTCCTTATTATATCTTAATAATACGTATTGCTTAATTAAGTGACAATAACAATGCAGCCTGTGTACAGACCCCCCTCCCCTCAGTAAAAATCAGAGGGGAAGGGGGGGGGTGGTCTGTACATAGGCTATAACAACGATGAGCAACCTCGTCCCCAGGGCGCTTTTCCCACCTCCAAAGCCATGGAAAAGCGCCCTGGGGACGAGGTTGAACGATGACAGTAGGACTTAAGAAACCTTTGCAATCTTTTGCATAGACTGCGAGCAGTCTCTCTTTTGCTCGAAAATCTGTGAGCAAGTGCGATATATGAGTATGCGACCGGCGAAGTACCGAGTTTTTGAGGGCGTCATTACGAGCAAAAAGAGAGGCTTCCCTAGTTAAATTCATATGGCAACATTTCTGTAGCCCGGCTCGCTCGTATACTCACATATCACGTTCCTTCACAGATTTTTGAGCAAAAGAGAGACCGCTCGCAGTTTAGCTTTTGCAAAGTATAGCTCCCCCCCCCCCCTTCACCACATCTTTCATGTATTTTCTTATTACATTGTCTTGGTCATCATAACTGTCTTTACAAAGGAAGAGAGCAAAAAACCTTTTGAAAAAGCACCACTTTTCCTTAATTCCATGGCATCCGGCTGACTCCTGAGTCGAGTTTTAGTTCATAATGCAACCGATCGAAACTTTGGTTTTGTCTCGCGTTAGTTAACAGGCTCTAGCGGAGTATGCGCGCATACCTTGGCATCAAGAACAGTTGTAAGACGCTGGGCTGTACGTTTTTCACTCTCCGGAAGTCTCATTGCGGTGGAGGGGCTTATGAGCTGAAGAGACGAAAATGATAATAACAAAGATCATTTTAAATCTAGACTTTCTATTTAAAAGATATATTTAGAGTCTTTGTTTATATTATAGGCTAGCTTGCGTGATAAGTGTTTCCGGGCGAGTTCGCTGAGAAAGTTGGAACGAGAGCGAAAAAAATTAAAGGAGTCGAAGAAGGAGAGGGAAGGGAAGAAAAAGAAAAGATGTTTGAACGACTATCATGCAGTCTTTTTTAAACAAAACCCTTACTAGAACACCGAACTCGACAATACGAACATGAACTCTGGGTAAGAGATTATCATTCTCTCTTGCTCTGGGACTATTAAGACAGCGATCTCACTACCACCGAAAATACTGCTCGTATCCTACATCCCTACGTCAAACCCGTCACAGGTATACTTTACAACGCCTTCTATGACGGATGATATTTAATAGACAAATAGTTATCATGCTTACCTGTGGGGCGACAACAAAAACAGCGATGAATACTAAAAGAATAAAATTAATCCACACCAAGGAGCGTAAAAATAAAAAGAATGAACCAATTCCAGCTCCAAAATACCCTTGAAAAGAAATAGACAGTTTATTATAAACACTACAAATTTCAAAGTAGGATCAAATGAATGCTTTGTCGTTTAATCCTAGAGGGGGCTTCTTTATAAGATTTACTAGTGGGAACAAAATTAGTTGAGACACTTTGCCCTAAAGGGCCTCCCAACATTTTGATAAGTTGAAAAAATATAAAATAAAGCGCCCCCCCCCCCCCTACATCCCCTCCATGCAAAATATCGTTCCCAGAGTCTTTTGGCTTTTTGATCAGCGGAGCAATACTGACCAAAAAGCCAGAAGACTTTGCCTACGAGATTGCTCCAAGTAATGTTGTGCCGCTGTTCGAGCTACATGTAAAAATCAACAACACACCCCAACTATGAATGGAGGCGGAGGGGTTAGGGGTGTGGATTTTGTTTTGTCCTCCGAAGCTACCCCATTGTCTCAACAATTTTGATTTCGCTTGTAGTTCCGAAAGAGAAAGAAGCAAAAGAAGATTGATAACATAGTTTGTCTTTGGAGTTTGAGTACTAAGGAGCTCGTTCCCATGAACGCTTGCAAGCATGTTCGCTTTGAGCTCAGAAAACAAGTTTCAGCGCGGCAGCTCAGTTAATCCTTAGCGGAATAGACCATGTCATGGTTAGAAAAGGGGGTCAATGAAGAAAATGATTAGCAGCTAACTCAAGCAAGTAGACTACGAGTTGTCCCCACTTTTCCTCAGAGATAGTAGAGCAAGCGAAAGGAGAGCGCGAGTGAAAATCACCCCACGCGAGAAAGGCGAGACGTGGTGGTGTTTCGCTTTTCTCGCGTGGGGTGATTTTCACGCGCGCTCGCGTTTTGCTCTCTCTCTTATCCTTGAGGGAAAATGGGGACTGCTCGTAAGTCTATCAAGCAAGTTGCATCTCACCTTGAATGTTTTTAATCCTCTTTTCCCAAGGAATGAAGAACACAATGAAGTTTTGGAACTGTCTTTTAATTTGCCGTATGAACTGTTAATGGAGTAGTAAAATGTACTTTGGTTAAGAGTTACTCTTGCACGCGTCTGTTCTCATTCTGTGCTATGTCATCTTGGTGGCAGTGCGTTTCTATTCTGGCATAGGACTATACTTTATCCAAATAGAAAATTGTATGCTATGCAACGTAAATATAGCGATAATGAAACATAAACATAACACTTCATTACGTACTCTTATCCGGGTTTCTGTGAAATGCTGCAACCTATTCAAATCACCTGAATGCTCTTCCACATACTTTTTTGCATGTCTGCAGAGAAAAAAGATCAATTGTTGAGCTAATACATGTCAAGGATCACCCGTATATATAGAATCACCCCTTACACGCATATCGTACACACACCTACCTAAGAACCTCTAATTTCTCGTCCATGGTCCATGGTTTTGATCGAATGCCTTCAATCATGTCCAGATGCATCTGAATGTTTTCAAACACGTCCCCTGTAATCGGCTCTTCAGTCGATAATTTCCTGTGAGTATCCCTACAGCTACAGACAAATAAGAAGGATATTTCTATCAAAAGAATTAGCGGTACTGAAGGAGCCTGTTCAGTCTCTCCTCATACTGCATGTGTTACTTTACAATCACTTTTTACTATCCATTTTACTTCAAAGGACGAATTAAAAGCACCATTTTACCTTTTAATTTGACATGCGTATTTATAATCACTTTCTATTTGGCAACCGAACACAAAAAAGTAAATCAAACTGATTGCCACGGTCGCAGATTATTAAAAAATGATCAAAAATCAGCTTGTTGTTACTTCTGAGCTTTGCATTGGCCTTTCTTATGCTGGTGGTAAGGAAATGAAAAGATCTTTAAATTTGCTTGAAAAAGGAGTAAAAAGAACAAGAGCATAATAGAGCAATGTGTGTCAAGAAAAGTCGTGAAAATGTAGCTGCATGCTTAGTTTATGATCTTCGTCAACAACAACCAGTATTCCGGCCTCACCTTCCTTGTAAGGTTGGTTTCTCTTCTTTCGCTTGCTCATGTTTATCTTCTCTTTGCTTTGGGTTTCCGTTAGAAGATCGTCTCCTGAGGCTTGATCCTGAAGATGGGCTGTCTTGCCGAGTGTCCACCAATGCGTCTACTGACGACCAACGTTCATTTGCTGCGAAGTTGCTCTGTGGAGCAACCCCTTCCTCGAGATCTGGTCAAAAATAGCACATTATCAATGTCATCAACGTCCTTTATTGGTTCCCCTCCCCTCGGGTCTAGCAGGTTTCTCATAATTTACCCGCCCAGTTTTTCCTTATCGTCAAAAACCAGAAAAACCAACACTTCCAAACTGTAATTTTATTCGGAAGGAATGTCCAGTTGGGGTTTCGTGGGTAAAAAAATTACGTCCTGGATTTTTCTTCTTTTTACATTTACTTTTAATAGATACTCGTTTGTATAGCTTTGTTCTACTCATAAATACCGGACCGGGATTAGTGAAATACCAGTCACCTGAGCTGCAATCAGTCCATCTTACCTCGAACCTCGCACGATAACCCAGGTTCACTTGCCGCCATTTTAACTCCGTTTATTCATAACACTACCAAGTGTGTCGTGAAATGACTGCAAGAAAGGACAAGTATGCATGAATATGAGGCGTGAGCAAATTAGCTGTTTGTGGACTAAACAGCTTTGCTTCGATTCGCGTGCCACATTGCCGTAATATCTGAATTGGTTGCTTGATTTGGTAGCAATTCATTGCTGGTTGTACAACATATTGTAACAAGTTCAAATGACGATTAACAGCAAAATAGTAAGCAGCTATCAAAGAGAAGTACTATGAAAAACTAGCCTTGGTTTTGATTAAGTGGTCTCATATGATCCACGCACCGACGTAATCATTCTGGCCAATCACATAATCAAATGTCAGAATAATTATGAATCCGGTCTAACACAACGCGAGAAAACACTTGTAAGCAAGTTGTGATCGGTAGTTTCGTTTTGACTTCTGACTTACATTGATTGAAAAGATGAGAGCAAGAGAATTCAACCAATCACAAAGTAAAATATTTTTTCCCTGCTCAACTGAAAACCTTTTTATTCCATAGATACACCTGCAGTGCTCGCTATGGACACAGGTGCCGGATGCCGTTTCGTTAATCTATTCATTTGTCATAACCGTAAAAAGATTTTGATCAGCTATATGTAATTCTGACTTCCCTTTCAACAAGCTTTATAGGCATTATGTAAACAGAACTTACTTTGCGCTTTAAAAAAAAAGAATCAGAAACAAAAATCTCTGAAACCACGAACTTCCCTATTCAACTGCGATGTTATACAGATTAATCTGCAAAGAGTACACTGGAAAGTTATAATATGCTTCTCAAGAGCAGGCAAGTCTCTGTCGTAGAATGGTTCAGTTTACTAGCTATTAGCCTTTACTGTGTCACCCTTGCAATATTGCACGTGATAAAGTAGTCAGTACAGTTGACTCCCGCTAACTCGAACCTTCAAGGGAAATCGAGAAAAGTTCGAGTTATCCGGAGCTCGAAGAAAATAGCTGGGAGCAAGGAAAAAACAGTTTTTACAGTGAAGATTTTAATCACATTTAATTGTAGAAATGTCAAGTGAAAATTTAAAGATACTTCTAGATTATAAATCAGAAAGTAACGTAACAAAACATAGTCTAAATAGAGCATGCGTTTTACTGTTTTGAGAAGTAAAGTGATTCACGTTAGATTTGTGACAATCAACATCTGCCTCCACTAGTGTACTATACTCCTACAACACGTCAATGGGAAATTCAAAATTCAATGTTTCGGACGCCAGTAGACTACTTTTTTCTCAACTTTTTAAGGGCTGAAAACATGGTTGGAGTTATCGAGGGTAAAATTATATAGGAATGATCTTAGGGGAAACAAAAACTACTTCGAGTTAGCGGGAAATTAGAGTTATCGAGGGTAAAATTACTGTAAATTTATGACCGAAATCCAGGGGAAATCGGTTTTGGCTCGAGTTAGCGCGAGGTTCGAGTTAGCGAGGGTTAGAGTTATCGGGATTCAACTGTATTCCAAACCGGCAACAGTCATGATCGCAAAGTACTCATTAATCTAACCATCACTTTTCTATGTTATATCTACATTCATATACTTGCATTAATCATCACCTAAGCTTCATTATACGGCACATATTGAGAATTACAATTAACTCTTCGATTAAGGGAGATCACACTCTTTAACTAAAAAATTACGTTTGCGGTATTGTGGTGCAGAGAGTTGTGGAGCTCCTGCTAATAATTCCCCGATTTTAAACTGTTATAGTAATAAAAAAGAAAAGAAATTCAAAGATATTTTTTTATTTGAAATTCTTCCCTATATATTTGACGAATAACAAGACAAATCATTGAAAATTTTTTCATGAGTATTACAGCTGATAATTATTGCTGCATCAGTGAAATTCCCCCTCATAAACCGCGAAATATATGAAATCAATACAAAAACAAGATGATCGATAACATATTTTCTGGGCGAACATGCTGTACTTACGACAAAATATTTGGATCATACATTAAGGCAGTAGTTATGAAAATCTCACCTGTATTTGATTCCAGATAAGTTTCACAAAGTGTTTCATCTCTTGGAAGGAACGAAACGATAGTTTAGCGGGTCAGGGTCTGACAGGAAGAATTCATCGCTGCAGTTTCGCTGGCGTAATTAAGCGATGAGAAATTTGTTTTCTTTTCTTTGAGTATAAATAATTCTGAATCCAAATTAAAGTAATTCTCGCTCGCATGGCAATACTGAAACTCCCTATGATTATCATTATTAATTATTGATGATTTGCGACGCTATAAATTCTTATTTATTGCTCATTGGAAGGTCAGTTGAATGTAACCCTTGAGACGTCCGCCATTTGATGCATTTGTTGTCTCACAAAGATAAACGCCATCAAAATGCTTTTAAGAAGAGCTAGAGACAAAAAAGAAAACACCAATACTTCACCGAAGTATTTCCAGTGTATTTCCACATCCCCCAAACATGGCCGATTACATAACTTATTATCCAAACTTTTTATCATGTGTCCTCGCCATCTTGTTATTAGCAGAGAAAAAATGTGACCTTGACAATTAATTTTGTATTTTTATTACAAAAGGAAAACACTATTAGCTACCGTTGATAAAACGGTCATATCAAGGCGGGCGTTTCCCAGTGAACAATTGAATTACGCTCTTCTACCCAATAGGTACCCAATGGTATGTGACGATCCGTTTTTGTAAAGACCGGAACTGCAAGAAATTATGTTAATTGCGTTTACTCCAATATTAATACTTGCTGTGAAGTTATGATTTTTAGAGAAAACTCAAAAGTTCAAACCTTAGGCGATTGGTTTTTTGTAACACTGCGGAACAAATACCTAATGTTAATTAACATACTGTGCAAAAATGATTTTCGAGGAACCGTTCAGTGGGAAACACTACAAACAAATCGTTTAATGAAATGAACCCAGAGAAATTGAGCGCAGGGTTTGTTTCCTTATAAATGAAAGTTTGAGCTTACTTGGATAGCTTATGTAACAGTAAGGTATTTGTTAGAGACTTTCATTTTTATTTTTAATCAGGATTGCCCCTGTTTTAATATATTTCTAAACCTCTGAAAATAACTTGAGGTTCAGTAGTTTAAAGAGAGGACCCAAGCTTGATATGGGAGTTTTTGTGGGAAACGTACCGTATGTATTTCCGTTAAAGTATTTCCGATACAAAATCCCATTCCCTGCGCCCGTGATCCTTCCGCTTTTTTCGATTCAGCGGATATTTTCTGGACATTCGTGAAATGTTCGTTACAGGGTTCGTTACGCCTTTATGTTCGTTACGCTGTTCGTGACATGAAGGAAACATGCCGAAAGTTCAACGATCATTCGAGATCCGAGAATTAATATTGTAGTTGACTAAACCACAACCACTAGTATGTTAGCGTTGTGTTTATGCTTTTCAGTAGGGCTTTATTAAACCTTTTGTGGCCCCTTTAATTAGAAAAGACTAATGATCAGCTAATACGTTTTAACTGAAAATGCCTGGAAAATTGCGAAGAAACGATTACGACCTCGTAGAAGAAGCCTACGATAGCAAGTCTCCTGTGCAAGATGAAGATTCCTTTGAACATGGAATCATCTTCAAAGTCAAGGTACTTTTTGAAATCAATGTTAGCTTTTGTTCGGTGGAGATACAACTAATTAAACAGCACTAATTGCTGAGAAAAATTTCGTACTCGGGATGATTTAATTTATGTACGTTACTTCAGATTTGAAAAGTGATTTTGGGGAAATTGTAAATTTCGTGACAGGAAAGTTCGTCATGTTTGCGTTGGTTATGACTAAAAAAGGTGCGAATCTCTATTTATAAACATGGAACATTTGCTATGTTTTGTTCTCCTTTATAGTATATCGGGACAAAAGATATCCATAAGCCAAGCAGCAGAGCTGAAATTGTCTCTTCTATGCGACGAATACGGGTAAGACGATTTTTCTTTTAATACAGAATTTCAGATTCAAAGCTCTGTGTTATGATATTGCAAACTTTGTTATTAAAGTCGTATATAGTCACTTTGCTTATAAACCTTTTGTTGTAAGTCAAAAAGCGACCGTTTTCATGCAGAATTGATTATCTTATTGTTATATCTAATTATTACAATTGAATTGAACGGGATCGGGAAGGAAAAGAACTTTCTTGTCAATAAGTCCTTGAAATAACAGACTGCAGCCAAACAGTACAATTTATAAAAACTCTGTTGCTGAGTGCTCGTATAAATAATCAACAATTCGTCGGCATTAATCGTTTCCGCTGAATATTAATCGCAAAATTTTGTTTGGGTTTAACAATTAAATTTTGTTAACAGCTACGAATAACCCCTTTTTTTATTGATTGCTTTGCGTCCTGTGTATCTAGGGGGTCAGGCGCTTCAGTGGGCAGTAGATGTCAGTTACAGTATTTCAAATGTCCAAGTCGTTGTGGATCCACAAATTTAAGTTGAGAATGGAGAAAAAATACTGAAAGAGAGGTTCCGAGTGGACTTCTCTCAAAGCTTTTTTATCATAAATGGTGCCCATCATATTTGGTTCTGAATGAACAGATCAGATTGGCAGTTGATTGCATTAGATGAACAAAAACCTGGATTGCACCAGATCCAGTCTGTATCCCAGGAGCTTATAGATTTAATATAGAGAGCCTCTGTATGGGTACTTGCAGACATTGATTCTGTTGCACGTTTCCTATCAAATCTTCAGTTTTTCAGGCAAAACCGCTGCATATCAACAATTATTTTGCGTGGTAAATGCTTTTAGCAAACTCAGCACATCCACCAAAAATGACTGAAATGAGAAAGAAAACACACTTTTTTGCATTTCTCTTAAATAACTGTCATTGCACCACCAACACTGTCAATCTTGATCAGAATGGCAATGCAATCATTGCTTTAATCTCTAAGATAATTGCTTCAGCAATGGTAATCGTTGGGACTTTGATTTCGTCAAAAATACCTATACGGTAGCTCTAAAGTGCTTTCATTAAAAATAAGTACCAAATTGTGCTAACATATCCTACTTGGTTGCTTGTCAAAATATATTCAATGTTAAATTGGACTGACAATTTGCCGTTTCTCCTCTGTTTACATAATACCATTATTGTTAGTCCAGGCATCATTTTATACGGTCATTTACAGGTACTAGTAGTGGGTATGTGTGTGGTAGGTAAAATCATGTTCAGGTTAAACCAGCATTTCTTTTGTCTTCTGCGTGACTGATAAGGGCAAGAAAGAGAATGGAGTTGATTTACAACAGGTATATCTTTACTATTTTTAAGTATGAACACAAGGTATATGGGTCCAAGAAGGAAAGAACAGAATTGAGTGTTTCAGTGATGGGAATAAAGGTTGTCCACAGAGAAGAAGGAAAGCGAAATTGGATAACACATCATGTAAATATGAATTCTCATATATAATTTTACAAATTATTTGTAATTATGTTTTGTGTATTAATAGTGGGCAAATAACTTCTTCCCCATATAAATGTATGTTTACATGCACATATATAGATAATATTTCACCTCCTTATCGTAAATTGAAATATTAGCACCCTCTGCAAACAGTCTGTCCCTTCTTTTTTTTCTTTTTTTCTTTTTTCCCCTAATAACAGATTTTCCAAAAACAATCTTTTTTTCAGTTTGGCATTTTGCAAAATTGTCAATTTCAGTGATTTAGGCATATGTGCATGGGTGTATGAGCACTATGTCTATTAGAACCTTAGCGTCATGATAATTTATATTGACACCAGAAATGCCTCAAAACTTCCACATGAAACATAGTGTAGATTGTGAGGTACAGTGAACTCATCAAGAAATATGTCCAACAAGAATAATTCTTGTTATTAAACAGGAATTTAAATACGTGTAATGTATATAAATGCTGTATATTTTGAAATGAATTGTTTGTCAGTTATGGATATCAGTAGAGTTATGCTAGCCTTACCAGTATAAGCGTTAATAACACGAATATAAATGATTACCTAATTGCAAGATCAGAGACTTTATTAAGCTCTGTAATTAAATAATATTATACAAATATATTTTATGAATGTTTTTGGGTAAGTGTCACCAACTCACTCTTAATGGACACCTCAGTCACCTTAAAGTCATTGATCCTAGGGGTAGCAAGTGGTTAACCTAGCTAAAAAAATATTGTAGGTCTGAAAATTTTCATATGGTTTTGATTATCTTGGAACCATATGTGATGACTGAATTTTTAAGGACACTGCAGTGGTTCCTGAACAGTGTTAGTCTTCTGTATTGAAATATTTTTGAAAGTACGATATCACTTTCTTTTGTGTTTTCATTTCAGAAAAAGAAACAAGAGTTTGAAGTGACGGAAATTATGAGTCATCCAATTAACAGAATATTCTATGTGTCACATGATTCCCAGGATTTGCAAATTTTTAGTTTTATTTCGAAGGAGGAGGATGTTTTTAGATGCAGTGTTTTTAAAGCAAATACCAAGGTATTATAACATGTTACAGTAAATATTGATTTATTTTAACTAGTTATAAATAAAATTATCATTGAAAGGAAATTTTTAACTCGTTGTAAGGGTCAGGGGTACTCTGGGACTAAAACAGGAATAAGTTAAGGTATCATTAAAAAAAATCAGGGTATATGCAACTTGTCTTGTGTGGTTTAGTGGACATTAAGGAGGACTCGGAATCAGAACCTTGTGGGTTTAAATCTCTGTAGAAGTAAAGGATGGGAAGGTACATTCTGAAGACTTCTTTTTTATGTATTTGTTGTAGTAAGATGTTTAGAGGAGATCCCTCAGTAAGAGAGCAGTAAAAAAAAAACAATGTGGAATGGAGAGGATCATGTTTTTTGTCCTCTTTGCAAGCTACTGTTCAGAATCTTATATCTTTACGTGGTTTATTATGTAAGAAAGTACTGTAAAGTTCTGAACGTAAGAACCCTCATTACTTTTGGGTTTAGCAGCCTTTTTCCTATTGCTATTTTCGAAGGGCTACTACTTTCGGGTATAGCTTTTAAAATGTGTACTGCAGATATTGAAGTTGCATTAATAATATTGCACAAAATCCAAAACATCCACACTTTTTATTTGGAGAATCTTATTCAATGTTATTGCTTTTTTTTAAAAAAAATTTAAAAAATGGTTTGATTACGGTATGGGTATTCACTGACAAAAAGAAGAGTTTGAAAATAAAATGTAATGTACTTTAGAGTTATATAAAGGAAATTGTGTCAAAACTCAGATCAGCTTGGTAAAGCTTGTTGCTTCTTTAATTTCTGTTATTTGTAGCTGATAAAGGGAATTACTTTTGAAGTCATTATTTTTGGGGGGATCGCTACTTTTGGCATTTGCTAACACCTGTCAAACTTTATCAGTACTTTTGGGGGGTCATTATGGTAATCCAAGAGAGATTCATAAACTCATGCAGCTAATTGCCCCATCTCCCAATAGCCCCCCTCTCTGCTGAGTGACCATGCTTCTCTACTGTTCTGTGCATGTGGGTGATTCTTAAAAATGCAGTCATTCCAAATTAATATGAGATTAATCTTTGCTGATGTCATTGTTAACAATTTTGCCTATTAGCTTATGACTTGGCCATATATAAATATATCTGTCATAGGTTAAATTTGATTTCAGGTTAATTGTCTCCTAGCCCTATTAAGAGGTAAAGGAAATCGAGAATCAACCTGGGTTACACTGCAATTTTAACTATGATCAGTTTGAGCTGTTTGAGAAGTGGGCATCTGAGTTTTACTACACCACTCTATGTGGGGGAAAGAGAGGCCGACCACTCTTTTTTCTGTAATGGCAAGCAAACTTTGGAATAGCTTGCCTCTAAAATTAAGAACTTCTCGTTTAATTACCAAAGAAAATTTCAACCATCAAAAACTGAGAAAAATTACTGGTGGCAAAAAAGTTTTTGAGCCATACATTTGTAAAAAAATATATTTCAACTTTTGAAAAGAGAATTTCTTTGAAACCATATATTGGGCTCAAGTTTTCAGAGATTACTAATATTGCTATGTTCTATAATATTCAGAGATGGTATTTTAATAACTTGATAAGAAAAGGATAAGCATAATTATGTTAATGAGAAAAAAATGGAAACAAAGATTTGCTTTTAAAGTGGCTTGAAAGGGTTTTGATCTTTCACATACAGGTAAAATGGTTTTTATGAATATTTCTGAAATGTAGATTACCATTGTCATACTATGACAATATATAAAATCATTATCCTTTGAAAAAAAAATCAAATACATGGACCAAGGAACAAATGAATATAGGGAAAAGGGTGGAGTTGGGATTTAGAGTTTGGTACATTATAAAGAACTTGAGACAGAAGGCTGTGAGACTTGAATGGGATGAAGAATCAGGGCTTGAAAAAACCTTGAATTCTAGTTTGTCCTATGGGCTAGTTTGAATTCTAGTAACTGTGGGCCTTTTTACCTGGAAACCCAAAATGCATGATGACATGCTGAATGGTGCCTATAGGATTTGTTTATGGCTTTTTGCTAGGCAACTGTGAAATACCAAACTGATAGAAAGAAAGATTTATGACCAAAGCGAAATCGCACTACGTTTGCGATCCTCGAGACAAAATTAATAAGTCGCTTCGCTCGTGCCCTTACGGTCGCTGGCTCCACGAGAATAATGAAAGTATTAATAATTATTTAGAAATATTACATGGCCGTGTGGAGATATAAAATTTCTTTTTGATTGCTCAAAATATTTTATGAGTGCAGGGCACAGCAAGTGAGATATTTTTTCAACACAAGAAGTGAGCAAGCAACTATGTCATGTTTAATTTTTGATATAAAAACCAATGAAATAGCAAACCACTTCACTTAAACGCTTGTTTTGCTGCAAAAGGTGCCATTTACTATGTAACCATAGCAATGGCAGTCACTATATCCTTATTGCTTATTATTCTATACCGGACTGTTATATTTAATATTTTCTGTAACACCGTGCAATTGATAGCTTGGAAATTGGTGATAACGAGAACTAAACAAACATAAATTTGTTTGGATTTATCAATAGGCAGATGCCATACTTATTGTAAGGACAATTGGACAAGCTTTTGAGGTGTGTCACAAGCGAACATTAAGCCAAGCAAGTCAAGATAATGCACCGCAGGCTGATAAAGATAATCCAGGTCAGAAGACACAATGACATTTTTTCTTAGTTTCTTGTAGTTTTAGTGTCTGCCATCATGAAGCCTTTTATCTTGAGATGGCATTTCCTGCCAGGACAAGTTTTGTTTTTGTTGTCGTTCTTTGTAAATTAAAAAGTCACGTTAATTAATTTATAACATTCATTTCCTTGCATGTGTAGAGCTTGACGTTCCTATGAAAAACAATGTTGCTCCAATGGAAACAAATGAGAGCTCACCCAGTCAGAAGGTAAGTCAGCTCCTTGGTATAATATATATAGAACCTTGTTACTTGCAAACGATTCTTGGATAAGTGTCATAAATTTTAATTTTATAACATTGCAGATTATATGCACATATTTGCTTGGAGGTTGCTGAAAACCACAATGGCTTTTAATAGGAGCCTCCAAGGGACCTAACTGAAATGATATATAATGAGAAAAATGGAAGAAAAATATTAACTAATGCACATTATTTAGTTCAGTGAATTTATTTCCTTGGTTTACTGAAAAACTAAGCATTTTTTCGACAACTGGAAAAGATCCAAAGGGGAGATTACTAACAATGTAGTACTTGATTTGGCATTCTCTGTCCTACCATGTTTTTTTTTTTTACCTGAGTCGTCTGCCCTTCTCGTTTTCAGAAATTTACAGCCCTGTGCAAGACTTGTAATTTTTTACTTGAGATAACCTGGGGTCAATTTAATAAAACTTTTACGAGTGTAATTTACAAGTGTAGCTATTGTTTTAAGGTCTGAAAACAATTTACACTTGAAAAAGTTTTATTAAATTGACTCCTGTAGGCCTGTGTTGAATAGTCAGAAAGAACAACAATGATAAACATGCTCATGTTCTTCAGAACCTGTGGAGATCAGTTCCTGTTTTAAGTTGGCTGGTCTGCAGAGTAGTGGTAGAAGTTTGTGAGTTTGAAAACCAACTGTCTCAAAACTCAGCATCATATAACTGAGCTTGAGGATACAGGGGCTGCTTTTGCTATACAAATTTAAATTATTATCTCTGAGATTAATGGTCAGTAAAATTAAGACAAATTCATGTCCTTGGTAGTCTCCATCGCAGCTGTTATTAGGGACGTCACGCAACGCTCATCTCCACTAGTGGGGAGGAGCATTGCGTGACGACCCTAATAACGGCTGCGAAGGAGACTATGTCCTTGGATGATCACACAAACTTTTAAAGCTTATTTGCCCAATTGGCAAGGTTCCAGGCAATTCATCCTCTAAAGAAATCATCTACTAAGAGGAACTTAATAAGTGGCCCCGGGCAAGCAAAATGCGAGAGCTGCTTGCCCAAAGGTTAAGCTGGAATTCAAGTGTTTTTCAAGCCCTGAATTTTCTTGCCTTTTCTCTGTTGCCAGGTGGACTTACCTACTGATGTGAGAGAATACCACCCTGATCCTAGTATTGCACCATTAACAATCCAACAGCTTCGTCAAATATATCAGCAACAGCTTGACCATCAAAGACAAGAGACACAGGCTGCCCAGGCACAGCTCACCCTTGTGACACAGCAGCTTGATAATGAGGCTGCTGCGAGACAGGTTCTTCAGGTAAGTGGATATTATGTTCCCTGGCATTTATGCATAGCCTAGTCATTCTACACATCTTTAATTTATTTTAATGTTTAGTTTTAAGGTGCTGCATCATGGCTAGTCTAGTTCATTTTGTTAAGATTGCCAACAACACATCCTTATTTGCAAAGAAGCATAACTTTAGTGAAAAAACCCCTGGTAAATGGCAAAATCACATCTTCATTTCAAACAAATATGTCTCCCAAGCATATCAAATGTTACAAACAACAAAAACGGACGTTGAAACAGACTGTTTAAGGCTAACAAGTTTTCGAAACAGCAATTCAATCCACTTAATCTTCTTCAAATTTGTCCATCCATGTCTTGTATTTATGCTGTGTTATTCATACCTTGTTTTAATATTTTGAGCAGTTATTTTTATGTCTTACTCAATTTGGTGACATAGAGTTCCGCTGTTTGAGGTTTGAATTAAATCTCGCGATACAGCTTCTTTAATTGTTGTCTGTTCCATTATTAATCCATTACAGACTTTTCACCACGTTAGCCATGAATTAAAGTACTATTAAAAAACGTGTTCATTAAGTCATAGCATCCAATTAACCTATCTTAATTTTCAGAATCAACTAGATCAAGTGCTTAAGCAGAACAAAGACTTGATATCAACGGTAACACAATTAGTTGACCAAGTTCAAACACTGCAAAACCAGCTGCGTGGCCGTGGTGACTCTGGTGTTAGCTTAAGTCTTGATATGGATGGCAAGATTTCTTCAGGAATGGCAATACACTCGCAAGCATCATCATCAGTGAATTCTTCTCCTTACAAAGAAGGACTTGTTTCAACAGCAGCTGTGTTAAAGCATCGTCTAGGTGAACCAGTGTTTCCCAACATCCCACCTCCAGCTATGACTCCAAGCCCACTGATGTCACACAGAGGTGACATAGATGCCTTGGATGGCAGCATTTCTTCTCTACAGTCCAGCAGCAAGGTTGCAAGTTCAGAATCTTTTCTGCGCAGCAGTACAGTACCTGAGGGTAGCTCTCTCCCTCCTCTTGTGGATTTAAGCTCCTCTGAGCTTGAGATGGTTGAACCAAGACATGAGCCCTTCCCACAGCAGTTTCTTCAGTTTGTGTTTGACAGTTCTGATCCAGGAAGGGATAGCTCCACAAACATTACACAACAGAATGGAACTGTTAATGTAGCTAACACTTCCATACCACCAGGTGGGAAGTCTACGATTTTGAATGGTACTTTTTAAAGACTGCTACAAATGGTTGGTCTGCTAGATAAATTTAATTGGTATTGATCAGGTATTACTGAATGATGATCATTCTTAGTACTGTTTCTACACTCGATATCAAGGCTTGAAAAAAACTTGAATTCCAGCAAGTCCTTCTGGTAAGCAACTCTCACATAATTTTGCTTGCCTTGGGCCACTTCTTGCTCATCTTAGTTAATGGTTTTGGTACTGTAGGATGACTTGCCTGGACCGTTGCCCATTGGGCAAGTAAGCTTGAAAAATTACTTACCCAGCAAGAAAATCTACTTGTCCCAGACTACTGGATGGGAATTTTTTCAAGCCCTGACTTGAGCCCGAGAATAAAGCTTTTAGAGTAACAAAGGGGCCAAGAGCTTTAGGAAGTGCCTGATTGATGCTTGGGTTGTTTAACAAATTAATAGACAACAGTTATAATTATTATTATGGCCTGACTCTTATAGACCATGGAATGACATCAAAATGTTCAAAATTCAAGTGCCGGTTTCACTGTTTCAACACTTTGACTTCATTTCTGTGATCTAACAGAGTATAGACCATGGGAAATTGTGGTCTATTAAATAGACCACAATTGATCAATGTTACTGTAAGAAACAAATTTTGTTTCTTACAGTAACATTGACAGTTTTTAATGTCCAAATTTTCCAGTGGATTTTGTATAGGTAATCACATGATTTAGAGTGGAATTTGGGATAAATCAGCACAAGTAATTTTTTTAAGACTAACCAAATTGCACGAGCCTGTATTTTATTTCAACCTTCTGCACTGTTTGGGATTAATTGGCACTGTGCTCTCAACAGATATTGCACAGACAAAAAATGTGCCATCTTCATGTCATTACTATTGCCTCTACTCTCATGGACCACAGCTTTCAAGTCACTCAGTTATTATGCACCTATCAATGTAAACCCCATGGGGGAGTGGGGGGAGTGCGGGCAAGGGGGGGGGGATTTGACAAATTTTAAAATTTTTTGATCAAATTCCCCAGGGTGGGAAACAAAAGGTCAATCAAAAGTGTCAAAAAAGCCCCAACCCCAGGGGAAAAAATCTAAACAAACAATACCATAATAATGTATAAAACGAATTAAAAGAACATTTCAAAAGTACGTCCTTACTAAACGTAAGCTCCGTTAAATTACTCGCTGTAATTAAGTATTTTCTCTCTCCACTAGCATCTCTTATTTTGAACAACAAAATCACTCTAGGAAGATTGACCGTGCTATTATAATATTAATGAAACGTAAAATGCTTTATAACATCTGCTCAACATGTTGGAACAGGTCGGATCAGTGACCCATAAAAAATCCTCTGACTTTCATGGTGGAATTCGATTTCAATCGAGTTTTACAATCAGATGGGAACTTGAAGATAAAAACTTTATCAAAATAGACATTATCTGTTTAGATGACAGTTTAAAGTATTGGATTATAGCGATTAAAACAAATGAAAACTTCACACCTTTCTCCATCAGTGTGACTTTCAGAAAGCCTCGAGGGACGGACTCGGTGACCGCTTCTGAATTGATACCAGGCTCTTGTCGGTCAAAATCAAATGTCCCGACCCCGGGGTCGCTTCGCACGATCAAAAGCCCGACAGGGGAATAGTCTCGGGCATCAAATCCCTGCCCCTTGCCCACGCTACCCCCCACGGGATTTACATTGATAGGTGCATTATTTAAACTGTCATGTACTGTCCAAATTCTGGGCAAAATCAGAGCCCATCACTCTAGAATATCCATCTCAAGGATAGTTGTGATTGAAAGAGTATGAAAAAGAGAAGTAAAGTTCATTGCATATAGAACGTTTTCTTTTTCATTAGTCTAGTTCCGTTGTGAAATGAAGCTGTCTACTAGCACTGAAAGTATATGAATCAATCACAAATAGGTACACTCTTACAAATTTAGGTGAATTGTTATTTAATATGTATTATTTTGACAGCATTCATGAAAGATAGCATTATTAATCAGTAGCCAAATTTTATCTCAAAATATGTGTCTGAAATGTCTTAAACTTTACTGCCCATATTTTTTATAAAATTAATTTTTTATCTGCTTGTACATAGCATAATTATACAGTGAAAAGAGGGTCTAATATAAAATTGTCTAGTCTATTTTTCATTCTTCAAAATGCCCTAATTGTACAGTGTAAAAATCATGCATTATTCTTCTAATAATACTCCTGCAAGTAGTTCCTTTTCAAAATGATTCGAGAGCATTACTAAGCATTCATATACATGTACACATTTTGTATATTCAGTGGCATATTCAGATCGCTAAGTAAGTGGGGGCAGGTAGCTTGGTTTAATGCTTATGCCTTATTTAACAATTACCTGTTTCAATATGATCGTTATCAGTTCACTTTCTTGTCCCATGTATAGGGAATCTAAGACAGTCTTGGATTCTGGATCCCATGCTGTGGATTCCAGAATACAGTACTGGATTCCAGTCGTTAAGTGAGATTCTGGGTTCCTTAAGCTGTATTCCGGATTCCAAAGCCCAGGATTCTGGATTCCACAAGCAAAAGTTTTCCCCGTTTCCAGATTCCCTTACATGGAGTGTACTTTCAGTTTTCTCTTGACAGCAAGTGAAAGTCATTTGCCATTCTGAGTTAATAATATTAATAGGTCTGAAAATTTTCAGCTGAAATTTTGAAAGGAAATGGATTATTTTTCGAACATTTCGATTCTGGCATTTCCTTTTCCGAAACTTTGATAATCTGAGATGGGATAGTTCGTAAAGCCAAATAGTTATCCACTAATTGTTTAATTACAAATTGACAATAACAATGCATGACAAAGCACTTTTTCCACTTTTAGAGATAAAGATTAAGTAAAAATCGTAGGTTGTAACCGTTGTTATTATTATAGCTCTTTGGTCGTATATGACCATACATAATCTAGTTAGAAACCAGGAAATCAACACTGGTAGAATTAAGTATTAAAAAAAACTTCCATGATGTAATGCTCTCAAATTGAGACGATGCGATCCGAACCCTCCCTTTCCATTCACAGAGCCAAGGACTGACTTGCTTCTGTAAATAAGGCTTTACCTAATAAGTTTACGTGACCTACACATCCTTGGCACAAAACGAGCTCTGTCCAATGGAAAATCATGGTACATACTTGGGCTTCACGCCATCTTTCTTGTTCGAGGTTATAAATGCCCTTTCGGACATAATTCACTAATTGCTTGTCAGTAACAATAAGTATACTTGGGAAAACCTTTTGACATACGAGGCATAGTGATGTTGTTTTTCGTGATCTATTTTCCTATTCTCTAGGTGACAACATAGGACAAAGCCCAAGTATGTACCATGATTTTCCGTTGGACAGAGCCTGTTTTGTGCCAAGGATGTGTAGGTCACGTAAACTTATAAATAGGTAAAGCCTTATTTACAGAAGCAAGTCAGTCCTTTACATAGGACTGATAATTTCTAATCATGCATGATCGGCTTCATTGCTGGGGAGTGGGGAGCGGGAAGGGACATGTGATCTTTCCTTTTAATGAGAAACCCCCCTGCCCCTGTGGTTGATTTGGTATGTGTTAGTTGAGCCTATCCATGTCGTCGAAGTTCAGAGGATAGCAGCAAGAAACAACTTCTTGTTAGAATCTTAAAAGTGAATACCCAGGTTAGGTTGCTGTGGACTATTATGTCTTTTGTTAATTATTAGGCTGCCTATGGCCCACCCAAACTAAAAAAAAAAACTACAAATGAGGTGTCTCGTTGGTGCGGCAAAAAGACAAAATGAAGGACAGATCACGGGAAGGGGAAAAACTTTGGGTGAAACGACGTCTCCCTTGCTTTCCCTATCCCTCCGTCCTTTGCCTGGGTATGAGGCAGAAGATCACACGGAGAAATTACATGCTAATTTTTTGGGTTAATGAGGGTACAGCATTGGGTTCAGCCCGGTGGCATGTACCGACACATCTCACTGCCCTTTATTCTTGACGCCTTCCAGTTAAATTATATCCATTGACAACACTGACCAATAGACATACAATAAGAAACATACCACACCAGACTTATTCAACTTTAACTTTAATGTTACATCATCGAGGTAATGTACAAAATAAATAATAAGTGCGTCTGGTTATGAACATAAATGCATTTTCTCTGGAAACATATTTAAACCTTATAGCTTGTACTCTTTTCGATTAAGGTTATTCAGTCAGCTTATAAAACTATGCCTACCTAGAAAAACGTTGGACAAGGTTAATAAAAACACTCCCAGCCCAGCATTGGAGGAGGGAAAGTTTTTGTATGGAGGAAAGTGTTAAGGTAAAAAGAGTGAAAAACACTAATAATTCACCCATGACTTCACTTGATTTGAAGCAGTATTTGTTGTCACTTGAAATCTTTCTCTTCAAAGCTAGCTACTGGTTATAGAGTTGACAGTTGTGACCTTTTAGAGTTTTTATTTCGTGGTGAAATATCTATTTAGTTTCCTTTTACTGAATTAACTTACTTTATTATCGTTGAGAATGGATATGTCATATAAAATTTACTGCCTCTGGCGCACAATTTGTCTAATCTTAAACGCTGATTTTATTTTGTCCTAACAATAGTATATTCTACAAATTCTACTTATTTTTTTATTCGGTTCTGGTCATAAAACTTATCGTATTGTACTGAAAGACAAACTCAAACCTGGAATGCTTATAACATAAAGCAAGCTACAGAAGCATCAAGAGCGTAATAGTGGTATGGATAAATGGATGAACATTGATGTTACAAATGAGGCAAGAAAACATGGTAACTGTAGACAGACAAAATCGAATACCCACCGAGCATAACAAAAAGGTACACAAATTAAGGTAACATACCGACTAAAACATTGCCCCATGTAAAGGAATCCAAGACAGCCTTGGATTCCGGATTCCATGCCGTGGAACCATAATTTAAAAACTGGATTCCAGTCTTTGTCAGAGGAACTTGGATTCTGGATTCCCATTATAGTGGGATTCCAGATTCCTTGGGCTGTATTCTGGATTCCACAAACAATATTTTCCTGGAGCGGATTTCACAAGCAAAATGTTCCTGGATTTCCAGATTCAAACACTCTTTGAGTTCAAGCTTGAAACAGCAATTTAACAAAATTAATTTAAAAGCGGTACATTCATTGGCATTATTGATTTTACGATGACAAGGCTTCTTTAACGCTCTCTCCACTTACACTGTAGAATGAGTAATTCATTTCCTTCCATGGTCAGATCATTACACTTAATATTATCAGATTGTTCCACAATGCAGTCAGAACTTTTCAAGAGTCTTAAAGCCACGAGCAGAAACCAGGGCGTTACTGTGTATCCCTCGTTCTTTAAGCCAAGAGGCCAAAAAAAGTGCGCTTCACATCGAGATTTACATTGAAACTGTGGAACGATCTGACTATAAAGTGGAACGATCTGGCTTGAAACAATCTGACCATGGAATGAAGTGACCGTAAACAATAAAGCACAGTCCACAACAAAAACATACGATGGATGGTAAGCCTGTGGTCTAAGTACTGGCAGGTTGAATGTAATCCAACAGGGGACTGTGTGACGATGAACTAAGCGATGACGCAGAGGAAGGCTGTTCCATGGATGATGAGCCAGGGGTCAGGGCATTGGAACTTGCAACACGTTCAACTATCATAGCATGGAGATCATGGATTGCTTCAATGTGCTGAAATGTAAAGGATTATATTAGCAATAACCACAAAAACGTACAAAAGATACCCTAACATTTTGAAAACAAGATCCACAGCTTAAACGTTCCAAACGACAATATTTTTAAGGGGCTAATATTCACAAGGAACTTCCCTACGATGGAGCTTGTGTAATGTTGGAAAAAATTAATGTGCTTTAAAGTCAGCTGGGCTTTTACCCTCCGAGGGAAATTTGTGTTGGCAATTTTCTGATTCGCAAATAATAATAACGTTATTGAGTACTGACTGGGGCATTAATTAGAATTTGAGAAAACGTAGCCATCTGAATAATATCCCAACTTCAACACAACTGCAATAAACCTTGTACCGTAACTCAAATACCAGTTACTCAGGGTGCAAAGAAAATCATTTTTACAGCTTGCCATTTGGGAAAGCTGAAGCTAGCATTTACTAGCCCAGACGTCATTTCAACTAGCCCCAAAAACTTTTTGTTCTTCCGTTATTTAAATTCCTCATAAAACATCACTTGCCGGTCGGGCAAGTTAAAAACAGAACTCACTAGCCCGATAGCAAAATCCACTAGCCCTGGGCTATTGGACAGTACTTTCTTTGCACGCTGGTTACTGTTCACATGGTTTTTAACAGACCATGTCAAAGTTTACAGAGTAGTTCATAATTATGGAATCGAATCAGAAAATTCTAGTGCTTAAAAAATGTTGTCACTGGAAAATGCAGCCAAGTTTGTAAATCAAATGAATTTAAAATGAAGAATTGACAATCATCCTGGGTCACCAAAAGGACTGATAGCATACAACTACATACCTCACTAGAAGGCTGTGCCAAGGTCAAAACATGCACCACTTTCTGAGGGTCCATTTTAGGAAGGACATACCACAAGAGGCGAAGGGTGTGGCGCAAAATATTTGAGTCTGATACCAGAAGAAGCAGAAACTGATCAAACACAACATCACAGAAGTCAGCACGGGAAAACTCTTCAGACCAAGCAGCCAGTGAGCTGACCAGTGTGTGAAGAGACACCTCATCTAACATGCGCTCCTGACAGGTACCAACAAACCAAGGCAAGATGGTCAGCAGCATTTGTCTGTTGGCAAAAAGGAGCAAGATATGTTTTGACAGCAGCCTTTGTACCACCTCACCAGCAAAGGCATTCTTTAGAAAAATTCTACAGGAATTGATTACATCTTTGTTGAGCATGCCCTGCATGTTGCTAGGATACAGTTTCAAACCCAGGCCTAAAAGCAGTGTGCTTGGTACTGCAGGCTCAATTATGATGATTGGTTTATCAATAAACTGATGCTTGCACTCAAAAAACCAGTTTGACGAGAGAAAACAGGATTGACTAGTCCAGAAGTAGTCCACAATCATGAACTTGTAAACATTCTGAAACCATTTTATTAAAACTTTTTACATGCATGTCCATTCAATTATTCTTGTTAAAACATTGTAACCTGCAGTCACTCTCCACAATAAGGCAGAAAGGAAAGTTGCAAGAAGAATCCAGGAGAAAAATTTACCTTCCAAACTGGTACTCCAGTTACCCACGGAATTATAAACACAATAATTTACCCTTGTTTTTCATTTACCATTTTCCCGCCAACAGCCTTGTAGCTCCATTATTAACATATAAACTACAGACAAGCCATAATAACTTTATTTGCTCTGAAGAAAGGCGAGGACTCAAACGTCCGCTTTTCAATATCAACTTTTTAAATTGACTTTATCAACCCAATTAACAGAAAACTATTGCATTCAAATTCCGAGCTGAGTGTTGACATCTTACTATTAATGTAAATACATGCATAACAGTAATAATGTGTAGAGAATGCCACAGAAGTGATTAAGCAGTTAATCAACAGGTGACATTGCCGGCACCCATTGCTGAGGACGGGATTCCATCAGGGGTGTAATAATATTATTGTTACAGTTTCTCCAGAGATTTTCAAAGAGAATAAAATAATTCTTCCTGACCACAACTGATAGTAAAATAGTACCTGTCTTTTTGCTTGATAACATGAAGAAGATAGCACCAAGCCAGTGTGAATGCTACTGAATTTGATGAAGTAATTTCTACAAAGTACGCAGTGAATTGTGAAGGGCCCTCTATGCCACCATTCTTGTCCTCATCATTGAGTTTATCATGAAGAGAGTTAAGACCACTATCCACCATCAGTGACATAATCAGTGGCAAGAACTTATGAACCAATTCACCACCCTATTAAGGTTAAAATCAAAAAGTTAAGTACAGTATTAGTTTTTCAAACAGCTGAGGATAAAATTCATAGGGTAAAGCAAACTGTCTACCCTAAGGCCTGTAAATCTCTCTATCTCTTTTTAGGAAATCCCTGAACAAGTCAGACATCACGCACACTGTTCCACAATTGTTAACATTTCACAGGACACAGGCAAATTACCATTGGCCATGAATGATTTTCTTTTATATCACACTCCTCTTAGCAGATCAAAGCATCACAATGTTAATAAGGTGAATGACAAACTGCATAGATGACCAAGTGACATTTAATCTTCTTCATAATATACATACACAGCATGCAAAGAAAGTAGTGTCTGATAGCCAGGGGCTAGTGGATTTTGCTATCGGGTTAGTGAATTCTGTTTTTAACTTGCCCAACGGGCAAGTGATGTTTTTTGACAAATTTAAATAACAGAAGAACTGTGAAATCAATTCCGCTCGTCAAAAAGCTTTTGGAGCTAGTTGAAATGAAAAAGTGGTTGGCAAAAGGAGCATATAAAATTAAAGGTGTAAATTTATTACTCTTTAATTCTAGGTTTCTTTGTTGCCCGCAAAAATTCATGTTAATGCACTTTTTGAGAAATTTGAATGAAAATAACTTACAAAAGCAACAAGGGAGCTGTATGAACATAGTTAATACTGATATAACTTACCAGTGCCACCTCAGTAAAGTGTTGATTACTAATCATTTCCCATGCACTAACTCCCAGATTCAACACCCGCAAAAGGAAACTGACATCTGAAGAAGTCTGCAATTTCCAAAACAAAATGGACTGTATTAAGTTTATCTTTATCATATATCATCAAGGATTTTACTCTTGTGAAGGAGTTAGATTTTCAATTATTTTTTGAAAGGAAAGTCACTGTGGTAGAACTTCTGACACTCAGAGTTATTATCAAACCAGAAAGAAAACTCACCCTTGGCAGTAACTCTGTGTTGACAAGTCGCTGTAGTTGCTTAATTACACTTTTGGAAACAGTGTTGATAGCAAATGGGTCACACAAAATCATTGCAATATCCCTGGTAAATAGAGAAAAGAAAAAAAACAACAATAATGATACTTACAACATCCACAAAAAAATATTAACCCATTCACTCCTACCATGTAGTACTGGACAAAGTCTAAATTCAGTTTTCTGTTTTAATATCCATAAACTGCCATGGATTTATTTCTGAACATTTTGAAATGTTCATGAGCTCTTCAAGGACGGTGTGATGAAGAATACAGAATACTGGTCACCAATTTGGTGACTAATTACCTGGACTGACCTCTAGTGATAGGAATTCAGGGGCAATGGTGCCTGTATTAGGCACAACTTCATGCCTTGGAGTGGCGCAGATGGTATAATCACTTACCATGACAGGGCTGTCATTACGATTGCGCTTTGAAGCATCGGTTCACCCGTAACATTTCACAAAAGATTTACAGTATAGTATCACCTTAAGCTTTCCACTTTGATCACCCATAACATCAAGTGAGCACAGCTGTAACATGGTTATGGGTTATGGCCCTTAATGACAGCTCTGCATGAAATCCTGTCATACAATGTACACCCTGCCCAATATCTTCTCTAGCCTGAACAAAAATCCAGTCATTTCTTTATTTTTCAAGCATTCTTTTGAATATGGCTAACCCATCATTAAGACCAATATTAAACCACCATAATATGACCAGTGAAATACCTACTGATACCCGTGGGTAAGTAAGAGGTATTCATCTGGTAAATTGTGAAGCTTCTATCAAAAGTCAATGACATTTTTCACCTAGTGTGATGCCGGTCACATTCTTAGTGTTTCACTTTACTCCAACAGCCTTACCCAAGGACTTGTTCTTCACTGTGCTTGGCCTGATCTAAAAATCCCTGCAACTCTTTTGTCCTTTTCCCTTCAATCACTTTTTCCCTGATGCAAGCATCCAAACACCATGTGAATTTGTGACATGGGTCAATATCCTTTATGTCTTTAATTTCAAGGTCGTGGACAGCCATTAGAAGCTCTGATCTAAGAGTACAATAATGAACTTCCTTGGTTCGTAGAAAAAGTGTTCTAAGAAACTGCAGAACAAGATTGTACAGTTCCAAAGACTTTCCAATCATTTTGGCTAAGTTCTGAACAACTGTATTTTGCCTCCTTGTTTTAGACGGCATTGAAAAGAATGTGTGAGAGTTTAATGGTTCTGTGGAGAAAATGACACTGTATTTCGCTTCAACATATTGATTCAAAAGGGGTCCAACGGCATCACCAAACAACGCGTGATGTTTTACCCAGATCTGTCTTTTAACCTCAATAGAACAACCCTCGTACAATTGTGGGTCATTTGCAAGTTGCTCAAGACATTCTTCAGGAACTTTAGGAAGGTATTTCATCACCTCCATCACAACTGGACGAAGATGCTGCACATGGATGAACGGAAAACACTGATCAAGCAGACTCTGGAGCTTTTCAACCTCCAAAGCTTTTACTTGCTCCAGCAGTTTGTCTCGTAAATTTTCCATAACAAAACTATTGAATTCCACTCTACGAACATCGTGAAGGTCCAAAAAAGGTAGAGCAGGCTGTAAAGAGGGCAACATAATGCTATTTTCCTGTTGAAAGTTTTCTATGAAGTTGACAACTTCGAAGTCTTGAGCGCCTCTAAGTCCATTCAAGATAGAGTCCGTTCCGGGAAGCCCCGCCTGGTCAAAACCAGCCATATTGCTCTGAGATGTGTCTTGTTCAAACTGCGGTGGTAAATCAACGGTTTCTTGACAAGTTACCTCAATAAATTAGTGATTTTTGCAGGACAAATTTTTCGCCATTTTGGCGGACATCGGCCGAAGCCGAATGCGCATGACCTTTGTGCTAACCGCAAGGAATGCAGGGACTTTTATAGCAGCCATGTTTTTTTGCTCCCATAGTTCTTTGCAGTCTACAAGTACCATGGCGGATGAAGTTGACCTTCGAGAGAAAATACAGAAATACGAGGAATTTGTGAATGACAAGTTAAGAACAGATCTTGAAACTGTAAGGAAAAATCAAGAGGAGGTGAATTCAAGGATCAGTGAATATTTACAACTGAAGAGTGTAATAGAAAACATTAAAAGTTCTGAAGAATCCCGGTCAGGGAGAGAATTAAAGACTCAAGTGGACCTTGGATGCAACTTCTACTGCCAGGCGCGCATAGCAGACCCATCAAAGATATTAGTGTTAGTGGGCTATGGATTCTATGTGGAGTTCACATTGGAAGAAGCGCTTCGTTTTATAGAGAAAAAGTGCAATCAATTAACAATGCATAGTCAAAAATTGGGACAAGACTCTGCTAGGATCAAGGCAAATATTAAACTTGTTCTGGAAGGGCTTAGAGAATTACAGGGCCTTCGTCCGGTAGAAAAAGAACCTAGGCCTATTTGGTGAAGGAAGTTTGGGAGCAACTACAGAATGCAGGGACAATTCGTAAGGACTTTCATGGAAGTGGCTTGGTGGCTCCCTAGTAAAGACCAATGTTTAAATAACGAGAAAGATAAATATTAAACGTTGTAAAGCGTTAGATAGCTATTAAGGTATATAGGTAAAAGGGATGGTATACATTTTAGTGGGTTGGTGGCTTGATGGCCCGTCAGTGGAGGCTAGAGTCTTGAAGAGTGAAAAGGTATATATCTTAGTGGCCCAGTGGCTCAGCAGTCTTGACTAAAGAGCCACAGAGCCACTTGAATAATAAGGTCATTACTTTTTATCTCACTGACGAGATATTGAGCTACTTGAAAGAATAATTCTAAAAAAATGCTCTCTATTTTGTAGTTATGCCAAAGATTGCAGGAAGATCATCATGTCACTACAGTTGAACTGGTGGCCGTTGTGGAGGGGTGGCCGTTAGTAAAGGTTCGACTGTATTAAGGACTGCACAGGTCAAAACTTCAAGGTGACCAGTTGGTGTGGTGTGGAGGAAAGAATCAAAATAAAATCTATGGGGAACTCATGGGTGCCTTGTTTGATAAAAAGTCATGCAATAAAATAAAATATTTGTTTCAAGTTGAAATGATATATCCAAGAAAAATTCTTGGTGCCTTGCATGTACCTGTCATGACACGCTTTGCTTATTCACAAGTTCATGTTCTCAAAATAGCCACTCCAGAGTTTGAGATCAGCTACTGTAATCTAACTACATTATTTTTTAGTTACTATTTTTATTATTACACTAAAAATGCTGACTGTTTTTTGGCCTTTATTCTTCCTTCTTACCCTCGCCCCCGCTCTTATCTTTGACCTCTGTTCAGCTTTCATGTAATCTGAGATCACGCTCTATTTTCATTTTGCTTGGTTAATGGAATTCCAACATGCGGCACATAAGGGCAACTGCCAAAAGTAACCGTTACTTTTGGTAGTTGCCTGATGATTGCCTCGCAAGAGGCACGAAACTCTGAGTAGCAATAAGTGTTCAAGATTTAATCCAGTTCCATCGGTCTACGCGTATTCTGCTCTAGTTCAACTATTGAGCACTCTTATAGTCGATGAGGACGTCACTCTGGTACTTCATTACAATCGTTGATATTACCTGATAAGTGTGGTCATCTTTTGGCCATGCGAAACAGAGCTAGTAATAAAACGATGCACTACCTCTGAAGTCTTGAACCAGTTTATTATATTTATATACTTCTCTCTATATATATTTATTAAAAACTGAATCATTGGATAATGCAATTCTTGAGCTCTGATTGGCTTAGCCATCATGATATATGAGCCGCTATACCATGCACTCAAAATATGCTAACTGTATGCGTCTACTCAAAATTAAAAACAAGCTAAAAATCGGTTGTTCGTACAAATAAGGTCGGGAAGAATTCTAAAAAACTGAATCATTGGATAATGCAATTCTCAAGCTCTGATTGGCTTAGCCATCATGGTATATGAGCCATTATACCCTGCTCTCCAAATATAGTAGCATCCCGCAGGCTATCCTAAACACGGTCCAATGTCCTTTGTCCTAAACAAGGTAATAAATTTGAGGGTGTTGTCCTTAACAGGGTATGTATTTTAGGACTTTTTTTGTCCTAAACAGGGTCAGAGTCTCAAACCTTCAACGGCTCACCTATACCCAAATATTGATCGAGTACCCCCCACCCCCCTCCTGGGACTTTTTTCTTTGACAGAACAGCGAAGCGTCTAGACTTGCTACAAGTCGACCTGTGGGACTGGAGATTAAATCCTCTGGTACCCAGGGTAGACCCACGGCTATAGAAGGATTTTGTGGCTGTAATATTTTCCCTGGATATTTTAAAAGACAATACTATTCACAGCAGTTTCCAAGGATGCAAAGCTCTAAACTTGGCATGTGAAAGGGTACTATTTGTCATTGGAAGGTAAATGAAAGGGGGTTTTTCCTTCAAAAATGGTATAACAAAGCTAAGGGGTTAGACCTCAGGATGGAGCCTGTCCGTTTAAAACTTTGTTGATTACCACCCCTCCCCTCCTGATTTTTCTAATCGCGTTCCACAGAAACGAGGCGAGTGACCCCTGAACCGTTTGCATGTGATCCCATCACGTATGTGTTCTGGCCTCACGAAAAACATCAACAACACTTCTTGTACAACAAAGAAAATGCTGTATCATCGCCCGTCCGCAATTGGACCTGCGATAGTTTTGGGGGATTGTGTCATTTACATCACTTAATCATGCTCAGTTCTTGACTTACAAGTTTTTTTTTCGAATTTATTTGATGGTACAGAATTATTGTGTGAGGCAAAACAGCCGCGTTAATTCAAGTTGATAAATAATGATACCAAGAGTTTGCTCCCGTTTCTCCTGGAGTTTTTCTAAAGCCATCCTTCGAAGATCAAATGTATCTGGCTTGCATTTTCTACAACGTCGATATGTGCACGACGAACCCAAAGTGAAGATTCCAGATTTCTCGCAGGAGTTTAAGGGAATGGATGCTTCTTTCCCTTGTCTCACGGAACAACCCACGCGGTACGTGACAATAACAGGCAAATTGTTCCATGCTTTGTCTGCTTCACCAGTTAATTGTTTGCCTTATGGAATTCTATCTACCATATAAAATTTAATTATCGCTTCAGCGAGGTATATTGTTGGTAGTTTCATAGTATTTTAATTCCTAGATATCAGTATGTGGCGCCTGATTGCACGTTTTCCTAGTAGCGGTATTTTCAAGAAAGCCTTGTACATTTTGGGGGATGGGGAGGGGGGAGATAAGGAGGGTCCCACAGAGGTAGGGTGAACCTTTTATAAAGGTGGATTTCTACTGTGGTGTAATTTTTATTTTTATGTGGGTAATAATAAAATAGAGGCAATGTATGAGTGTCGCATTAATGTAAAAGTTGAGTGCGGTTCAACTTTTATGTTTACATGTGACCTTTCATGCATGCATTGCCTCTAATGTATTTATGCATGAAATTTTAGGGGGCATACACTCATACAAAGTAAGTGACAGTGGAAATCCATCCTTATGAAGCGAGGGAAAATATTAGACATCATTTGGGGACGGGGACTACATAATAAGTAGATGAAGAAACCAACGTAGCTGCTGATCTGATAGACTGCTGACAGTCACGCTGGAGTGCCTGGTTTCAAAATGGGTATGGATTTTATTTATTTACCAGCTTTTCTGGACACAGGCCTGCCCAGAGGGAATGTGCACAAATGGGACTCAGGTCCCATGGAAGGTGCCATCCCTACCCAATCCCACAACCCGTAGAGGTTGGCCACTCCACCGGGGTCTACGACCCCTACTCTTTTCGAATAGTGATGTGGGTTCTTTTCCCTTCCACAAGAACAAATTGGCGAAAGTGCTGTGAGACAGGACCTATGGTTTTTTGTCCTTATCTGAGAAGACTAGAAAGTCTAACCATTTGCAGATGTCATTACAAAGGCAGCACTTTCTTCTCAGTTATTTAAAGACCCTGAGTGTTGGTCCAGCCGGGGTTTGAACCCGCGACCTCCTGCTTGGCAGACCAGCGCTCTCCCAACTGAGCTAACCAGGTGGTGGTTTTTGGGTCGAGGGGCTGTTTCTCGAACATCCCAGAAATTAAATGGCCTGGAAAGCTGTTGGTTTTTACATTCAAGACCAAGGTTTCAATAGCTTTGCAAATAATATGATAAGACTTTAACTTAACAAAACAAAAAGGGCTGGGTTGTTAGTGGGGACCTGGGCTTTTATTTCTTAGGTCTTGATTTGAATATTTGATCTCAGGCCTGAAAAATTACCCTGTCTTTCGAGATATGGGCCACTGTCTGAAAATGGGTTTGGAAAAATAAAGGGCGGCATGTTTTAGTCAGAAGTAGGGTCAGGATTTGGTGAACCAATAGTACATACCCACCAATAACATTATTCTTATGATTACCCCTTCCTGGGGTAGGAGTGTTGTTTTTACTGGTTGGCATTCTAAGGAGTGCATGAAAGGTCTCAAAGAAAAATAAATTGCAGAAAATATACCAGGAAGATGTCAAAATTTTCACGACGTGACAAATGGTCCTGAGATGTAAATATCTGTAAGAAAGAATTTGTTCTTCATGTTAAGTTCTACTTGGCATTTAAAGATATTAAACAGCATTTAACTGTTCCCTTGGTTTCACTAGGTTGAGTTCTGCTGGTGTTGATCCAGTATACTCCAAAATAAATTCAGGTTACAAGACATATCATCATGACCGCCCATTTTTCTTCAAGTACAATGATGGCATTATACCTCAGCTAGAAGTTGCATATGAAACCTGGGGTGAGTTGAATGAAGCAAAAGACAATGTGGTCCTTTTGTGCACTGGCCTGTCTGCTTCATCGCATGCTAAGAGTCATTCAGTAAGTACTCTCTTTTTCACCCATCAGGTTCTGTCTGTAGTATGCACAGATCTGGGAAAATAATTTTGCCAGGCAATGGATTTGGCTGGTTTGTGGGACTTAACATTTGCGTCCATACTGAATAATGTTGTAGTTGTTGTTCTCCTATTAAAGATTAAGTCAAAATAAAGTTACAGTATGTTGAAAGGAAAACTGTTAACAAGCTCCCCCTTCGATTATCACCCTCCTTCCTGAAGTGCCCCTCCATTTAGCAAAAAAATTTTGAATAAGTACCCAGGTACTTATTCGTGGAAATAGGTTACTCATGAATATTGAATATTTATTGTGTACCTTGCTGTCATATACACTGTAATGCAAAATTGTACAATGTAGGTTACTTGAATGTACATGTATTTTATGCAGGACAATACTACACCAGGCTGGTGGGAGAACTTTATTGGCCCCGGCTGTGCTTTGGATACCGATAAGTTCTTTATCATTAGCTGCAACAATTTAGGAGGATGTTATGGTACTAGGTTGGTAATTGTCAAATTTGTTGTTCTTAAATTCTACATCATTTTGTAGCTAACCTTAGGATGTCTGAAGATAATATAATATGTTTACATATAGTTTATTCATTTATTAATTTTTTTTACAGTGGACCTTCATCAATCAATCCTTTGACAAACAAGGTAGTTTACTCTGGCTCTGTTTTATTTTATTGTTTATTATTTTTGTCGCAACATGTACCTGTTGACTTGTCAATTTCTGCTGATAGTGCCCACCCATCAGTCAATCAACCCCTGTAGTATTTTTCAGTGTTACAAGTAAACAACACTTTTGAACATACACATATTTCTGAATCAACGTACTAATAATTAACAAATGGTAAATGGCCCAGAGTGTACTATTGAGTTATAGTTGCATGCAGGAGGTTGCTATTAATTAAAGCTTTAAAGAAGCGTAAGAGTTGCACAAGGCAATAGCCAAGTGCGACTCTAGCTTCTCGAGTGCTTAGCAATCCTCCCAAGTGCAACTATAACTCAATAGTACATGCTGAGCCATTTTACATAATCAAAAGAGAACAACTTTTAATTTTGCTCACAAAAAGCAGGAGAATGATGTGAGTGCTGTAATCTGCTCGAGCTATGGCATGTGCAAATTATTCTTTGCAAATTCTTTTCTTTCGAAAAAGATCGTTTTGCAGAGTAATTAGTTCTCCGTCTCAGTTTTACATTATCTTTAGCATTCTTTTTAAACTTTCTATCAGTAATGAAAGAAAATCTTTGCAAACCATGAGGTTAAAAAAATATAGTTGCGTAGAAAATAGCGTGTACGGCTTTGAGTGTGCACTAGCTTTCACCACCATTCACTCATGGGCAAAAAGTAAATGTCACTAAAAATGACCAATAAGAGTGCTCACTTTAAGTTTGTTATGTTATAATTTTCTTTACAGTCTTATGCCACAACCTTTCCCCTTGTGAGTGTTGATGACATGGTTCATGCCTTCTTTCTGACCTTGGATTCACTGGGAATAGGAAAGGTTTGTGTAACAGTAAAACTGATTTTTTTCCTTGTATTTTTTAACCACTTTTTTCTTAAAACATGTTCCCAATTTTATTGGTTACCCCAGGTTCATGCTGTTGTAGGCGCATCTTTGGGGGGCATGTCATCTCTGAATGCAGCAGCTCTGTATCCTGATAGAGTAGGAAGGTAAGGGTGGTATTCACTCTGATATAACACCAGTGTAGCTTACAAATCACAACTACATGTAGCTGACAAGCATAATATCATAATTTATTAGCCAATAATTTATTGTTTTATACATTGATCGTGGGGATAGGAGCAGTAACAGTAGAACGGATCCTAGCTGCCAGGCAAGCAGGAAGGAACAGGGCTAAGGAGATTGTGGCTTATAAGCATTAGAGAAAAGAGAGCACTTACATTAGCTTGAAGTTGTAAGAAAATCTGAGTAATGGTGGATATGGGGGAATTATTTATAGTGTTAGAGCTTTTATGCCAGTGTTTGTTACTTACCTGGAGTTTGTAAGTCCACTTACAGTAAAGTACTGCCCAGCACCCCTAAGCTTTGAAGGTGCAGAAGTGTAATATAACCATCAACCATAAAGGTTTTATTTTGATAGTGTGTGAGGCCACTGTCTTTGATGATGTTGTCCCACAGGGGCAGCAGGGAGCATTTCACGAGGGACTTATGCTAGTGTCTAATTGGGTGCATACCTTATGCCCCTCAGTCCAGTCCAGAGTCCCAGCTTTGTTTAACCCAATGTCCAACACTCACTCCTGCATATGAAATAGTGCCATGTATATAGTAGTTGTGTGAGGTGTACGTTCTTGCAATGGGCAGGTCATTACCTTTGTCTTCTTGTGACTATCATTGATAACGGGTAGGGGTCCACAGGGACTCACAACCCCTAGCACAACCCCTCACAACCCCTAGCTAGCAACACTCTTGGCTCACCTCACCAGCTTTTTATACTCTCAGGCCATGTTTGGGACTGGTGCTTCTAGAATCCTGTTTTCAGAGCGGTTGCTTCTTTTTAAGAAGTGTTTAACAAGTCTTTAATTTTTGCAGAGTGGTAACGATTTCTGCTTGTGCCCAATCACATCCAGCATCAATAGCTCTCCGTTATGTGCAGCGTAGAATACTGATGAGTGACCCCAACTGGAACAAAGGCTTTTATTATGATGGACCCTATCCAAGACTTGGAATGAAACATGCTCGGTCAGTTAGGCTCAACCTAAAATGTAATGATTTGATTACTAGCTCAATAGGCCATTCATTTCTCACCGACGTTATATTCCATCTAGTTTTTCCTGTTTTATTCAAATTGTTTTATCCCGCCGTTATTTTAGTAAACAACTATGGTCCTAATTTTTCCAAGAAAACAAAATTCTGAAGAATTGTTTTAGTTGTAGTCAAGAGAGGGTCCTATCATCTCTTTGTTAGCCTGCATAACAGGCGTTATTTTTTCTCCTTTTTCAGGTGAGCTAAGGCAAGTGCGAAGCGAGTGAGGAGCGCCAGAGATGTGAGATGGCGGAGGGCGCGTGTGTGGAGCTCCTTGCTTGCTTTGCGCTTGCCTTCGCTCGCCTGAAAAAGGAGAAAATTAACGCCTGTTATGCAGGCTACTTTGTAGTAAAATGATGTCCTCTTGAAAGGTCTTGTTGCGTAACAAGGGTTCCCGTTTGACTACATATACATGCTAACATTTGGAAAGAGAGACATTCATTGCTCTCGCCCAGACCCTTGTATCTAACTCTCACGGAAACTCTAGCAGCGTTAGTTAAGGCTCAGTTAACAAAGCTGATTGATGGATTGTTTTTCAATTAGAGAAGTGGCTACCATTTCATACCGCAGTGGACCTGAGTGGGAGCTGAGATTTGGGCGGAAACGTATTGATGATCCCCCTACAATATCACCAGATCTCTGCCCTGAGTTTGAGATTGAAAGTTATCTCGACTATCAGGTGCGACTTTTGTTACACGCTAAAACGAAAAAAAAAACTTACCGTAAGCTTATGTATGGTATAAGAGGAAAACGACCCAACTCGTAACCTCTAAGGTGCGATTGGGTACGTGCAAGAATTCGCTAGAAAAACAACTCCAAAAAGAGGGCGCTTTTGTTCGTATTTTACCCCTTAATGAGCATTTCCTTGAATTACTTTTCAAAGTGCCACGCAGCTCACTGTTTTTTTTGGTGAAGAGTTCACCTGGCTAATCAGTTGCAAACATTCGCATTTGTCGTCTCGTCGAATTGTGGTAATTCTGACGCGCAACGCTTTAAGCAACCTTAGTTAATAAGGAAACCAGAGACGAGACGAAAAAGTGATCGTAGGTATAAGGTGATGACGCAACTGAGTATCTAACGACGAGCCGACCAAACTAGCAGGGGACAAAATGACCTGAGGTCGAAGTAACGAGGCAAAAGAACAGTTCTTAAGGGGAGGCTAGTGAGGTGATGCTTTTTCAAACTTTGCCACGCCGTTTGTGAGCGAAAGTCGCGGAATTGGCTTATAGTCCCATTCCAGGTTTCACCGAGTGTTATTATGATTTTGATTATATCATTGCACTTTTCATATAGCATATTGATAATACTGTCAAATCCTGTGAAATATATAGAGGATATTACACGGTGGGGCGAAGATATCTTCAAGCCGCCGTGTAATGTTCTTTTTATTATATAGACAAAAAGACATCGATAAAATAATAGAGGGAAATTACCGAAATTACGTCATCGATAAACTCACGTGTGAGATTATGGAAAATAAACCACTCGGGTCCCGGATGTAGTTTTTATGAATTTTACGAGTGGTATATTTTTCAGTAAAACACTCGTGTCCATATAATAAAAGTAGTTTAGAGAAGGCTGCGTTGTCGTTGTCGTATCTTCAGAAAGACGGTTGAGAAAATCGAACTCAGTCGATTTTTTAACCGAGATTTACCGTTGGAAATGTGTTTTTTCCATGTTGGTTTTTTCTGCTTTTCCAGGGTGATAGCTTTTGTCTCAAGTATGATCCCAACTCGCTGCTGTACATATCAAAGGTAACCATTATAGGCCACCGCGCCTCTCATCCCTTCTTGTAATGAGACACATCCCTTTTGAGACACATCTTAATGTGACTGCAGTTTAAAGCATGATTTTTTCCTAATTCACTTGACAGGCGATGGACCTGTTTGACTTAGGAGAAGGCTTCAGTTCTCTCTCGGAAGGAGTGGCAAGAATCCAGTGCCCGACGCTGGTAGGTACTGGACAGCGAGACACTTAAAAGACATTTAAAAGGTTTTGCTTAAAGAAGTGGACGTTATGTCTCCGTTTGGTGCTGAAGGATGCTGGCCTAGCCTTGTTGTATTTAACCATTAGGCCACCTCACCTCCCATTCTCTCCTTGTGATGAGACACATTTTAATTTACTAAAGGATCGGTGCCAGCCTAGCCTGTTTGAGCTCTACTTAGCGGACCACTTACCTGCTTCCATATCTGGTTTGTATGACAGTGAGCGTGTACTTGCTTCATATATTGCTTCAGAACAGGGTACCGGGACATAGACCGATTTATCTTCAAGTGATAAGCATTTTTTCTCTACTTCGTTCCCAGGTTTTGGGAGTACAGTCTGATGTTCTATTTCCAGTTACACAGCAGAGAGAATTGGAGACTCTTCTTAAGGAAGCTCGTAAGGAAGGAATAAACAGTAATTGTAACTTGAAGCAGGATTTACTATAATTATGTTATACTCAACTAAAGGAAGAAGATCTTTCATTCATTGCTTACAATATTCGTTGCTCTGGTAAAGTAAAATGTCTGCAAGGAAGAGCTGATACTATAAATGTTGAGAAAGTTTTTTGTCAGTGGAGAACCCAGGGTACGACTAAACTACCATCTTAGTAGGAACATGAGTCTTTGGCTTAGTATTCGCGACGCCTTTCTGAGCACAATTATATCTTGACTACTGTTTGGTATTAGTGAGCTATTGTATAAATCTTTAAGATGGCTTAAGTGTCCGAGTGTCTCGAACACTACTTTCCTTCTTTCAGATAACCATGACGTGACATATTATGAACTTCCTTCTATTTATGGTCATGATACATTTCTACTTGATGTCGTTGCAGTCGGAGCAGCAATTAAGGTAAGTCACGTGGTTGAATTATAAGACACACTTTAAGACATACACCGGCTCAACAATGGACGAGAGCTCTTCTGTGCTTTTTAAGGGAGTTCTGTTTGGAATAATGCGCAAGTGTCTATCTGGCCCTAACAGACCTTTATGAGGCCTTATAGCAAGATTTGTTTGTTTGTTTTTTCTCATTCCGACCAGACCACGTGATGTAACAGTAAGTCTTGTCAAAATGTTTGCGTTTAGGCAGTTTTCGATAGGATGGAGGTTTTTCTGAAATTAAGCTCAGTTATGTGGCCAGTTACCACTGCAGGAATTTGGTTTATTTAAAGGCCACAGATTTACGTCTTTTCACTCCTTTTATTTACTATTATTAGGGTCACATCGAAACAGACCTGAAGATTCACGGGGAACGCAAGCTTCCCTTCGTGAACAAGAAGAAAGATTGAAACTCTAATGGCATTGGTGACCTCAAGCCGAGACCTGTAATGCTACCTAACTAGCGCACCTTCAATATGGTTTTTCTTAAAGTATACTGAATGCCAAAGAACGTCAGTCAGTCAGTCACTCACTGCTCAATAATGTACCAAGTTCTGCCTTGGACAACAAAACCTGACCTGTCCTATATGATTATTTGAAAGCGATCACAGAATTTTGACTGCCATGTCACTAGCAAGAATAGTAACGGACCTTTATTCGAAACGATTTACGGTAAAAACGACGCAAATAGCATTGTGCCACTAGAGGCAGGTGTCGCAATAGGCTCATTCACAGAATTTTAGAAGGTGAAACGGACAAACTTACAAACAAACAAAACAAAAAAACTAAGCGAAAAAGTAAAGAAATTACATCATTTTCGTATTAATTAAAAGATATACGTAGTTAGTAACTCCAGTGAACTAATGCGTTTTTTAAAACGGCTTCTTATGTGAGAACAACAACAAAAAATGAATTAAATATTATAACAGATGAAATTAAAACTAGCTTTGAGGCTATAACAAGGTTGTAAGTATTAGGTAAAGGGGTAGCCTGCGAATACAGCCGTCGCTCCTCGCCTCCAGGGACATTTCGCAGGAGAGGCGTCTGCGCGTCAACAACAGAAATTCCATGCTGATGACGTAAAATCTGTACGGAATCTGTTCATGTGAAACGTCCCGAACGGCGAGGAGCCAGGAGAAGACAGTTGTATTCGTAGGCTAGTACAGTGGAGGTAGTTTTTAGAACAACTTACCTTGGTAGGGTCAAAGCGTATTTTTGTAATTTTACTGATGACGAAACAACAAATGAAAATGAAGAGAAATAGCTATCACCGACTTTCAACGTTTTTGTCTCTCGGCTGTTGTCACCGGATAATCAGTAAAGATGTTAGGTATTACGTTAACAGCGGAACCTCTCCTTTGGGACACCTCTATTCAAGGGACACCTCCAGGGGACACAAAATTTTGTCCCTAAAAATGTTTACATAATCTTTGTATTTGTTACCTCTATTGAAGGGAGAGCTCTAATCAGGGGAAAGGGACACTATTGTTAGGGCACGAAACCCGGGTTTAACCTCCATTCAAAAAGTGTGAACAGCAACGGCCCGGGACTGGAACAGGTCCTTTACTTCCGTCCTAAAAGGGTTCCAGTCCTCGCTCCTACTTATTCACTTCCGCTACGGTCCCAATACTGAGTGTCACCAATAAGTCACCAATAGGGTTCTTCAATCCCGTAATCCCGCCCCAAAACTTCGTGCAATCCCGTAATCCCGCGGGTTATTTTTTGGAACCCACTTCCCGCCATTCTTTCAATCCCGAATCTCGCCCTGATTTCGCTTTAAAATCCCGAATCTCGAGCTTCAAATAAGGGAATTCCCGTAACCCGAAAAACTTATTGAGGACCCTCAATACTTGTTCAAGCGGCACCAAAAGGTGGCACCGAACCTATCAGATAGGTGACGCTCCACTCAGGTGTCGATATGCTCCACTATCGGCGCGGCACAGCTTCGTTCCGTTGCAGAAATCGCGCCGAAATCACCGCTCTTACTGTGAACGGAAGCCTTATCCGCTATGGTTTTCGTGCCGGCGCAAGGGCTATCCGGTTACAGTGTGCCACAGTGTGCCTGAGACTCCACTTTGGTATTGCGGTTTTTGGTGTTTATCGATCAGAGTTGTTCTGCGGTATTTAGACCGCGCCCTTCTTTGTTGAGTCCACCCTAACTGCAGTGTTTTTTGGTATTTTCCCCACACCTCTGTATCAAGCTTTGTATTTCGAGTTCTGGAGGAAATTTTTCTTCGTCGGTGAAAGGGTGAACTTTGATCCCTGATCCTCTTTCCTTCATCGTCGATCTTCAATCCTCCATCTTTCATCCTGGTTTTCCAGAAAACCGGAGAGCTAGCCCAAAGAACAAGCGTATTTTTTTTTTGGGGGGGGGGGGGGGGGGGGGGGGGGGGCCCCCCCTGGGTTTGGCTTTTCCGCTCCGAAGTGCCCCCAGATGGGGGGAGGGGGAGATGTTTTTTTTTACCTTGGGGTTTGTATACTTTGTCTCTCCTTCTCTTTTTTTCTCCCCTTCCTCTTACCCCCCCTCTTTTTTCCCCTTGTTTCCCAAAAAACGGGGGGGCGCCCCAAAAAAAAAGGTGTTTTTTTTTTTGGGGGGGGGGGGGGGGGTTCAGGTGAGCCACCCTCGAGCTTTGCCTTCGCTAGCCTGAATGACCTCAGAATGGGAGAGAGAGAACGTCTTCATTTTGACCTTGGGATTAATCTGCGATTAGATGTTTTTTCCTTTTGAGAGGAGACGGGTAAAAAAGACATATGGAGAGGGAAGACACGATCACGGTCGAATCACAGGCAACGTTTAGGGTACAGGCAGTGCACTTACGTGACAAAATAGATCTAATTGATATGCGAGGAAGCACAATGGGTTCATTTAAGGCTTTTTCTTTATAGCATGACACTTTAGAACAATCAATGATGGTGACCTTGCGAGCAGCTCTGTTGCTCGCTTTTCTTTCAAGATGCTTTGCCGCAAAATTTGTCATGTTTCCCATGTTTGGACGAAGCCATTACATGATTCTCGACAAACTGGGGCAAGAACTGTCAGAGAGGGGCCATGAGGTATGCAAATAAGAGTACAGAATGCTTTGTTGTAGTTTTTAGTGACAGTTCAATTATTATTTTGCCAAGCCTTCGTTGGTGTCGACTAAGCTATAAGCTTAAGCTATCTAACGCACTATATGGTACGATTCCAGTCCCAATGAAGAGCCATCGTGAGCTGAGTAGCAAAGAAACGGCTTGGAATGCTCGTCTACATGGCGTGATCACATTACGTAATAGTGAAAATATAAGGATTTGTATGGGAAAAAAAATATGCGGTTCTCATGGTAAAATTAATCTTTTTTAATTATCCTTCTTTTTCAGTAATGATATACCTGCCAACTTTCACACATTATGGGCGAGTCTCACGCCTGTGGACTAAAGAGTAAGATCTCACGCATAAAGGACAATCAGCTCACGCCTGACTTACAATTCGGACGAAAAAACAAAATTCATTTCAATTTCACCGAAATGTTTCAAAAAAGTGGTTAGTGTTGACCTTGTGTCCTAACTGTATCACAAAACGTAAAAATTGTTGTAGAAGTGCTCAAAGGCTGTCGGAACATCTTCGTACATTTGCGCCAAAGTTCGGAAGTCTTCGGAAAATCGAGGAAATATTGGGAAGTCGCTGGGATGTTTTCAGAAATTTGGGTCATGACAAGACGAAAATCTCACGCATTTGACTCAGAAAAAGTTGGCAGGTATACAATGAGGTTTCAGTTACACACACAGAATGTTGATCAATAAATTGGGAATATCATTAAATCGACGATGGTAAAATTGGGGTTCCACTGTGTACATATATATTTCTTTACGTACAACCCTAACTAAAGGGATATCTATATGGCTTTTCGTCCTAAACACCCTTAATGAGACCAAAATCTGAAATTCCACCTCTACTCGAGACGACGAGAGTCTCTGACATAATCATGTGGGAGTGCCCCCGTCCCCCTAACGGGGGGTGGGGGGGGGGGGTTCCTGCACATCACGAAATAGGCCGTTCCTACCGCATTCCTGTGAACGAAGACACCAACTCGAAACCACCCAAGCCGCTACTTCGTTCATTGTGTGTGCTTACTGGATCGGAATGCGAGAAAGGTCCATATCGTGAACTGACAGGCGATCATGATCAGATGGAGTGTTCAGAAAAATTGCTCCCTATCTATTCTCGATTTTCTTTTTGGGGGAATGTGTCGAGTAAAATGTTTTAATGTTTAACGCCATCACGATGTAGTGCAGTTGTTAGTTTAACCAGCGTTTTTTTCCTGTTCGTCTTGCTTCTTCTCAGTTCATAGATTGTTGACACTCCCCTTTTTCAATAAGATCATCGCGAGCACTTACTGTAACGAACAGCCATCTTGTTACATGGTGATAGAAAGCGCTCGATCGTTACCGACGATCTTTGTGTGGGAAAAAGGGGACTGTAATTATAAACAGCCCGGAAACAGTCCACACAGTTTAGTCAGTGTTCAAAGCGATTCCTAGTAAAAGAAACCGTCGCATATTTTCGATGAAACTTGTTACGCTGTTGTAACAAGTAAATAAAAGGATAAAACGTAATAAAAACAGAGGGGGTCACCGTGCTAGTTTTCACGGTACAGTGTTGACGAATAGGGTTATTTTTAGGCGCCTTTGGACCGTAACCGTACCCAGCACAAAATTAGACAAAAAGGCGCGCCTTTTTCCCATGATACTTTGTGATATCGCTCGGAATATGATTTTATTGTTAATCCACCTACATACCAGGAAAATGCCTTTTCATACCTTTGCTTTTACTTAACGTTTAAAAGTAGGCTTATTTCGAAATGCGCTGTTTGCTGTAATCTTTGTGCAGAAGCTCCTTTTTTACGGCCTCTATCTTGTTATTCGGGGTGAAAGTTGCGCAATGCAAAACCAGCGAACCACTATAAGAACCGTTTAAAAATAATACAAGACCATACAAGAAGAATTTCAATCCCTCAGGCGGACGTACTTGAAGACAACGCCCATTCTATAAAAAGAAACTAAGATAAGGGACTTCTCGTAGTTTAATCTGAGGCCTAAACAGTCTATTTAATTCTAATTACTACAAGGTTCCGCAAGTGTTTGAGGATAAAAATGATTGCCCTCGCGGGATAACCCGTAAAAATCCAAGATGAAGTATACTGCAATAAATTTGCGTTATTGACCAAGCGTGAGGGCAAGATGGCTAGATATTGGCCAAAAAAGAACGAAGCCAAAATACAGCCATCTTGACAGAACAAGCTTGGTCAATAAGAGATTTATTATATGGCCAAAATGGAGAACTTTTTCTTACGGGATCAAGGCGGGAAATCCCGAGCGGGCAAGATAGGCCCATCTTGCTTGCTCGGGTAGCCAATCAGAACGCAAGATTTACTTCATCTTGCCCGCTCGCGGATGCAGCCATATTTTAAGGCTTCTCATTGTTTTATCCTCATCTTTACAGGTTATCCTATTTGTAGGAGCAACGGCTAAATATGCCGCAAACAATCCATACGTACGCTTTTTCAACGACAGCCAGACCTTTTCGGTGCATACACCTGCTTCCGGGAACCGGAAGACGCCGTTAAGTTTAAGAGAGGAATTTGCCGTTCTTTTAACCGCTCAGTTATCTTATTGTGATGAAATGCTGAGCAACGTGGAGCTAATGAAGGAAACTAATGATGCGGACCTCGTTGTTGGTGAACTGTGGTATCTCTGTTCAGCTTTGGTCGCAGACAAATTATCAGTGCCACATGTTCTAATATCTCCAGCCACTTTGTCCACACCATATACGTTTGCACTTGGTCTGCCCGCTCCGCTCGCCTACGTACCTCAAATTAACAACGATGCAAATAGGATGTCGAATATCATTGACAGAGGCAAGAATGTACTGCAATGGATATCACTGTATTGGTATTACTTGCAAGATTTATGCTCACTTTATAGCAAGGTCAAAGCAAAATACAAAATCACATCCAACAACAGCATCCAGGAAACACTTGGAAGGGCTGATCTGATTATTGGTCAGATGCCGTTTGGATTAGAGCATCCGAGGCCTGTCCATCCAAGTAAGTCTTTTTATTTCAGTTCCCTCTGCACTTTAACGTGCTGTACGCGACAGCTTAAGAATGGGAAGTCAGTTGCAAATACTTTACAGTTCATCGTACAGAAAGTCATTGTAACAGGTAGGCCATCGAAATCTTAGGAGAGAGCGCGAAAAATGAAAGTGAAGGAACAAAATCGAGAGCGAATCGAAGCGCAAAAGAGAAGACTGCATGCTCGTCCTTCTTGCCGCGTGGACTTCTGTAACAGCAAAGAGTTTCAGAAGGTCTAAATAGCGCTCAAAGTATTGATCTGAGCCATTTTTGCTGTTAAGTAAAACATTTGTGTCTCGGAGGTTTTTGTAGATTTCATTTACGCATGTCAAGAAAGGATAAAGTGGGAGGAGAGGGCATCCCTTATATAGGTCCTTTTCCACAGGTAATTTGTGTCCAGATATTTTCAGATCTAGACCCGCTCTTCTTCCTTTATTCTCTCTTGGCATGTTAAAGATAATCACAGTAGAGGCACAGTTCTGAATGGCTATGTTACCAAAACAAGGAACGGGGAACGGGAAACGAGCGCGGGGAATGGAAAAATGAAAACACTGAAAACAAAATAAAATAGAATGAGTAATGAAGTTACTTATAAGGTTAGGAATTATGTGAGGTTTTTTTACCCATTCTTCATTTTCTCTTCCCCCGTGCTCGTTCCTCGTTCCCCTTTCTCCCTTTTAGCGACATTCTGGAGCTGGTGATCTTGAGGTCTAGGAGTTCAATTGTTTCCCACACAATTGCCGCGTGTTTGATCACATGGTGATTGTTGTTTGCTGTTTCATAATAGACACTCGGGTTGTTGGTCCATTCCTTCCCAGTCCAGCTAAGCCTTTACCCGAAGAGCTGGAAGAATTCGTAGGAAAAGCTGGTGACGAAGGTGTTATCGTGGTGTCATTTGGTAGTGTTTTGGGAGATACTGCGGGACTAAATGAATCACTCTTGCAAGGAATGGCTGACGCTTTCTCCAAGCTTCCTCAAAAGATTATCTGGAAAATGAAGTTAGAAGGTACTTTCATTGAAAGGATTGTAGTCATACACGCGGGGAACAGTTATTACATTAATCAGCGGATTAACCTATTAGCTTCCACTTGTGATAAATGTGATAAATTATAATGTTACGATAGTGGGACAAAGTTTGGGGATCGATCAGCATTGTGGAGAGTGTACTGTATGCTCTCTACATTGCTGATCTTGTGTGGTTTGATGATGTGTGTCACATATGAAGCTACAAGTTAGGGGGAGATTCTCTGAGTCCCACCGTAGCTCAGCGGATGCAACTCCCAAGTGGTGCTCGAGATTCATGTCGGGAACTCTTGGACGCGTGGATTTGTTTCTTTGTCCCACTGGTGACATGTCATTTATCACATTCTTCTCAAGTCATATAATTTTCCTTTGGCTATCCTGTAAACAGAACAGGTTCAAGGATAAAGGCAAAAAGAAAATATTGGCGAGCGGACTAAGCCGAACGTTGTCCCTGGCGTGAAGCTACAATTGTTGCCGCTGCGCTCTACCAAAAATCGTGTGATCTCGTGCTCAGGATTTTAATGGTGTCCGTCTGCAGGTTTGAAATGTCACCTTGGAGATCTGGGTACAGATTAGAAAGCTTGTTTACAGACAAGCGTTTGTCTGTTGGTCTCAGCAGAACGCCCTTCGTTGAGCACGTTAAAGCGAAGCAAAGCGCCAACCAGAGGAAAACCTCATCGGGACCATTAGCAAGAGTAAATCAAATGCTTCTCACATGTCACAGCTGCAGAAGTAGAAGCGTTCTATCTGATCGCTGTTAAGTAACCTAGTAACTGTACACATTTATTTTTCTTAACAGGCAAGCTACAAGTGTCAGTGAGTGACAATGTCAAACTGATGTCATGGTTACCACAGAATGACATTCTCGGTCATCCTAAGACTCGTCTATTTATATGCCACGCAGGACTTAATGGTATCCTAGAATCAACCTACCACGGAGTACCAATGATTCTTACACCTTTTTTCGGAGATCAGTTTTATAACGCTAACACTATGAAACAGTCAGGAGTTGGGGAGGTTGTAAACTTGTGGTCCATGTCGTCAGAAGAGTTCGTCAGTTTGATACGAAAGGTGTTAGGCGACCCCAGGTGAGTACTTTGGGAACACCTTATATAGTTAACAACTGTTGTACGAGCGCACCTTATGGTAGATTTCATGCTCGATATTTTCATATCATTTCATGCATTTTTCGAACTATATTCACAAAACCGTCGGCAATCATGGCATACCCTCTACTCTGTGGCTCTCGTGGTTTTGTCCGGAAAAATTGCATTTCCTTGCAGTCTTAGAATGACAACAACTTCTTTCGGGCGCCAAAAAACGTTTTAGCTCAGCTGACGCGTACACTTACCATATTTGTAGAGCATTCCCATATGTCATGATAGCTCAGCAGCCAATCAAACCTCCAGAATTGCTTTATTCAATGATCCAGTACTTGCCACCCAGGCTATAACACACACCACGACTGCATTGTTTGTTCTTCGTAAATCTACCCACACCACGGTAAATCCAATAAATTATACTGAAATGACAGAAGTTACCTTTTAGATTTCTACTGAGGCACGGTTTCTTGTAGAATTTGCCATCAGTAAATGAAAAAAGATCGAATGCAAGAAAAGATCGTGACACATTTGCCGAAATAAAAGTCTTTAACAACCGCTAATTTTTTTGAAGAAAACCCCATTTATAAAATAATAATACTAATAATAGTAATAATAATAATAATAATAGTTATAATAATAAGTCGAACACCCAGTAGCTGTTTTAGCAGTACTGTGTAGCCACAGCAATAGCAGCAGTAGCAGAGTAGATTGATCGGCCAATAGTCTCCTGACCTACACTGAAACCATCCGAGTGGCAATCTCGTGCTTAAACATTAAAGAATTACATTTGATGTTGTAAGAGTTGGACCTCAAAGTATATCTAAATCAGATGGGGAATAGAAAAAAAATGCACAGCCTCAAATGACCCCCCTTTTTTTGTGATACTTCCCTAACGCAATGACACGAAACGTGATTTTCCAACCGTATTTCGCCGGCTTTCCCATGTAAATGGTATGTATCCTCGGACCCTCCCCTCCCTTTATTTCTAGTATTAGGTACAAAATGTTGAGCAAAATTGCAAGTATAAATCTCTTCGGGGCATAATTATGTCTCGCGGTTCGGAGCCAAGGATTGTAACGGTAGTAGAAAAATGGGATAGGGAGAATTATCTCGAGTTGTGAACATCTTCAGTTCGTCCATGAGAATCTATAAGACAAGAATGAGAAGCAAATCTAGCAGACAGTTGTGGTTACAGGTGAGTGATAGTGTTGGGGGCTTGGCGATCAGCTAGCGCTTTTTAAACTATTATCTTTTCTTTTAGTTATCGCAAGATGGCAAAAGGAATATCCAACTCGGTTAAGCTTCTGCCGCGCCCACCTGTAAAAGAAGCCGCTGACTGGGTGGAGTACACACTGGCTCTGGATGGCTTACCGTTCCTCAGACCTCGAGGATTGGACCTGCCATTTTATCAGCTGTATCTTCTGGATATTTTATTGTTGGCATTTTTGATCTTGTTTTTAACAGTGCTTGCTCTCAGATTCTTGTTAAAGGTAGTTATTAATCTTTTGTTGGCACCAGATGTAAAAGAGAAAGCTAGCTAAAAAGAGAACATTTTTAGTGTGGTCAAAACGAATATACATCATCTTGACTAAGAGCAAAAGGAAGAGAGCTAAGTCAGCACATAAAGCTTACCTTGGCAGACAAACCTTGCTTATACAGGAAAATTTTCACCCTGTACCTGTCTGATTGTATTACATTAGTCACATGATAGCTTTAGACCTGCAGCCTCCGCAGTTCGGGGGAAAAAGGAAACCTTGTTCCCAGGGTTCTCTGTAAGCAAGAGAGAGAACCCTGGGAAAGAGGTTGGGAAAAAGCCGAAACAAAATCGGCGAACAAAGCGAGCCGAGCGGGAGTCTGGGGAAGGGAAAGCCCATTGCTCGACTCGCTTTGCTCTCCGATTTTTTTGCTGCTTCTCTCCATTTTTGCCTTTCCCCCACTACGGAGCCTGGTCCCAGGCTAATGTTTTAAATAAAGCTTAACTAACTAAGTGTAGCAAATGATTGATAGCCGCTTAATAGAGGAGACAGCAACATTAATAAAAGAACTGTCGTTGGGATGGGCAAAAGATGGCCGCGGTCACTTGAGAGAGGAGGCCGCTCACAAGAGGTTTAATTTACAATTCTTTTCTACAGTGATTTCGGGACTTTGGTTATTGGCCGCTTAGTAAAGGTTGGTCGCTTAATAGGCAGACGATTGATGGAAGTTCAATTGTCAATGCCAAGGAAGACACCAAAGTTCTTTTTGTTGGATGGTTTGTGGGTCCTGACTGTGTACAATAGGTTTCTGGGGGTAAAAGAAGAAGAGAGAAGCGAAAAGGGAAGACAGCGAAGAGAGAGAGAAACATTCTTTCCTTCCCCCCCCCCCCTCCCCACTGCGTCCGCTAAAAATCTCCTTTCCCATAACCCCTAAGGAAGGCCTGATACTTACGCTAACTTGAGATTACGTGACAAAAACAGATGTAATTGATACGCGCATGCGAGGAAGCACAATGGGCTAATATTTATTTAAATTTTAAAGGCTTCCTTTCAGGAGTTCTTAGCTGGACACTTAGCCAATTATGGCGGCTTTGGGAACAGTTCTGTTGCTCTCGCTTGTTTCAGGATGCTTTGCTGCAAAATTTGTCATGTTTCCCATGTTTGGACGAAGCCATTACATGATTCTAAACAAACTGGCACAAGAACTGTCAGATAGGGGCCATGAGGTATGCAAATAAGAGTACAAAATTTTAAGTAACAGCACGATTGTTATTTGGTCCAGCCTTTGTTGTTGTCAACTAGCATATAAGCTAAGGGTCTTTAACATACTTTATGGTACAATTCTGAATACAGCCAAGAAGTGCTACAGTCTACAGTGTCTACATTGCATGACAATTACCCACACATTTATAATAATCCTAGCAGTCGAGAGACGGTACAGGATATTAAGAAGCAGTCCAAAAAGACTTAAAAGAAAAGTGGCTGTAACCGGCATAGCTCGGCATCGAAAGTAATCACTGACTAAAAAAGAGAGAAGACACTCTCTCCGTTTTGGTACATTGAAAACAAATAAAATAATCTCCTGTTATACATGGCTCTACCCAGGAGCAGAGATCAGTAATTGACCGTTTATAATCCTGGTTTATAATCTACATAAGCTATTAACTTCAAATCCCTAAATACATTTTGAAATGAAATCACGAAAGCATTCTTGCTGTCTGTTTTTTTTCGTATACTTTTGGTTGAGTAAAGTAGTGAAGCCGAAAATGCTGATTCCGGAAGATTAATCAGTCTCAGGGCAATATCTGCAAAAGAACTAATTATTTATCTTTTTATAATTTTCATCGTGATTACTGTATTGTAATGAGGTATTGTTTGCCTTACTGAAAGGGGACTGAAAGCTCCTGCCTCGTAAATATAAATTTCGACCTATTTTCCCGTAACTTTCATCGCCAGCGGGCGGCCATCTTGTAAATGAACGACAGATTTTCGTTGAAACTCAGTACGGCTGTTGAAATAAGTCAGGAGGACAATTATAAAATGTAATAAAAAGAGGGTTTCACTTGGCTCGTTGTCGCGGTTCAGTGCTGAGGAATACGGCTATTTAGGCGCCTTTCGCAATCATGATCAGCCGTGTGCAGCCCAAAACTGGACATACAGACTGATATAGGCGCGGATTTTTCCATGATGCTTGTGTTTTCACACAGAAGTTGGGTTTATTTTATAGCTTATCCACGCACGTGTACCTAGAAAAAGCCTTTTAATACCTTCGGGCTTTACCTTACGCTCAACCGAAAACTGCCCGCGAGCGTGAAGTGTCGGCCTTTTTCCTTCCGATTTTTGAGCGAAGACTGGGGCGAGTTTGAAAATGGCGCTACGTGGAAGATGGAAGAAAACATTGAAAAGTACGATTTTAGGGAATTTACCTCGAGATATTGCAATTACTTTGTAGGACGTAAAGTGATAAAGACGGAGCTTAGACGTCCGTTTATAGTGATTCAGCACGAGTCGGTCAGGATCCACTATCGTTAGCCTCGGTGAATGTGAAATACGCCACACTCGGCACTCATACCGCTACCGTTACGAGCATTCTCAAAACATTAAAACTCATCTTGACCAAAATAAAACCGCTATCGAAAATTCCCCTAACGCTTCTTTTTGATCGACATCACATTAACAATGTTTCTGCAGAAGATATTTTCACTAGCCACCATCTTGTTATGTGCAGTGCCGCAAAACCAGCTAATCACTTTGACAAGAGCCATTCTAAAAAAAGACAAGGCAACTTCTATTTCAAATCTAATTTCTTATAAATTTGCCCTTGTGGAAAACAAACTGTTTGCCCATTGAATCTGAAGCTAAACTATAGGTACTTCGTTTCTTTAGGAATAACAGGGTGAGGAAACGCCAAAGCGCGCGTTAAAATTGCTACCCGCGCGTGAGGAACAAGGTAGTACAACGAGGGGAGAGAGCAAATCCTGCTATTTTGCTCGCCCTACTATCCCCGAGGAAAGTGAGGGAATTTTCTTAGTCTTCTTTGAAGCCTAGCCAGTTCAATAGCTACAAGGGTTCGCAAGTATTTTGGGATGAGGAATGACCTTCTTCCTCAAGTAGTTTAAGGCCTGGGTCTAAAGGGTTTACCAGCGGAAAACGATTTACTGGCTATATAAACTTCGGCACATGCACAGATTATGCAACGGAATCAATATTTGGCACACATAAAGTATAAATATTGTTGATAGGTCACGTGATGTGTCACGTGACCATTTTTCTAAAAAGTCTTACATCATTGACAAATTGGTGGCGGGTTTCTATCAAGCCATAGCATTTTTCTCATTCATATCAAGGAATTTTTAACACTTCACGTTTGCAATGTTCAATAAACAAATTATGAGAGAAAACATTTTAAATGCCCAAATATAATCTTGAGATATAAAAAACTTTAATTAATATAAACGTCGCGTACATTCATTTTACCTCTGTAGAAAGTAAGGCATGTTTACCCTCTATCAGAAATGCCAATTTATTTAACCAAACAAATTAACTATGCGCCACCAATTTGCCAATCTCCTTCATTTCAATTTTTGATCGCGTTAAGGCACCAGAAGACCTCAAGATTTACTTTTGTAGAAAAATTCATCTTTCTTTAAGTTTCCTAGCGAGAGTTATTGCCAATCAATCATATGCTCCGACCACACCTTTGACCTAGGCCTTGAACCCCTTGAGTCGAGGGATAGCCCGAAACAAACCAAGATGACGTGCATTGAATAAGGCTACTTACTCAGTTTTATCATCGCCTTGACAGGTTATTCTATTTATGGGAACAACGGCTAAATATGCTACAAACAATCCACATGTACGCTTCTTTAACAACAGCAAGACCTTCTCTACGATCACTTCAGGAAAGCAGAACACGCCGTTGAGTGCAAGACAGCAATTTAACATTCTTTTCACCACCCAGTCATCGTATTGCGATGAAATGCTAAGTGACGTGGGGCTTATGAAGGAAACTAATGATGCCGATCTCGTTGTTGGTGAACTGTGGTATCTCTGCTCAGCGTTAGTAGCGGACAAATTATCAGTACCGCAAGTTTTGATATCTGCAGCGCCTTTCTCCACACCATCTTCGCTTGCAGTTGGTATGCCCGCTCCGCCAGCCTATATACCTCAAATAAGCAACAATGATAATAGAATGTCAAATATTATTGACAGAGCTAGGAATGTACTACAATGGATATCACTGTATTGGTATTACTTGCAGGATTTTTGCCCACTTTATGGCAATATTAAAGCAAAATACAACATCACACCCAACAAAAGCATCCACGAAACACTCGGAAGAGCTGATCTGATTATCGGTCAGGTGCCGTTTGGATTAGAGCATCCGAGGCCTGTCCATCCAAGTAAGTCGGTTTTTTTTCTCATTTATTTTCACATTACTGTACACCACAGTTTAAGAATAAGTAAGTCGTTTTTTTTCCTCATTTCTTTTTCCATTACTATACTCCACAGTTTTATAACAATCGCAATTAGGTATTAGGCTAGGACCTAATTTTGTGCCGTCTTCAACAAAACATGTGTCACTTTTGAATGTCGCTTAGAATTCCCTGCAAGTAGAGCTGCCAAATCTGAGTAGATAGCGCGAAACATGAAAGCAAAGAACCAAACTCGAAGGCAAAGTTAGAGAGCGCTAAGTTCTAGTTTCCGCCGCTGGGCTCGTCTTTGTCTTTGAGAACGCCTAAATGGCGCTCATTTGATTGATCTGCCAATTTTTGCCGTTAATAGAAACAGGTTGTGTCACGGAGGTTCTTGGAAATTTTAGTTATGCATGTTCCACACCCTCACGGTGTTCACCAGTTCGTTGAATTGAGCTGGTAATTTTCACTGGGCCATGATTTCTGGGAGTCCAATTGTTTTCCACAACATTGCAGTTCCGTGATCGATCTCTTGGTGATTATAATAACATATCTTTTTTTTTAACATGTCCTGTACTGTTTCATTATAGACACTCGGGTTGTTGGTCCATTCCTTCCCAGTCCAGCTAAGCCTCTACCAAAAGAACTGGAGGAATTCATAGGAAAAGACGGTGACCAAGATGTTATCTTAGTTTCATTTGGTAGCATTTTGGGAGAAATTGCAGAATTAAATGAACCACTCTTGCAAAGAATGGCAGACGCTTTCTCTAAGCTTCCACAAAAGGTTATCTGGAAAATGAAGTTAGAAGGTATGTTCATAAACACACCGAGGAATATCCTCATTCAAGCAAGGAAGAGTAATTACAGTGATCAGCGGATTAACTAGCCTGGTTACAGACCTTCTATTTTCTCTTTATAGAGAAAAGATTAGCGGGCAGGATTAACTTGATTAGATGGCGGGTGCTCTAGATTTTTGACGGCGAAGTCGAGTGAAGGTTGGGAGCAAATACCCGGTAGCTTTTGCTCTGCGGCTCCGCCTTTAAACCCCCTTGCAAACGGACGCAACATTGTTGGCCAACAACTCCCAACATTGTCGGATGTTACATGTTGCGTCCGTTTGCACACCCTGTTGCGTGTTGTTGGATGTCGATGCGCGTTGTTGCGCAAAGTTTGAAACCGGTCAAACTTTTCAGCCAATAACTCCCAACATTTCTTTTGTTCCGTGATCGCCGAAACGTAGCGCAACAATGTTGGATCCGTTTGCACAGCTTTTCCAACATTGTTCGGGCCACGCACGCTCATTACGCATGGTTTACAAAGACTTGTGTGTTGTATCCTTCCCACGATGCATTGCATTGTTGGGAGTTGTTGCATCCGTTTGCACACCACTGCCAACACTCACGCAACAACTCCCAACATTGTTGGCGCAAAAATGTTGGGAGTTGTTGCGTCCGTTTGCACGCAGCCTAAGAAAGTATGTAGGATATAATAATTCCACCAACTACGTATTAGGCTATTTACAGCTCGTCGAGCGCCTGTATGAATATAAAATCCGCGAGGGATTTATTAAGCGCTAGCGCAAGGGGGTGGGGTGGGCAATGCGCCTCCCGCCCCCATCTTGCCTTACGTGCAGTGATTTCAGAAAAAGCCCCATTAGCAAAGATAAATCAAATGCTACCAACTCACATGTCATAGCTGCAGAAGGGTACCATCTGGTCGCTGTTAAATTACCCAGTGACTGTACGCATTTTTTTCTCAACAGGCAAGCTACATGTGTCAGTAAGTGACAATAAAAAGAGAACATTTTTAGTGTGGTCAAAACGAATATACATCATCTTGACTAAGAGCAAAAGGAAGAGAGCTAAGTCAGCACATAAAGCTTACCTTGGCAGACAAACCTTGCTTATACAGGAAAATTTTCACCCTGTACCTGTCTGATTGTATTACATTAGTCACATGATAGCTTTAGACCTGCAGCCTCCGCAGTTCGGGGGAAAAAGAAAACCTTGTTCCCAGGGTTCTCTGTAAGCAAGAGAGAGAACCCTGGGGAAGAGGTTGCGAAAAAGCCGAAACAAAATCGGCGAACAAAGCGAGCCGAGCGGGAGTCTGGGGAAGGGAAAGCCCATTGCTCGGCTCGCTTTGCTCTCCGATTTTTTTGCTGCTTCACTCCGTTTTCGTCTTTATCCCCCACTACGGAGCCTGGTCCCAGGCTAATCTTTTAAATAAAGCTTAACTAACTAAGTGCAGCAAATGATTGATATCCGCTTAATAGAGGAGACAGCAACATTAATAAAACAACTGTCGTCGGGATGGGCAAAAGATGGTCGCGGTCACTTGAGAGAGGAGGCCGCTCACAAGAGGTTTAATTTACAATTCTTTTCTACAATGATTTCGGGACTTTGGTTATTGGCCGCTTAGTAAAGGGTGGTCGCTTAATAGGCAGACGATTGATGGAAGTTCAATTGTCAATGCCAAGGAAGACACCAAAGTTCTTTTTGTTGGATGGTGTGTGGGTCCTGACTGTGTACAATAGGTTTCTGGGGGTAAAAGAAGAAGAGAGAAACGAAAAGGGAAGACAGCGAAGAGAGAGAAACATTCTTTCCTTCCCCCTCCCCCCTCCCCACTGCGTCCGCTAAAAATCTCCTTTCCCATACCCGCTAAGGAAGGCCCTGATACTTACGCTAACTCGAGATTACGTGACAAAAACAGATGTAATTGATACGCGCATGCGAGGAAGCACAATGGGCTAATATTTATTTAAATTTTAAAGGCTTCCTTTCAGGAGTTCTTAGCTGGACACTTAGCCAATTATGGCGGCTTTGGGAACAGTTCTGTTGCTCTCGCTTGTTTCAGCATGCTTTGCTGCAAAATTTGTCATGTTTCCCATGTTTGGACGAAGCCATTACATGATTCTAAACAAACTGGCACAAGAACTGTCAGATAGGGGCCATGAGGTATGCAAATAAGAGTACAAAATTTTAAGTAACAGCACGATTGTTATTTGGTCCAGCCTTTGTTGTTGTCAACTAGCATATAAGCTAAGGGTCTTTAACATACTTTATGGTACAATTCTGAATACAGCCAAGAAGTGCTACAGTCTACAGTGTCTACATTGCATGACAATTACCCACACATTTATAATAATCCTAGCAGTCGAGAGACGGTACAGGATATTAAGAAGCAGTCCAAAAAGACTTAAAAGAAAAGTGGCTGTAACCGGCATAGCTCGGCATCGAAAGTAATCACTGACTAAAAAAGAGAGAAGACACTCTCTCCGTTTTGGTACATTGAAAACAAATAAAATAATCTCCTGTTATACATGGCTCTACCCAGGAGCAGAGATCAGTAATTGACCGTTTATAATCCTGGTTTATAATCTACATAAGCTATTAACTCCAAATCCCTAAATACATTTTGAAATGAAATCACGAAAGCATTCTTGCTGTCTGTTTTTTTCGTATACTTTTGGTTGAGTAAAGTAGTGAAGCCGAAAATGCTGATTCCCGAAGATTAATCAGTCTCAGGGCAATATCTGCAAAAAAACTAATTATTTATCTTGTATAATTTTCATCGTGATTACTGTATTGTAATGAGGTATTGTTTGCCTTACTGAAAGGGGACTGAAAGCTCCTGCCTCGTAAATATAAATTTCGACCTATTTTCCCGTAACTTTCATCGCCAGCGGGCGGCCATCTTGTAAATGAACGACAGATTTTCGTTGAAACTCAGTACGGCTGTTGAAATAAGTCAGGAAGACAATGATAAAATGTAATAAAAAGAGGGCTTCACTTGGCTCGTTGTCGCGGTTCAGTGCTGAGGAATACGGCTATTTAGGCGCCTTTCGCAATCATGATCAGCCGTGTGCAGCCCAAAGCTGGACATACAGACTGATATAGGCGCGGATTTTTCCATGATGCTTGTGTTTTCACACAGAAGTTGGGTTTATTTTATCACTTATCCACGCACGTGTACCTAGAAAAAGCCTTTTAATACCTTCGGGCTTTACCTTACGCTCAACCGAAAACTGCCCACGAGCGTGAAGTGTCGGCCTTTTTCCTTCCGATTTTTGAGCGAAGACTGGGGCGAGTTTGAAAATGGCGCTACGTGGAAGATGGAAGAAAACATTGAAAAGTACGATTTTAGGGAATTTACCTCGAGATATTGCAATTACTTTGTAGGACGTAAAGTGATAAAGACGGAGCTTAGACGTCCGTTTATAGTGATTCAGCATGAGTCAGTCAGGATCCACTATCGTTAGCCTCGGTGAATGTGAAATACGCCACACTCGGCACTCATACCGCTACCGTTACGAGCATTCTCAAAACATTAAAACTCATCTTGACCAAAATAAAACCGCCATCGAAAATTCCCCTAACGCTTCTTTTTGATCGACATCACATTAACAATGTTTCTGCAGAAGATATTTTCACTAGCCACCATCTTGTTATGTGCAGTGCCGCAAAACCAGCTAATCACTTTGACAAGAGCCATTCTAAAAAAAGACAAGGCAACTTCTATTTCAAATCTAATTTCTTATAAATTTGCCCTTGTGGAAAACAAACTGTTTGCCCATTGAATCTGAAGCTAAACTATAGGTACTTCGTTTCTTTAGGAATAACAGGGTGAGGAAACGCCAAAGCGCGCGTTAAAATTGCTACCCGCGCGTGAGGAACAAGGTAGTACAACGAGGGGAGAGAGCAAATCCTGCTATTTTGCTCGCCCTACTATCCCCGAGGAAAGTGAGGGAATTTTCTTAGTCTTCTTTGAAGCCTAGCCAGTTCAATAGCTACAAGGGTTCGCAAGTATTTTGGGATGAGGAATGACCTTCTTCCTCAAGTAGTTTAAGGCCTGGGTCTAAAGGGTTTACCAGCGGAAAACGATTTACTGGCTATATAAACTTCGGCACATGCACAGATTATGCAACGGAATCAATATTTGGCACACATAAAGTATAAATATTGTTGATAGGTCACGTGATGTGTCACGTGACCATTTTTCTAAAAAGTCTTACATCATTGACAAATTGGTGGCGGGTTTCTATCAAGCCATAGCATTTTTCTCATTCATATCAAGGAATTTTTAACACTTCACGTTTGGAATGTTCAATAAACAAATTATGAGAGAAAACATTTTAAATGCCCAAATATAATCTTGAGATATAGAAAACTTTAATTAATATAAACGTCGCGTACATTCATTTTACCTCTGTAGAAAGTAAGGCATGTTTACCCTCTATCAGAACACGTGCCAATTTATTTAACCAAACAAATTAACTATGCGCCACCAATTTGCCAATCTCCTTCATTTCAATTTTTGATCGCGTGACATGTCACATGACGATAATTAAACGTTAAGGCATAAGAAGACCTCAAGATTTACTTTTGGAGAAAAATTCATCTTTCTTTAAGTTTCCTAGCGAGAGATATTGCCAATCAATCATATGCTCCGACCACACCTTTGACCTAGGCCTTGAACCCCTTGAGTCGAGGGATAGCCCGAAACAAACCAAGATGACGTGCATTGAATAAGGCTACTTACTCAGTTTTATCATCGTCTTGACAGGTTATTCTATTTATGGGAACAACGGCTAAATATGCTACAAACAATCCACATGTACGCTTCTTTAACGACAGCAAGACCTTTTCTACGATCACTTCAGGAAAGCAGAACACGCCGTTGAGTGCAAGACAGCAATTTAACATTCTTTTCACCACCCAGTCATCGTATTGCGATGAAATGCTAAGTGACGTGGAGCTTATGAAGGAAACTAATGATGCCGATCTCGTTGTTGGTGAACTGTGGTATCTCTGCTCAGCGTTAGTAGCGGACAAATTATCAGTACCGCAAGTTTTGATATCTGCAGCGCCTTTGTCCACACCATCTTCGTTTGCAGTTGGTATGCCCGCTCCGCCAGCCTATATACCTCAAATAAGCAACAATGATAATAGAATGTCAAATATTATTGACAGAGCTAGGAATGTACTACAATGGATATCACTGTATTGGTATTACTTGCAGGATTTTTGCCCACTTTATGGCAATATTAAAGCAAAATACAACATCACACCCAACAAAAGCATCCACGAAACACTCGGAAGAGCTGATCTGATTATCGGTCAGGTGCCGTTTGGATTAGAGCATCCGAGGCCTGTCCATCCAAGTAAGTCGGTTTTTTTTCTCATTTATTTTCACATTACTGTACACCACAGTTTAAGAATAAGTAAGTCGTTTTTTTTCCTCATTTCTTTTTCCATTACTATACTCCACAGTTTTATAACAATCGCAATTAGGTATTAGGCTAGGACCTAATTTTGTGCCGTCTTCAACAAAACATGTGTCACTTTTGAATGTCGCTTAGAATTCCCTGCAAGTAGAGCTGCCAAATCTGAGTAGATAGCGCGAAACATGAAAGCAAAGAACCAAACTCGAAGGCAAAGTTAGAGAGCGCTAAGTTCTAGTTTCCGCCGCTGGGCTCGTCTTTGTCTTTGAGAACGCCTAAATGGCGCTCATTTGATTGATCTGCCAATTTTTGCCGTTAATAGAAACAGGTTGTGTCACGGAGGTTCTTGGAAATTTTAGTTATGCATGTTCCACACCCTCACGGTGTTCACCAGTTCGTTGAATTGAGCTGGTAATTTTCACTGGGCCATGATTTCTGGGAGTCCAATTGTTTTCCACAACATTGCAGTTCCGTGATCGATCTCTTGGTGATTATAATAACATATCTTTTTTTTTAACATGTCCTGTACTGTTTCATTATAGACACTCGGGTTGTTGGTCCATTCCTTCCCAGTCCAGCTAAGCCTCTACCAAAAGAACTGGAGGAATTCATAGGAAAAGACGGTGACCAAGATGTTATCTTAGTTTCATTTGGTAGCATTTTGGGAGAAATTGCAGAATTAAATGAACCACTCTTGCAAAGAATGGCAGACGCTTTCTCTAAGCTTCCACAAAAGGTTATCTGGAAAATGAAGTTAGAAGGTATGTTCATAAACACACCGAGGAATATCCTCATTCAAGGAAGGAAGAGTAATTACAGTGATCAGCGGATTAACTAGCCTGGTTACAGACCTTCTATTTTCTCTTTATAGAGAAAAGATTAGCGGGCAGGATTAACTTGATGAGATGGCGGGTACTCTAGATTTTTGACGGCGAAGTCGAGTGAAGGTTGGGAGCAAATACCTGGTAGCTTTTGCTCTGCGGCTCCGCCTTTAAAGCCCCGTGCAAACGGACGCAACATTGTTGGCCAACAACTCCCAACATTGTCGGATGTTACATGTTGCGTCCGTTTTCACACCCTGTTGCGTGTTGTTGGATGTCGTTGCGTGTTGTTGCGCAAAGTTTGAAACCGGTCAAACTTTTCAGCCAATAACTCCCAACATTTCTTTTGTTCCGTGATCGCCGAAGCGTAGCGCAACAATGTTGGATCCGTTTGCACAGCTTTTCCAACATTGTTCGGGCCACGCACGCTCATTACGCATGGTTTACAAAGACTTGTGTGTTGTATCCCTCCCACGATGCACTGCAGGTCCCAACATTGTTGGGAGTTGTTGCATCCGTTTGCACACCACTGCCAACACTCACGCAACAACTCCCAACATTGTTGGCGCAACAATGTTGGGAGTTGTTGCGTCCGTTTGCACGCAGCCTAAGAAAGTATGTAGGATATAATAATTCCACCAACTACGTACTAGGCTATTTACAGCTCGTCGAGCGCCTGTATGAATATAAAATCCGCGAGGGATTTATTAAGCGCTAGCGCAAGGGGGCGGGGTGGGCAATGCGCCTCCCGCCCCCATCTTGCCTTACGTGCAGTGATTTCAGAAAAAGCTCCATTAGTAAAGATAAATCAAATGCTACCAACTCACATGTCATAGCTGCAGAAGGGTACCATCTGGTCGCTGTTAAATTACCCAGTGACTGTACGCATTTTTTTCTCAACAGGCAAGCTACATGTGTCAGTAAGTGACAATGTCAAACTGATGTCATGGTTACCACAGAATGACATTCTCGGTCATCCTAGGACTCGTCTATTTATAGGCCACGCAGGAATTAATGGTATCCTAGAATCAACCTACCACGGAGTGCCAATGATCCTTGCACCCTTTTTTGGAGATCAATTTTACAATGCTAACACTATGAAGCAGTTAGGACTTGCGGAGGTTGTAAACTTGTGGTCCATGTCATCAGAAGAGTTCGTTAGCTTGATACAAAAAGTGTTAAGCGACCCTAGGTGAGTTCTTTGGAAACTCCTTGCACTAGCGAATCTTATGGTAGATTTAATGAACAATTATTGGACGGAGTTGAGCAAAATATCGTGATTTGTCAGTGGCGAATAGATCATCTCTGCGACACACTGACAAATCACGATATTTTGCAATAACCTAGTTCAATAATTCTTTTATCATTCGGTCACCGAATTTGTTTTTTAATGAATATCTTTGGAAAGCTGCCATTTTCACGCAAGAGCGATCGCAAGAAGGAGAAAAGCGTGGTTTCACTTACGCATGAGCAGAATATTTTTTGCAGCCAAATACAGTTGGACGACATTGCGCATGAGCAGACCATTATTTGCAGGTCAGGAGGTAGGCTGTCGGCTAATGAAAAGGAAGAAAAATTTGCACCGAATGATACTGCTCGATATTTTCATGTAATTTCATGTATTTTTCGAGATATTTTTATAGAATCTTCGGCACTCAGGGCATATATTCCACTGTGTGGCTGTCGTGGTGTTGTCCGGAAAAATAACATATCCTAGCAGTCTTGAATAACAACAACTTCCTTCGGGCACCATTGGCGTCTCCTAGAAAAGCGTTTCAGCTCAGCTGACGCGTACACTTACCATATTTATAGAGCGTTACCCATAAGTCATGATAGCTCAGTAGCCAATCAAATCTCTAAAATTGCGTTATTGAATGATCCAGCACTTGCCACTCAGGCTGTTATACACACCACGATTGCACTGCTTGTTCTACGTAAATAAAATCACATCACGGTAAATCGAGTAAATCATACTGAAATGACAGAGGTTAGCTTTTTGATTTCTACCAGGGCACATCTACTTCTGACCTACTTTTTAATAGCCTGTGTACCGACGCTCCCACTCCTCAGTAAAAATCACCCCTTTCCCGATTTTTTTTTTTACTTAGGCGTGGATGCGTCTGTACAAAGGCTAACTACTTTAAAGGGAGAATTTGCTATCAGTAAATGAAAAAGAATACAAGAAAACGGTCGTTACACGTTTGCCGACGTGAAAGTCTTTAACACTTCTAAAAAAAATGAATCGAACACCCAGTAGTTGTTTTAGCAGTACTGTAGCAGCAGCAGTAGCAGCAGTAGCAGCAGAAGCAGAGTAGATTGATCGGCCGATAGTCTAGGGACCGCACTGAAACCAGCCGAGCGAGTGGCAATCTCTTGCAAAAACATTAAACAATTAGATTTGACGTTGTAAGAGAAGGACCCGCTTCAAAGTATATCTAAATCACCTGAGAAGTAGAAAAAAAATGCACCGCCTCAAATGACCGCCCATTTTTTTCTGAAACTTCCCTAACGTAATGACACGAAACGTGATTTTCCACCCGTATTTCGCCGGTTTTCCCATGTAAATGGTATGTATCCCAAGATCCTCCCCTCCCTTTATTTCTAGTATCAGGGTCAGGTATAAAATGTTGAACAAAATTGCAAGTATAACGCTCATCGGGGCGTATGTTTCACGGTTCGGAACCAAGGATTGTAACGCTGATAGAAAAATTGGATAGGGATAAATATCTCGAATTGGGAACATCCTCAGTTCGTCGATGGTAATTTATAAGACAAGAATGAAAAACAAATATAGCACACAGTTGTGGTTATAGGTGAGTAATGGTGATGGGGGCTTTGCAATCGGCTAGCGCTTTAACTATTAACTATTTTCTTTTAGTTATCGCAAGATGGCAAAAGGAATATCCAATTCGGTTAAGCTTCTGCCGCGCCCACCTGTAAAAGAAGCCGCCGACTGGGTGGAGTACACGCTGGCTCAGGGTGGCTTACCGTTCCTCAGAGCTCGAGGACTGGACCTGCCATTTTATCAGTTGTATCTTCTGGATATCTTATTGTTGGCATTTTTGGTCTTGTTTTTAACAGTGTTTGCTCTTAGATTCTTGTTAAAGGCAGCTATTAATCTTTTGTTGGCACCAGCTACAAAAGAGAAAGCTAGCTAATAGAGAACATTTTTTAGTGTGGTCAAAACAAGTATACATCATCTTGACTAAGGGCAAAGAGATGTGGTCCAAGTCAGTACATAAAGCTTACCTTGGCAGACAAACCTTGCTTATACAGGAAAATTTTCATCCTGTACCTGTCTGATTGTATCACATTAGTCACATGATAGCTTTGGACCTGCAGCCTCCACAGTTGGGGGAAAAAGGGAAACCTTGTTCCCAGCGTTCTCTCGAAACAAGAGAGAGGACCCTGGGAAAGAGGTTGGGAAAAAGCCGAAACAAAATCGGCGAACAAAGCGAGCCGAGCGGGAGTCTGGGGAAGGGAAAGCCCACTGCTCGGCTCGCTTTGCTCTCCGATTTTTTTGCTGCTTCACTCTGTTTTTGTCTTTATCCCCCACTACGGAGCCTGGTCCCAGGCTAATCTCAGACTGTTTTTTCCTGCACTATATTTTTTAAAATAAAGCTGAACTAAGTGCAGCAAATTATTGATATCCGCTTAATAGAGGTGACAGCAACATTAATAAAAGAACTGTCGTCGGGATGGGCAAAAGATGGCCGCGCTGACTTGAGAGAGGAGGCCGCTCACAAGAGGCTTAATTTACAATTCGTTTCTACAATGATGTCGGGACTTTCGTTATTGGCCGCTTAAAAGCCCTTAAGGGGTGATCAGCATCAAATTTCTCCCTGTAATATCCCTACTTTATAAAACACAGAGGTCATGAGAATTGAGGACGTGATCACAAAAGGTGAATCTAATTGATACTTCAACCAATTCGCCCCTCTACTTCTATTGAAAACGTATAGGCATAACAAATGAAAATTGGAATTTTGATATTAGGATTTAAAGGGTTAATAGGTAGACGATTGATGGAGGTTCTATTGTCAATGGTAAGAAAGACACCAAAGTTCTTTTTGTGGGATGGTGTGTGGGTCTTGACTGTGTACCATAGGTTTCTGGGGGTAAAAGGAGAAGAGAGAAGCGAAAACGGAAGACAGCGAAGAGAGAGAAACATTCTTTTCTTTTTTTGCCCCTCCCCGCTGCCTCCGCTAAAAATCTCCTTTCCCATACCCCCTAAGGAAGGCCCTGGTACTTACGCTGACTTGAGATTACGTGACAAAAACAGATGTAATTGATATGCGCATGCGAGGAAGCACGACGGGCTAATATTTATTTAAATTTTAAAGACTTTCTTTCAGGAGTTCTTAGCTGGACACTTACTACAATTATGGCGGTTTTGGGAACAGTTCTGTTGTTCTCGCTTGTTTCAGGATGCTTTGCTGCAAAATTTGTCATGTTTCCCATGTTTGGACGAAGCCATTACATGATTCTAAACAAACTGGCACAAGAACTGTCAGATAGGGGCCATGAGGTATGCAAATAAGAGTACAAAATTTTCAGTAACGGAACGATTGTTATTTGGTCCAGCCTTTGTTGTTGTCAACTAGTATATAAGCTAAGGGTCTTCAACGTACTTTATGGTACAATTCCGTGATACCTCATGAAGCGTGATAAATAAAGGGATATTCTTATTCTGAGTACAGCCAAGAAGTGCTACAGTCTACGGTGTCCACATAGCATGACAATTACACATACATTTAAAAAAAATCCAAGCAGTCGAGAGACGGTAAAGGATATTAAGAAGCAGTCCAAAAAGACTTGAAAGAAAAGTGGCTGTAACCGGCATAGCTCGGCATCGAAAGTAATCACTGAGTAAAAAGGAGAGAAGACACTCTAAACAATTAAACCAATGTCCTGTTATACATGGCTCTACCCAGGAGCAGAGATCAGTAATTGACGACCGTTTATAATCCTGGTTTATAATCTACACAAGCTGTTAAATTCAAATCGCTGAATACATTTTGAAATGATATCACGAAAGCATTCTTGCTGTCTGTTTTTTTCGAACACTTTTGGTTGAGTAAAGTAGTGAAGCTAGAAATGCTGATTCACGACGATTAATCAGCCTCTGGGGCAATATCTGCAATATACTAATAATTTATCTTGTATAATTTTCATCGTGATTACTGTATTGTAATGAAAGGGGACTGAAAGCTCCAGCCTCGTAAATGTAAATTTCGAGCTATTTTCCCGTAACTGTCATCGCCAGTAGGCGGGCATCTTGTAAATGAACGACAGATTTTCGTTGAAACTCAGTACGCCGTTGAAGTAAGTTAAAGACAATGATAAAATTTAATAAATAGAGGGGATCACTTGGCTCGTTTTCGCGGTTCAGTACTGACGAATACGGCTGTTTAGGCGCCTTATGCAATCGGTCAGTATAAAAGATGGACTGCGGACTGCGGACTCCGGACTGGGTATAAAATACGGACTAGGTATAAAACGCAGACTGGAAAATATGGACTGGGTGTAAAACATGGACAAGGTATAAAACGAGGACTGCGGACTGCGGACTGGAAATAAAATACAGACTACGGACTACTTTGGTAAAAACGGTGCTAATTGGTTCCAGGTAAGGAAAAATAAGATCAAAAGATCGCCAAATAGCAAGACACGAGTTAAAGTTGTAAGTACTCCTATAAATCAGTCTTGGTGGAGGTGTGCCGCTCGGTTCTCTGAATCATAAGCCGGATCAAAATGCTATTTTCTTCACCTATTTTTAGACCTTGTCTCGGTCTCTAACAATCATGAAAGGGGTCAGGATCAGGGGTGGTACTCCCTTCTAAAATGGAAGGGTAGGGGGTTTGGGCCTTTTTGGTCTGAAAACACTTTGCCCATTTTGATGTGGAATCGGGTATGGTTTTCAAGGGAACTACGGGAGCGTACATGAATGGACGTATTTATCGTTTCAATTCCAAATGAATAAGAACGAAATAGAAATATGCGAATTCAAAATGCATTTGGAGAATTTTTTGTTTCCACTCTAACTTGGTAATGATGACATAATTTCTGCCTAATTAGACCTAACCTATTCCAGGCTCTGAGATAGTTGGGTCCGCTGAATTGAGAAAGCGAAAACACGAAAATAAAACGGGAGAAAACTGGGGAGTCTCCCCAACTATCTGAGAGCCTGGAACAGGCGAAATTTTTCCAGGTCCGAAAATGAGCATGGATTTTAGAGATCTGGTCTGAAAACGGGTGTGGAAAATGACATTTTTTGGTCTGCAATAAGGTCAGGATTCGGAGAACTGGACACCACACCCCCACCAAGAATTCCCAGTAGTACCCCCCTCCGGCGATCAGGAGCAGGGTGTAAATCATGTCATCACAATCATCGCTTAGAATATAAGGTTGGATGACTCATTTTGGTTATTATTCACGTATGTGAGTAATCCCTCCCCCCTAAATACTGCTTTTGTGCATCGCGGAATGCTATACATTGACCTTCTCGTCTGAGTTCTTCATTCAGTCCTCATATTCCCAAGGCTTTATTTGAAACGGAATTGTGGCATCCGATAAGACTTTTACTGATCTGACTAACACCAATACTATTTTTTTCAATTCGGTGCTTCTTATTGGTTTCAAACTGAAAATTGAAATCTCTTCTAACTCCTTCTTTTTATAAAATTCAGAGTTTAATTTCAGTTGTCTTGAGTACCGGCATAACCTTTCTTCTCCGTGGGAAGAATAGACTACTTGAACAGCCAAGGGAATATTAAAGCTGGGAGTACTGTTTTTGCTAGTCCGTTTCCTACTTCTCTCAGTTTTACCTTTCTAAAGCCGTTTTTTTTTATACATAGTCCGTAGTCCGCGTTTTATACCTAGTCCGTGTTTTATACTCAGTCCGGAGTCCACATTTTATACCTAGTCCGTATTTTATACCCAGTCCGCAGTCCGTGATCCGCAGTCCGCAGTCCATGTTTTATACTGACCGCTTATGTAGACTGCAAAACAGTCCGTATTTTTGGTTATTCAAGTACGCGTGAGCAGTAAAACAAAAGGTCTGGAACAAGGCTGAAAATCCCGCTCTGTTTTGAGTTCTTTCGGTGTCGTGTTGATGTCTTGCCGAGTTAATTTTCACGTAGTACGATCAGCATTGCAGTATTCTGCTTGCAGAATTTAATATGTCTACTTTTCATTTTTGCTGATCAGGTCTTTATAGATCCTACGTTCTCCGGCATATTCGTTTGCGGTCCTTTGCAGTCCTTTGTGGTTAATCACTTTGACAACGCCCATTCTATAAAAAGACAATGCAACTTCTATTTCAAATCCAATTTCTTATAAATTTGCTCTTGTGGAAAAAAACTGTTTGCCCATTGAATCTGAAGCTATACTATAGGTAGTTCTTCGCCGGTTTTCTTTAGGGATAGTAGGGTAGGAAACACATGCAAGCGCGCGTTAAAATTGCTACTCGTGAGGAACAAGGTAATACAACGAGGGAAGAGAATAAATCCTGCTATTTTGCTCGCCCTACTATCCCCGAGGAAAGTGAGGGAATTTCTAATTCTTCTTTGAAGCCTAGCCAGTTCGATCGCTACAAGGGTCCGCAAGTATTTGAGGATAGTTAATGACCTCCTTCCTCAAGTAGTTCAGTTAAGGCCTGGGTCTAAGGGTTTACTTGCGGAAAACGATTTACGAGCTATAAAAAGTTCGGCACAGATTATAGAACGGAATCAATATTTGGCACACATAAAAAACTCATCGTTCTTAACATTTTAAAGTATAAAATATTTTGTTAATAGGTCACGTGATGTGTCACGTGACTATTTTTCTAAAAGTCCTAAATAATTGACAAATTGGTGGCGGGTTTAAGAAAAGAAATCAAGCCATAGCATTTTTCTCATTCATATTAAGGAGTTTTTAACACTTCACGTTTGGACTGTTCAATAAACAAATTATAAGGGAAAACATTTTAAATGCCCAAATATAACCTTTAATTATATAAAACTTTAATTAATATAAACTTCGCGTACCTTCATTCCAACTCCCGTAGAAAGTAAGGTATGTTTACCCTCCATCAGAAATCTCAATTAATTTGACCAAGCAAAGTAACTATGCGCCACCAATTTGCCAATTTCCTTCATTTTCAATTTTTGGTCGCGTGACATGTCACATGACCATAATTAAACGTTAAGGCACAAGAAGACCTCAAGATTTACTTTTGGAGAAAAATTCATCTTTCTTTAAGTTTCCTAGCGAGAGATATTCCAATCAATCATATGCTCCGACCACACCTTTGACCCAGGCCTTGAACCCCTTGAGTCGAGGGATAGCCCGCAACAAACTAAGATGACGTGCATTGCAATAAGGCTACTTACTGTTTGATCATCGTCTTGACAGGTTATTCTATTTATGGGAACAACGGCTAAATATGCTACCAACAATCCACATGTACGCTTCTTTAACGACAGCAAGACCTTCTCTACGATCACTTCAGGAAAGCAGAACAAGCCGTCGAGTGCAAGAGAGCAATTTAACATTCTTTTCACCACCCAGTCAACTTGTTGCGACGAAATGCTTACTGACATGGAGCTAATGAAGGAAACTAATGATGCCGATCTCGTTGTCGGTGAACTGTGGTATCTCTGCTCGGCGTTAGTAGCGGACAAATTATCAGTACCTCATGTTTTGATATCTGCAGCCACTTTTTCCACACCAACTTCGTTTGCAGTTGGTCTGCCCGCTCCGCTAGCCTATATACCTCAAATAAGCAACAATGATAATAGAATGTCGAATATCATTGACAGAGGTAGGAATGTACTACAGTGGATATTACTGTATTGGTATTACTTGCAAGATCTCTGCCCACTTTATAGCAATGTTAAAGCAAAATACAACATCACACCCAACAAAAGCATCCACGAAACACTCGGAAGAGCTGATCTGATTATCGGTCAGATACCGTTTGGATTAGAGCATCCGAGGCCTGTCCATCCAAGTAAGTCGGGTTTTTTCTCATTTCTTTTTACATTACTGTACACCACAGTTTTATAATTAAAGAATCGCAATTTAGTTATTAGTCTAGGACCTAATTTTGTGCCGTCTTCAACAAAACATGCGTCACTTATGAATGTCGCTTAGAATTCCCTGCAAGTAGAGCTGCCAAATCTGAGTAGAGAGGGCGGAACATGAAAGCAAAGAACAAAACTCGAAGGCCAAGTAACAGATAAAGAGAGCTAAGTTCTAATTTCGGCCCCTGGGATGGTCTTTGACTTTGATAACGTCTAAATGGCGCTCATTTGATTGATCTGAACCAATTTTTGCCGTTAATTAAAACAGGTTGTGTCACGGAGGTCCTTGGAAATTTTATTTACGCATGTTCAACACCGTCACGGTGTTCACCAGCTCGTTGGACTGAGCTGATAATTTTCACTGGCCCTTGATTTCTGGGAGTCCAATTGTTTTCCACAACATTGCAGTCCCGTGTTCGATCTCTTGGTGATTACAATAACATATCTTTTTCTTTAAAATGTCCTGTGCTGTTTCATTATAGACACTCGGGTTGTTGGTCCATTCCTTCCCAGTCCAGCTAAGCCTCTACCAAAAGAGCTGGAGGAATTCATAGGAAAAGATGGTGACCAAGATGTTATCTTAGTTTCATTTGGTAGCATTTTGGGAGAAATTGCAGAATTAAATGTACCACTCTTGCAAAGAATGGCTGACGCTTTCTCTAAGCTTCCACAAAAGGTTATCTGGAAAATGAAGTTAGAAGGTATGTTCATAAACACACCGAGGAATATCCTCATTCAAGCAAGGAGGAGTAATTACAGTGATCAGCGGATTAACTAGCCTGGTTACAGACCTCCTATTTTCTCTTTATAGAGAAAAGATTAGCGGACCGGATTAACTTGATAAGATTGCGGGTGCTGTAGATTTTTGACGGCGAAGTCGAGTGAAGGTTGGGAGCAAATACCCCGTAGCTTTTGCTCGGCGGCTCCGCCTTTAAAGCCCCGCGCAAACGGACGCAACATTGTTGGCCAACAACTCCCAACATTGTCGGATGTTAGATGTTGCGTCCGTTTGTACACCCTGTTGCGTGTTGTTGCGCAAAGTTTGAAACCGTGAAACCGGTCAAACTTTTCAGCCAACAACTCTCAACATTTCTTTTGTTTCGTGATCGCCGAAACGTAGCGCAACAATGTTGGATCCGTTTGCACAGCTCTTCCAACATTGTTGGGGCCACGCACGCTCATTACCCATGGTTTATAAAGACTTGAGTGTTGTGTCCTTCCCACGATGCACTGCAGGTCCCAACATTGTTGGGAGTTGTTGCATCCGTTTGCACACCACTGCCAACACTCACGCAACAACTCCCAACATTGTTGGCGCAACAATGTTGGGAGTTGTTGCGTCCGTTTGCACGCAGCCTAAGAAAGTATGTAGGATATAATAATTCCACCAACTACGTACTAGGCTGTTTACAGCTCTTCGAGCGCGTGTATGAAAATAAAATCCGCGAGGGAATTATTAAGCGCTAGCAGAAACTCATAAGGGGTTGAACAACCCCTTATGAGTTTCTGGCGCTAGCGCAAGGGGGTGGGGTGGGCAATGCGCCCCCGTCCCCCATCTTGCCTTACGTGCAGCGATTATAGAAAAAAGCCCCATTAGCAAAAAGGTAAATCAAATGCTTCCTACTCACGAGTCATAGCTTTAAAAGGGTACCATATGGTCGCTGTTTAATTACCCAGTAACTGTACGCATTTTTTCTCAACAGGCACGCTACAGGTGTCAGTAAGTGACAATGTCAAACTGATGTCATGGTTACCACAGAATGACATTCTCGGTCATCCTAAGACTCGTCTATTTATAGGCCACGCAGGAATTAATGGTATCCTAGAATCAACCTACCACGGTGTGCCAATGATCCTTGCACCTTTTTTTGGAGATCAATTTTACAACGCTAACACTATGAAGCAGTTAGGACTTGCGGAGGTTGTAAACTTGTGGTCCATGTCATCAAAAGAGTTCGTTAGCTTGATACAAAAAGTGTTAAGCGACCCTAGGTGAGTTCTTTGGAAACTCCTTATATAGTCAACAATTGTTGCACGAGCGAATCTTATGGTAGATTTAATGAACTATTATTGGACGAGGTTGAGCAAAATATCGTGATTTGTCAGTAGCGAATAGATCATCTCTGCGACACACTGACAAATCACGATATTTTGCAATAACCCAGTTCACTAATTCTTCTTTCATTCGGTCACCGAATTTTTCTTTTAATGAATACTTTCGGGAAGTTGCCATTTCCACGCAAAAGCGATCGCTAGAAGGAGAAAAGCGTGGTTTCACTAACGCACGAGCAGAATATTATTTGCAGCCGAATACAGTTGGACGACATTGCGCATGAGCAGACCATTATTTGCAGGTCACGTGGTAGGCTGTCGGCTGATGAAAAGGAAGAAAAATTTGCATCGAATGATAATGCTCGATATTTTCATGTAATTTCATGTATTTTTCGAGATATTTTTATAGAACCTTCGGCACTCATGGCATATATTCCACTGTGTGGCTCTCGTGGTGTTGTCCGGAAAAAATAACATTTTCTAGCAGTCTTAGAATAACAACAACTTCCTTCGGGCACCATTGGCGTCTCCTCGAAAAAAGTTTCAGCTCAGCTGACGCGTACACTATACCATATTTATAGAGCGTCACCCATTGGTCATGATAGCTCAGTAGCCAATCAAATCTCTAGAATTGCGTTATTGAATGATCCAGCACTTGTTACTCAGGCTGTTATACACACCACGATTGCATTGCTTGTTCTTCGTAAATAAAATCACATCACGGTAAATCGAGTAAATCATACTGAAATGACAGAGGTTAGCTTTTTGATTTCTACCAGGGCACATCTACTTCTGGCCTACTTTTTAATAGCCTGTGTACCGACGCTCCCACTCCTCAGTAAAAATCACCCCTTTCCCGATTTTTTTACTTAGGGGTGGATGCGTCTGTACAAAGGCTAACTACTTAAAGGTAGAATTTGCTATCAGTAAATGAAAAAGAATACAAGAAAACGGTCGTTACACGTTTGCCGACGTGAAAGTCTTTAACACTTCTAAAAAAAATGAATCGAACACCCAGTAGTTGTTTTAGCAGTACTGTAGCAGCAGCAGTAGCAGCAGAAGCAGAGTAGATTGATCGGCCGATAGTCTAGGGACCGCACTGAAACCAGCCGAGAGGCAATCTCTTGCAAAAACATTAAACAACTAGATTTGACGTTGTAAGAGAAGGCCCCTTTTCAAAGTACATCTAAATCACCTGAGGAGTAGAAAAAAAATGCACCGCCTCAAATGACCGCCTATTTTTTTCTAAAACTTCCCTAACGTAATGACACGAAACGTGATTTTCCACCCGTATTTCGCCGGTTTTCCCATGTAAATGGTATGTATCCCAAGATCCTCCCCTCCTTTTATTTCTAGCATCATGGTCAGGTATAAAATGTTGAACAAAATTGCAAGTATAAAGCTCATCGGGGCGTATGTTTCACGGTTCGGAACCAAGGATTGTAACGCTAGAAAAATTGGATAGGGATAAATATCTCGAATTGGGAACATCCTCAGTTCTTCGATGGTAATTTATAAGACAAGAATGAAAAACAAATATAGCACACAGTTGTGGTTATAGGTGAGTGATAGTGATGGGGGCTTTGCAATCGGCTAGCACTTTAACTATTAACTATTAACTATTTTCTTTTAGTTATCGCAAGATGGCAAAAGGAATATCCAATTCGGTTAAGCTTCTGCCGCGCCCACCTGTAAAAGAAGCCGCTGACTGGGTTGAGTACACGCTGGCTCAGGGTGGCTTACCGTTCCTCAGAGCTCGAGGACTGGACCTGCCATTTTATCAGCTGTATCTTCTGGATATTTTATTTTTGGCATTTTTGATCTTGTTTTTAACAGTGTTTGCTCTCAGATTCTTGTTAAAGGCAGCTATTAATCTTTTGTTGACGCCAGCTGCAAAAGAAAAAACTAGCTAATAGAGAACTTTTTTTAGTTTGGTCAAAACAAGTATACATCATCTTGACTAAGGGCAAAGAGATGTAAATAAAGTACATAAAGCTTACCTTGGTGGACAAACCTTGCTTAAATATTAACATTTTCATCCTGCACCTGTCTGTTTATATTACGTTAGTGATCATAAGTGACAGCTTGGGACCTGCAGGCTCCGCAGTTGGGGAAAAAGGCAACCTTACTCCCAGGGCTTCGAGAGAAGGTTGGGAAAAAGGCGAAACAAAATCGGCGAGCGAAACGAGCTAAGGGGGAGTCTGGGGAAGGGAAAGTCCACCGATAGGCTAGCTTTGCTCGTGGATGTCTTTTTGGCTTGTTCACCCCGTTTTTTTGCCTTTTTTCCCCACTACGGAGCCTGTTCCGAGGCAACCGAGGTTAATCTCGGTCGACTGTAATTTCCTTCACTTTCTATAAATAAAGCTGACCTAAGTGTAGCAAATGATTGATGGCCGCTTAATAGAGGTGACAGCAATAGGAGAACTTTCGTTGGGATGGCCAAAAGATGGCTGCGGTCACTCATGATTTCGGGACTTCTGATTACTTAACAAATGCGGTGGTCGCTTTTATAGGTAGACGCTGATGGAGGTTCAACTGTCAATGGTAAGGAAGACACCAATTGAAAGTTCTTTTTGTGGGATGGTGTGTGGGTGCTGACTGTGCACAATAGGTTTGACCAAAATGTTCTTGGTGACATGAACTTGTGCACGTGAAAGCATCCGCAGAGGTCCTTTGATGGTAGCCATGCAAAGGGTTTGGTACCAGTAGTGGTACTAGAGAAGATACTGGCAATCATAACTAGAGATACGTCATCCTGTGATCAATTTGTGAGTCAATATTTATCTGTGCATGTATAAAAACTTTTACGGTTTTCATTAGAAATTGATGTAATAATTGCTTGTTATAAAATCGCGCACCCATAGGTAAGCTTGGACCTGTTTTCCTGATGAAGATCATCTTTTTTTTATCAACAATAAATCGATGTCGTTCTCAGGGCTTTTTTTTCCACCTAGGAGTGATCTTTTAGACGCTCATCAGAAAATGCATCCAGTCTAATTTCGATTTTCTTTGGCCACCTGAATTAATGGAAACTGCAAGTCTACTGTAGATCTATAAGAGCGTTTTCAAGCCGGTTACAGAAATTAGTATGCTTACAGTGGCCAAATTGCAAATTAAGAGTTTTCCCAGCGGTGTTACGGTTTCTGACGTCTTCAATCGTCTTTCCTGGTTTTTGGACCCCCGCCCCGCCCCTCCCCCTCCTTGTCGTGACCACCCTGACTGATCCTCTTTCCTTCATCCTCGATCCTCCCCTCGATCTCTTTCGATCCTCGATCTTCCATCTTCGTTCCTATGTTTTCAAGAAACCGGAGAGAGTGCCGGCATGCAGAACGGGTCCTTAATTCCGCGTTTTCAGGCGAAAGAACGCAAAAGCGAAGCCGGCGTGGAACGGGCTCAACACCTGCATCGCGCTTGCCTTCGCTCGCCCGAAAAATGCAAAAAAGTTTCGCCTGTTTTGCATGCTAGAAGAGAGAGAAAGTCCACTCGGTTTGGGATTAACCTGCGATCAGGCTTTTCATGATTTCTCTTGGAGAAGAGACGAGAAAAGCGACATAGACATATAGGGAGAGCATGAACGCTACGTATCGCAGGGAAACTGAGGCATTTCTAAATATAAAAGGAGAAGAGAGAAGCGAAAAGCCGGGAAAGTGAAGACAGCGAAGAGAGACAAACTTTTCTTTCCCGCTTCTTCTCTCCGCTACCCCCTAAGGAAGGCCTGATACTCAGGCTAACCGAGCAATGCACGTACTGACGTGACATAACAGATCTAAGAATGCTGATATGCGAGGAGGCACAATGGGCTAATATTTATTTAAGGTTTTCTATTTTAAAATTCTAATCTTGACACTTGGATCAATTATGGCGGCTTTGCGAGTGGCTCTGTTGTTTGCGCTCCTCTCAGGATGCTTTGCCGCAAAACTTGTTATGTTTCCCATGTTTGGACGAAGCCATTACATGGTTCTCAACAAACTGGGACAAGAACTGTCAGAGAGGGGCCATGAGGTATGTAAATGAGAGTACAAAATGATTTGTTGTAGTTTTCAGTAATAGCTCGATTATTATTTTACCAAGCCTTTGTTGTTGTCAACAAGCATACAAGCTTGAGGTCTTTAGTGCACTTTATGGTACAATCCTGTGATACCTCATGAAGCGTGATGAAGGGACATTGTGATCTGAGTAGAGCCAAGAAATGCTGAAGTCTACATTTTCTTCTTCGCGTTACTAACAGTCGAGAGTGTATACAGGATATTAAAAGGTAGTCCAAAAAGACTTAAAAGAAAAGTGGCCGTAATCGGCATAGCTCGGCATCGAAAGTAATTACTGACTGAAAAAGATAGACCGTTTTGGTACATTTAAAACAATTAAACTAATGACCTCTGTACATGCATATGCAGGCCCTACCCAGGACTAGAGATCAGTAATTGACCGTTTATAATCCTGGTTTATAATCTACAAAAACCATTGATTTCAAATCCTTGAATATATTTTGAAATGGAATCACGAAAGCATTCTTGTGGTCTGTTTTTGTCGTGCAGTTTTGGTTGTTTATAGTATAGTCCGTAAAGTAGTGATGGAGTGCTGATTCATGATGATTAATCATCAGTCTCTAGAGCAACTGGGTTCATACTAGCCAAGTAAGTAGATCTAAAGTTTGAGACTTACCATGATAAGCGTTCACATTTAGATTTCAAAGTATGCATGAAGCAATCGAGGTTGTCAATCAAGTTACGCGGTAAAATTTCGCACGCATGTAATAGCGTAATCACGATTTTAACTACTACACGCAGAAAACAACAACAAGGTACATCGTGCAACCTCGAAAGCTTCGTAATGCTTACCTTTTGTTTCTCATGATTTTTTTACTGCAACGACAGAGAGCTTTGCTATTTCAGCAATTATACCACTTTCTCATCACAGAGGAAGAATTTAGAGTGAGACGGACAAATGTTTCTCATGATCTTGGCCCAAATGAAACAGCAAAACGTGCAACGCTGATGAAAGAAAGAAGTAATCGAGTGAGCTGTGCGTGTCTTCAATCAAAAGGCATATTTCATTACAGTTTGATTGATGTTTCAATTTCCTGATCTTGTTTTGATAAAACGTAAGTAAACTATGACTTGAAACTTGAACACGCGATACCACGGCTACAATTAGAAATTAGACCCGTTCACATCTGGAGTACGCCTCAAGTATGCTTGAGGTATACTTACTAAGCTTAGTATGAACCCACCTGCAGCATACTAATTCATCTTGTATAATTGACATCGTGATCACTGTTTTCTAATGCGCTATTGTTTGCCTTAGTAAAAAAGACGGGGACCGTTTAAAGTCCCCTATTTCGACCTAATTTCCCGTAATTGTCATCGCGAGCGGGCGGCCATCTTGTAAATAAACAACAGATTTTCGTTGAAACTCGGTACGCTGTTGAAGTAAGTTAAAGACAATGAGAAAATGTAATAAAAAGAGGGGGTCAGTTAGCTTTTTGCGGTTCAATGCTAACGAATACGGCTATTTAGGCTCCTTTAGCAATCATGATCAATCATGATCAGCCGTGTGCACTCATACCGTTACCGTTATACACAGTTTTTTTTGGTCGCGTGACATGTCACATGACCATAATCAAACGCTAAGGCACAAGCTAAGAAGACCTCAAGATTTACTTGTGGAGAAAAATTTATCTTGCTCTACGTTTCTTGGTGAGAGATATTCTCAATGCTCCGACCACACCTTTGACCCAAGCCTTAAACCCCCTGAGTCGAGGGATAGCTAGCCCGCAACAAACCAAGATGACCTGCATTGCAATAAGGCTGCTTTTTGTTTTATCATCGTCTTGACAGATTATTCTATTTGTGGGAACAACGGCTAAATATGCCACAAACAATCCACATGTACGCTTCTTTAACGACAGCAAGACCTTTTCCGTGCATCATCCACCCACTTCAGGAAAGCAGAACACGCCGTTGAGTGCAAGAAAGCAACTTGCCATTCTTTTAACCATCCAGTCATCGTATTGCGATGAAATGCTTAGTGACGTGGAGCTAATGAAGGAAACTAATGATGCCGATCTCGTTGTCGGCGAACTGTGGTATCTCTGCTCAGCGTTAGTAGCGGACAAATTATCAGTACCTCATGTTTTAATATCTGCATCCACTTTGTCCACACCATCTTCGTTTGCAGTTGGTATACCCGCTCCGCTTGCCTATATACCTCAAATAAGCAACAATGATAATAGAATGTCGAATATCATTGACAGAGCCAGGAATGTACTACAATGGATATCACTGTATTGGTATTACTTGCAAGACTTTTGCCCACTTTATGGCAATATTAAAGCAAAATACAACATCACACCCAACAAAAGCATCCAGGAAACACTTGGAAGAGCTGATCTGATTATCGGTCAGATGCCGTTTGGATTAGAGCATCCGAGGCCTGTCCATCCAAGTAAGTAGTTTTTTTTCTCATTTCTTTTCACTTTCTCTGTACACCACAGTTTAAGAATCGCAATTTAGTTATTAGTCTAGGACCTAATCAAGTTTTGTGCCTTCTTCAACAAAACATGTGTCATTTATGAATGTCGCTTAGAATTCCCTGCAAGTAGAGCTGCGAAATCTGAGTAGAGAGCACGAAACGTGAAAGCAAAGAACGAAACTTGCAAGGCGAAGCACCAGATAGAGAGCGCAAAGTTCGACCTTCCGCGGCTAGGATCGTCTTTGACTTTGAGAATGTTTAAATGGCGCCCATTTGATTGATTTGAGCCAATTTTTGCCGTTAATTAAAACAGGTTGTGTCACGGAGGTCCTTGGAAACTTTATTTATGCATGTTCAACACCATCACGGTGGTGGTACAGGTCTGTGGACAGGGACTAAGCTGAGCTGATAATTTTCACTGGCCCTGGATTTCTGGGAGTCCAATTGTTTTCCACAACATTGCAGTCCCGTTGTTCGATCTCTTGGTGATTATAATAACATATCTTTTTCTTTAACATGTTCTTTGCTGTTTCATTATAGACACTCGGGTTGTTGGTCCATTCCTTCCCAGTCCAGCTAAGCCTCTACCAAAAGAGCTGGAGGAATTCATAGGAAAAGATGGTGACCAAGATGTTATCTTAGTTTCATTTGGTAGCATTTTGGGAGACATTGCAGGATTAAATGAATCACTCTTACAAAAAATGGCTGACGCTTTCTCTAAGCTTCCACAAAAAGTTATCTGGAAAATGAAGTTAGAAGGTATGTTCATTGAACCGAGGAATATCCTCATTCAGGAAAGGAAGAGTAATTACAGTGATCAGACGATTAACTAGCCTTGTTAGATCAGAGACCTTCTATTTTCTCTTTTTAGAAAAAAGATTAGCGGGCGGGATTAGCGGGATTAGAGGGCGGGTGTTGTAGATTTTTGACGGCGAAGTCGAGTGAAGGTTAAGAGCAAATACCCCGTAGCTTTTGCTCGGCGGCTCCGCCTCCAAGAACGTATCTAGGACATAATAATTCCACCAACTACGTACGCTATCTAGAGCTCGTCGAGCGCATGTATGAAAATAAAATCCGCGAGGGAATTGTTAAACGCTAGCGAAAGGGGGTGGGGTGGGCAACGCGCCCCCCATCTTGCCTTGCGTACAGCGATTTTAGAAAGAAAGCTCCATTAGCAAAGGTAAATCAAATGCTACTCACATGTGACAGCTGCAGAAGCGTAACATCTGATCACTTTTAAATTTCCCAGTAACTGTACGCATTTTTTTCTCAGCAGGCAAGCTACAGGTGTCAGTGAGTGACAATATCAAACTGATGTCATGGTTACCACAGAATGACATTCTCGGTCATCCTAAGACTCGTCTATTTATAGGCCACGCAGGACTGAATGGTATCCTTGAATCAACCTACCACGGAGTGCCAATGATTCTTGCACCTTTTTTTGGAGATCAATTTTACAATGCCAACACTATGAAGCAGTCAGGAGTTGCGGAGGTTGTAAACTTGTGGTCCATGTCGTCAGAAGAGTTCGTTAGTTTGATACAAAAGGTGTTAAGCGACCCTAGGTGAGTACATTGGGAACAACGTACATTATATAGCTGAATCCGCGAAATGAAGTGAAACCTGCATTCTGGTTGGCTAACCGAGCGCATCTTGCCCGCTCGCGATTCCGCGTTGGTCCTGCAAGTAAATATTCTCTTTTTCTGGCCGTATAATAAATCTTTTATTGACCAAGCGTGAAGTCAAGATGACTTGATATTGGCCTCGTTCTTTTTTGCGTTTTTTTTGATCGAGATGGACATAAAAACGCATAAAAGAACGAGGCCAGTATCCAGCCATCCTGACCTCACGCTTGGTCAATAAGGCATACCAAGAGCCATAATAATCGCTCCATGGAATGTTTACAATATTACAGTTTAATCGAGTAGAAGAGGTGGCTTGGTAAACTCAAGACGAATTTTCCCCAGAAATCAAATTCAACTTATGACAAAAAATGAAAGCAAACGTTAACGAAACCACGAGATTTCAATTAAACAGAACAGAGAAAACTTCAGAGAAAGCCTCACCTCGATGAACCGGGCCTCCATTGTCTGCACAAGTTCAGGAAGAGCTGCACAAGCTGCACAAGAAACCTTTTCCCCTAACTTGGCGAGTCGACAGGTGAAAACAAAGCTTTACTTTTCTCCACGGGCTGGAAAGCACAATTTAAACTTCCGGCGATTCCATATAACCCATTACGCTATTGTTTGCGAAAGGATTTTCAAACTGCGATTTGCAATTGATTTGCAATGTTTGAAAATTCTGTAATGATCAAACCTTTGCGCATACCGATTTCCTCGCATGAATGGATCCGTCAAAACCGTCAATCAAATTAAACTTAAATGGTTTCCTTACTGATTTTGTTGAGATCCTTTTCAATTTCGGTGAATAGTGGCTTTAGGAATATTAACCTCGCCGCGAATATTCAGGTTCTACTCACCTCGTGTTTAAAGGATAAGTAAGCTTACAAAGAGAGATGAAGTACAGAGCAGGAAAAGATGTTTCCCACATGGTGCCTGGTCATGTCCTTGAGAAAAAATACTCGAAACCTTTATAGGCTTTTTCCTTCCTCTTTCAAAAAAAAAAAAATACGTCCACACTGTCGCTTGTGCGGTCGTCTTTTTAGGACCGGCAGGTTTTGTGTTTAACGCTTGTCCGGGCTGCGATGCTACTTGTCCTCTTTCCAGTTGTTCCAACCAAAACATGAACCAAAACGATGGTCACGCGGTCGCTTTAACTGTATTTGTACGGTTGCTTGTAAAGGACCCGTTTGTGTACAAGTTTTAAACACTTTCTGTGGTAGGTTCTTCGTTGAAGTAGGACATTTTAATCAACTCAAAGTCCCTCCACTTGGATTTTTTGACTCCGCCTCGCTTCCGGAAGTCAACCAGTTTACCGTAAACTATTTCCGCATGGTCCGCATAGTTCTAAAAATAACTTTTTTGACATTAAGATGTTCCAAAAGCGTGACTCGGAGACTCCCTCTGTGTCCTATTATGGCTCTTGTGCATACGTATAGTCAACAACTGTTGAACAAGCCTGCCTTGGATGTGAGATGGTAGATTTGTTTTCTTGGTATTTTCATGTAAATTCGTGTATTTTGCGAGGTCTGTTCATAGAATCCTCACTCGTGGTAAACCCTGTGCCTCTCTTACGGTTTCCCAAAAATTGCATTTTCTAGCAGTTTTAGAACGACAACAACTTACTTCGGTCTCTCCGTGAAAAACGTTTCAGTTCAGGTGACTCGTACACGGCTTACTATATTTGTAGAGCATGACCCATCTAGCATAATTAATGACTCAGCCAATCAAACCTCTAGAATTGCGATATTCGGTGATTTAGCTTTTAATATTTATGGAAATTGCCACTCAGGCTGTCATACACACAATGATTGCATTGCTTTTTCTTCGTAAGTAAACCCACACCACGGTAGGCTTAGCCACAAGTTGCTCGGCAACTTTTAAATTCTTGGCAACTTTTGATTTTTTTAGCATTTTTAAAATTATTTTTTACTTTTTCGCCACATTTATTAGCTTTCGAAAGAAAAGTCAGCTAAATTCAACTGGTTTATACTACTGTGTGAGTGTGTGAACTCCAGAAATGGCCCTACTACCAATGACAGCTTTGTGTTGCACGCCTGGCCATGAGGTCAGCGGTATCACATGACACGTTTTTCAAGATGGCGGAAAAATAGACCGTGTCACGGTTTTCGAACCCATTTTGACGAACAGGCAAAGGTGTGAGAAATTACAGTGTTTGTATGAGAATCTAATGTCGAATAATTTCCGTAAAACGGCTGTTCTGAAAAAAATATGAATTTTAAACTAAAGCTACACAGCAAGGGATTTTACTAACAAACTTTGGGGGCCGTTACTGTGCGTAAATTTCTCCAGAAGCTCGTTTTAGATTTTCCATATATTTGTGTGCAATTTTTCCCCTGGAAATTTTTACAGAGAAATGTATAGAAAATTTAAAAAAAAGGTTCTAGATCTTCTAGCGCATGTGACGCCCTCAAACGTTTTCAGAAGAATCCTTAAGAGTGAAGCTTTTGTTTACAATTCATATTTTTTTCAAAGCAGCCGTTTCTCACGCGTTTGCCTACTCGTCAAGATGGCGTCGAAAACCGTGACAAGGTCAATACTGTCAGAGATTCAGATTCCAGCTGGGACGAACGCGCCGATGAAGGCCCGATTAATCCTATTGAGGAAGCTAAAAGGCTGGGGACAAATCTCGCTACCACCGAAAAAGCTAAAATAACAGATATTAGAGAAAGAAAAATCCAGACGAATTCGGCGGATAAAACCGCAATAAAACCAATTTCAAGTGCAATCAAGTCGAAAAAAAAACAGCAACTATTCGGCAAATTTTTGGCAACTTTAAAAATAAAATAGCGACTTTTTAGCAACTTTTGGACACTTTTATCGGCAACTTTTGGGAATTTATCGGCAATTTGTGGCTAAGCCTACATCACGGTAAATACAGTATATCAAACTGAATCATTCAAAAAACATTAAACAATTCAGTTTGACGATGTTAGAGAAGGACCCGTGATGAGATCTTTGCAATCTGATAGCGTTTTGTGAAAGTGTTTTACGACTATCTTTCTTTTAGTTATCACGAGATGGCAAAAGGAATATCCAACTCGGTTAAGCGTCTGCCGCGCCCACCTGTAAAAGAAGCCGCTGACTGGATGGAGTACACGCTGGCTCTGGGTGGCTTACCGTTCCTCAGACCTCGAGGACTGGACCTACCCTTTTATCAGCTGTATCTTCTGGATATTTTGTTGGTGGCATTTATTATCTTGTTATTAACAGTGCTTGCTGTCATGTTCTCGTTAAAAGCAGTTATTAATCATTTTTTGGCACCAGTCACAAAAGAGAAGTCAAGTTAAAAAGAGAACACTTTAAAGCTTTATATAGCCATCAATTAGACTGTTACAGTGATTTCTATAAAGTAGTAAACTTTTTGAGAACTGTTTTTAATTGAACTTCTTAGCTTGCAAAGCAAATGATTGTAGGAAGGTGATCAAAACAAATATAGAAGGAATCATCTTGACTAGGGGCGAAGAATTGAGGGCTAAGTGCTTGAAGCTTACCACTGTCTGCAGACTAGCCTGAGTCGCAGACGTAATCTGACCTCAGTCGCTGGCATGAGCTACGTCTGCGAAGCTTCTCGGAGATCTTTGTTTTAGGCTCCCAACGGATTAAACGCTGCGTGTTTTGAATTTCCTTTAAAAAACGTGATGGCAAATCGACAATGGCTTTTTCAACAGGCCAATCATAGCGCGTACTCAAATCCTGGTTCACAGGCTGAGGCCCAGAGCGTACAAAGATTTCGGCTCTAGCTCGCAGACCGGCGGACTTAAATAGAGGTTTGAGTTTCGACGGTGGCACAGGCTACGGCAATCAAACCATACTTATACAGGGACAGTTTATCCAGCACTTGTCTGGTTGTATTACATTAGTGATTAAATACAGATAACGGAATAATGCAAATATAAGACAGGGTGATAAAGACACCAAAGTTCTTTTGATTCGTGGGATCATGGTGGGTCCTATGCTTCTGGTGCGATAAACTTGTTAAGTGAAAGCTAAGTTTTTCCCCGTCCACAGAGGTCCTTTGATAGTGCCCCTGCATAAGGTGTGGTAACATGAATGTTACTCTAGAAGATACTGGGGATCATAACTGGAAAGACGACACATTTAATTTTGTCATACATTTATGAGCCGACAGTCATCTCTGTCTATAAAACCTTTGCAGTTTTCAGTAGAAATTGATGCAATCATTCCTTTATACATTAATAAAATCGAGAACCTAGAGGTTTGCTTGTGCCTGTTTCCTGATGTAGACCAACTTTTCTTTGAACACTTTAGTAATCTCTATAGTGAAGTAACCAGTCTGGTTTTTAAAAAAAGCTCTAAGTTAGTAAGACTTTGCAAAAAACGAACTGAAAATCGAAGATCTACATCAGACAGTTTTTAAAAGTCAAATAAATTTTATATTATTTATCAATCTTGAGGTTCAGAAATGAATAATATATTTCTTTCGTTTTATTCACGGCCAAGCCTCGTAGCCAAGTATGAATTTTAATATATCGAAATTGGTCTATTTTGATCATGCGTTCTTGTGCAATCACAGGACGATGAAGTTTTGTTTAACAGGTGGATTTCCAGAAGAAGAAAAAGTGGAAAAATAAGCGAAGAATAGTTCTAACGTATTTAAGTCATTTTAGGACTCCACAGGACACCTGCACTGTTTCCAAACCACCAAACAGGCAAGCTGAAAGCCAGGGGTTTCTTCTCGTACCATTACATTTTAAATTCGGTCACAGCGCGAAGCGCTGGGCCTCAAATAAAATAGAGAAATCAGTCCACCAATTCGTCCCACGGGATTATCATCCAATCAGAAAGGAGTATGGGGCCTACTGTTATTTGCCAGCTCACGAATATCCAGCCGCGTCTCCACCGAGCTTTGGCTGCTGGATTTTTGGGTGATTACGTGGATACAGAGAATTATCTCTGAGATAAATGAATTTTTCCGCTGAGCATTAGCCATGGAAGGTAAATGCAAGTTTAATCCCTAGCCTTGGTAGCTGGTGCAAAAAGGATGAGAGGAGGGGGAAAAAAACGCGAAAGGAAAAAGAGTAACCAGACAAAATAGTCGACATTTTGTGACGCTATCAGTGGTTTCCGGGCGAAATGACGTCTGAGAGACGAGCGCAGAAATTCTGCACTGATGACGAGTCACTTACCCAGATGTGGGTAGTCCTTTTGATCGGCCGTGTGTTTGTCGGGTAGGAAATTTGCTTCAACCAATCAGAAGCACTACCCAGATCTGGGTAGTGACGCGTCCTCAGTGTGGAATTTCTGCGTTCGTTTCTCAGACGCCATTTCGAGGGGAAACCACTGTTGGCGTCACAAAATGTCGGCTGTTTTCTCAGGCTAGGAAAAGGGAAGGGGGTCTATTTCCTTCTCTTCCAATACCCTCTCCCTTTTTCTCTCGACGCCTGACACGCAGGCTTTTTGAGCTCTGAGTCATTCCCCACGCAGCACAATATTTGTATTAAGATTTTATTTCCACCATAAAATACGTCTGGTTTTAAAACTACATGCATATTTCTTAAACTAGTTTTCAAGGGATTTTAATAATGTTGTAACTAGTTTAAAACACCGAAGTGCCTCCTCAAACGTTTTCTAATTTCTTGAAACGAATAGCTTCCAAAATATCGTTAAAACATTAACATATAGTGATAACGTGCAATTATAGCATGCGGAATATCTTACTTAAGACACATTTTCACTATTTCAGTCATACTGACTCATTATTACTAATCCATCTTGTAGGGCCTTGTCTTTTCTCTTCCGGTTCCCGATGTTCTCATAACAATTCCAACAACACATTTAGTAAGAAAATATTTCAAACTTAATAATATGAACAGAGTAATTAATAGTAGAACTAACAGGATGTCAAGCAAGTAAAGCTTGTAGAAAGGTAAGTCCAAACCCCGCATGCGGAGGTGCTGTAAACCACCCACAGCCTGCGTGTATTCTATCCAGTCAGCGGTTTCTTGCAGAGGAGAACGAGGTAAAAGCTTGATGAACTCAGACAGACGAGCTGCGGACTCACGGTAACTACAAGTAAACAACGGTTCGAGAAGTAAATGAAACAACGTATAAATAAATAACTAGCCAGCTTAATACATTGTAAATAATAAGAGAGGAAAGGATATAGGAGAAGACTGAGAGGTATAACAAGCAAGAGAACGAACGGACGAAAGAATGGTATGTCATAAATTCGTCAAAAGAAGGATAGGAGACATCACACTTGTGCACTTTCTAGAACAGCCAATAAGGATTCTTCTTCTACTACCCAGAAAAACAACTACGGTGTCAATCGGTAACCTATACTACCTCAGCCTCAACAAGACAGTGGAAATTTAAGTATCCGTCATGATCAGTTATGGATAATACTTACAAACGAGTTACCGTACTTGTGGTCTCTGATTTAAGTAATTTGATTTTAAGATTAACGCCGCCCTCGCATAAACGCCGCACCAGAACTGACAAAATTTAAAAAAACGCCGCGGTGTTTAATCCATTCGACTAAATAAGGTACACCCTAACTGACAATGTTGATGTAGTAGATCTCATACTGTCATCAGAAGATTACTACTTACTTACCTTTGGTTTGCCAAAACTCGGCCAATAACATCCACTAGCTGGTCTACTGTGATTGTGTCCAAGTCGACAATCTCTGCAAATCCCTTAGCTTTTGCCTCGTGCGCGTTGTCGTACTGGTCCCCAAAGAACGGCGCGCAGATCATAGGGACGCCGTGAAAAACTGCCTCCAATACACCGTGTACACCGCCGTGGTTGATAAAGAGCCTGGTGCTGCTGTGACCGAGGATGTCGTTTTGCGGTAACCATGATGCCACCTTAACGTTGTCGCTTAAAGAAACCTGTGTTTTCTCTTGTAAGACAAAATCATAGATATAGCCAATAAACATGCTTTGTGGAAGAGGGAATTATCAATGGCAATACGTATGCATCAGAAAGAGAAAACAAGAGGCGCGATCAGTACAAGATTCTGAGAAACTACCCACCCACCTACCCATTCCCTAACCCCTAAAAGAGAAGTTAGTATTAAAGTTGGGTTAGGGGAGGGATGAGTGAGCAGTATGTCGAAATCTTATGCTGCCCATCTAGCACTCCCCCCCCCCCCCTTTTTTTTTTTCTTAAAAAAAATTTTGGTTTTAAAAAACTTGAATTTTTGGGGGGGGGTGTGGGGAAAAACTAAAAAATTTGAAACTTTCAAAAAAAACATTCAAAAAAACCTTTAAAAAATTTAAAAATAAACAAAAAATCTAGCCCCCCCCCCCCCCCCCCATTTTTTTTTCCTACAAGAGAAGTTAGTGTTAACAAAACGTTGAATTTGGTGAGGGGTGGTTGAGCAATATACTAAAATCGTATACTTCTCAAAGAAACTTCTAAAGGAACCTTTCGAAATTTTAACAATAGCTAAAACAACTGGCTTAAAAACCTAACTCGTACCATTATTTACGGTTTTCTTGCACGGATGATGCGAAAGGTCGTAACAATAATTTGCGCACAAAAGTTTTTGATTCAGCAGAACGTCCTTAATTACCGTGTCTACGCAACTTGTAACGATTCTGTCATGACATTTAGATACTTGTCTTTTTGGGAATAATCGGCGAGTAAAATATCTGTTGCGCTCTCCACGAAGAACTTGGGATCATTTATAGTGTTAAATTATACTCGAGGGTTTCCCCTTCTGATTTTGCATAACGCATAAAATACCCTTTTGAAGTTTCCATAAAACCTTTTGAGGCACTCTGGACAAGGCATTTGCCAGCAACGCCAGTTTTTTCTCTTCAACATTTCCCAATATGGTTCCAAATGATACGAGAATGACACCCTCGTCCCCGGTATTCTGCATAAACTCTTCAAATTCGGCGGGCAATGGCTTGGCAGGTGCTGCTACAAGTGGACCCACAACTTTAGTATCTAGGAAAGTGAAAGAGGAGTGGCTTTACAACCTAACGAATTATCGGTTACAGTTTGAGAATTAAATAAATATTTAAACTACACATTTGTTAAGTTTTTGGACAACGTTGCAATCGAGCAGTTCTCCTCAATGGCGTCTGCAAGTTGGCCGGAGGTCTGCCATTACCTAGGGGAACTAAAGAATTGAGAAATAAATTCTCACACGAGGGCCCCAGTGCTTCTACACTTACTCTAACTCTCTAACTCTTACTCTCTCCATAAAATACAGTCGCCATGTCATAATGAAATTATCACAAATTGTGTAATGCCCAGAATGTCGATGGTGCATTTCAAAGGAAATCAAATAAATTTTCTACAAAGCAGCTCCTATACCCCCCTTACCATTCCCTGTACCTGCCTGCGTGACAGGTGTGTGAAGGTGAAATCCAGGTGCGCCTCCTTGCGTTCCTGGGCGCGCAGCCGATTTCTCCCCTCCCGCCGACGCGTATTCTAATCTTTACGGATTACAAGCATTTAAAACATGTAAAGAGAACAACTTTATCTAAGAAAGTCTGCATGGGAGGCTACAAAACGCTAAGTAATCTGTGGTTTCAAATATTTTTTGAAGAGATTTATAGAAAAATCGTGCAAAGGATTTCGAATTAATAATAATAATAACAATAATAATAATAATCAAATCCTTTCTCCATCCAAACTACAAGGTAGGTAGTCCTTGTAGGTGTTCAAGTGATGGTATGGACTACATATTTATCTGGTAATTATGACAAGGATATATTTTCAGTTTTTGCTCCCCTCATTCTTCCAAAGGATCAGTAGCCCGTTCGAGAACTTCGTATAAAGTTAGCTTTGAGGCTAATCCAATTCCTTAGTAAAAGAACCTAACATAGATTGTAGATGAAACTTGGTACACTGATGTAACAAGTCGAGAAGATGATAAAAAAGTAATAAAAATTGGGGGTCACCGTGCTTCTTTTGACGTCACAATGCTGACAAATACGGCTATTTGGGACCCTTTGTCTAGTTTCGCGCGCAGCCCAGAACTAGACAAAAAGGAGAGATTTTTTCGATGATGCATGGGGTAACGCACAGAATTTGAATTTAGTGTATTTTTTATCCGGTCACGTTCAAGAAAAATGCCTTTTAATGCCCTTGTTTTCACTTAATGCTTCAAAGTAGAATTAAATTGGACACGCGCTATTCGACCCGTGATAGCTCAATCCGTACAATTTAGTAAAATTGCCAAAAAACTGAACATAGATTTGTGCCAATTTTTTTCTCATCGAAAAGGAAGGACTGTCCTTATTAAAATCATGAAATAAAAAATGGGGTTCACCGTACTCGTTTTTGTGGTAGAGCTGCAGAAAGTGCGCACCAAATGCATTTTCCCTCATTTTTGAGAGAGGACTGGAGCGAGTTTCAAAATGGCATGTATGTGAAAAGGGAAAGAAAGTATTAAAAAATCCGTTTTTACAAAATTTACATCGAGATAGATCGTTTAGGACACAATGTGATATAAAAAGCGTTTAAATGAAAATCAAAGGGGGTAAGCACAAGTTTAACATCCCCTATCGAGGTTCTCCGTGAGGACGTCGAACTCAGCAACACGCGTACTGCTTACGTTTTGCACATTCCCGGCACGTTGAGTCTCACCTCGGCAAGAAAAAAGCGCAAGCAAATATTCCAATAGCATTTCTCTTCAATCGACTTCATTTTAATAGGGTTACTTCAAATGCTCTTTTTTACGGCGGCCATCTTGTTATGCGCAGTGAGAGATGCGCAGTGCAAAACCAGTGAATCACCTTAAGAAATTTGAAGGCCCTCTATATACTAGTAAAACACATACATACGTACTAGGTAAGAGAGGTCTTGGATACTCTAGAATAAAGGGCTTCTGTGATATGATCAAATCAACCGTGCCAAGTACTTCATAAGTACTTCTATTTGGTGCAACATTATACCTCTTCTTTAGATCATTAAATTGAGGAACCATGCCATGATGAAATGCCCAGTAGACAAGAATCCAGTGATAAAGGTTTTTCACTCGATGAATAACAGTCATTTCATCTGTTAAGGTTGACTTGAACTGGGGGACGAAAGAGGGTGGTAACGGTACACCAAAGGCATGCATTGTGGGAAGGCTGAGAGTTTCTAAGAGAATGACGACATGTGGCAGGGAGAATTTGCTAGCAACCAAAGATGAGCACATGTATAATCCACTACCGATGATGAGCGAAGCAGTTTGTACCTCGTTTAAGATATCTTTGTTATTTAAAACACCCTCGCAGTAAAGGGCTTTCAACTGTGCAACATTTGCCATCTCTGTTATCACATCAAGACCTTTCTTTGGCCCACGGCGAGTCAACATGATCTGAAAAAACACTTCAGGTGTTTTGAACATCCGGACATATCTATGACTTGCAGCATACCTCTCAGTGTCCCCTACAAGTATTTGAACCTGTAGGAAAAGAATACAACTCTTTTCAACAAATGTTAGTTTAGAAGCTCTAAGGAGGTCAAAGTAGTACCACACTTTATTTCATGAAGACTGCTTGATAGAATACCGCATCCTGACCAAACAGCATTTTTCAAGGACTGCAGAATTGAATATTGGTGAACAGGTGAAATTTAGGCTCAGTATCAGGCATTTCTGAGGGAAAAAGAGGATAAACAGGAGGAGAGAGTGAAAAGAGGAGATGTCTGATATTCAGGGGGAACATTAAAGGAAGGAACTTTGAATTTCATTTAATTAAGGAATATCAACTTGCGCCATCCTATATCTGCAATCCAGTTAGAGAAAAGGAGAAATGTAAACATCAGCTACGTTCTTCTGAAGAACTATTGTTGCTGTTACTATTATTAGAGCGGTTTTCATTTGAGTGTCGAAAAGTAATTGGTTTTGCACTTTCTACACGATGCGATTGGCTTAAAAGATTTGCGCCACCTTTTCATCCAATCAGAAGTAAAACCAAAGCCAATTGTGACGCGCTCGCATGCATTTTGCCGCGCTTTGCGTCAGCCACATGTAATTACTTCGAGTTTTGATTGGTTCAATGTATTGTCTGTGTCCTATGTGATTGGCCAGAGTAATTACTTTGGTTTTGGTTTTACGACACTCAAACGAAAACCACTCTATTAATATTATTAAGGAACAAGTAAACATGACGCTCTGCCCCCACTCCCCTACTGCTGGAAGGTCTTCAACCAGCCCAACCACACCACCTTCAAAATGTTAATATTTACTGCTAAGTTTACAAGACAATATAACCAGCCAAATATGCAAATTTCAGCGAGCAGGTACAAAACTCGGACCGGATCTGAACAATGCACTAACAATGGAAACTATTGTCTGTTAAGTATGTAAATGAAGTGACACTGCGAGTCCGAGTTTTCTACCTGCCTAATTTCAACGCTCGTACCTATACCCACGGCTACTTTTAAATTTATATGTTGAAAGATCTGTTGATTTCACTAAACTTCATCATGGTACCGGTAGGATATGGAAAGTCTTTATGTTTAGTCTTATATTTTTAAAAACCTCTATGCAATACATCGCTTAACATTTCTGCCCCAAGTTCATAACGTCACGCTTGCAGCTTCACGCTTTACATGAAGAATATTTACCAATAAATACTTCCAAAATACATTTTAAGTGGAAGAAATGAAAAAAAATCATATAAAACATGTAAAATATCCGAGTTTTTCAGATCTGTACTGTTCAATTTCCTCTGACATAACATACCGACTTTCTTTTCTGACAAAACTAACAGTCATACCTCGTATCCTCTATCTGTTAGCACCTCAGCGAGTCTTTCAAATACTAGAAAATGACTTTTGCCAATAGCAGGAAGCATTACAATCGTAGCTCCTTCACTACACCCTAACATGGAGAACAGGAGGAGAATAATCAAGAGAGCGGACATTTTTTCGCCATGAATGAGCCAGCGATGGACGAATGTCACGAAAGTCAGTAGGGGTCACACAATTGCCTAGCCACAGGACAACCAATCGTGTCGTTGGAACCAGCTTCAACAAAGTTTGCGTGTTTAAATTTCGAAAAGATATATTTTTCAATCGCAAAAAACGCGAAATTAAAGACCCGTTAAATTAAGGACCAATCGGGAGTACATAGTTTGCTGTAAACCTGTCGTGCGCTTTCCGCTTCATATTATAACTCTACACACAGCTGTTTGTCTTATAAGATGAGGTGAAGTGAACCAATTATAATCAGTCACTTCTTCTAGTCTTTGTTTACTTATAGCAAATATTATGTAGCGCCTTTTGCAGTTTGCCTCATGTTATCAAGGGTGGAACTTGCAGGATGTCTAATACAAGGAAAGGAAAGTCAGGAACGGGGAATGAGGAACGATCACGTAGAAAAGGAAAACATTATAAAATATGGGAACAAATAAAAATAGAAAATCGGCAATGGGGCTTTTGATAGTCTGGGGATAAGGGATTAAGAAAGGTTTTGTTCTCATTTTCCCTTCCTCAGTTCCCTGTTTCCCGTTTCCCATTTCCCGTTTCCCGTTCCCGTTCCCGTTCTCATTTTCCTTTCCTCCTTTTAGTTAAAATAAAATTATCCGATCTTGCGGATATTGTTTTTTTCAAAGACAAATGAAACTAATTTGTGTAAACAGAAATTTGGGTTTTTCCATGCGAGGTGACGTTTTTGTTTTCCTTTGTGACTGTCGACAAACAAGATGCAGGTGGGGCGAGATAAAGGATAAAGGAGCATCTTTTATTTTTAAACTCAATTATTTTTTATCCAAAGGGCCAGGAGACCTCAGGGTTACAAGTTTCAGTATGGAATCGTTCACAAACACCAGCCTTGATCGTCAAACGAAAGGTAAGAATTTTTAATCAAAAGGTCATTTTCAGTAATTTTTTTTTCAAATGTATTGACTATTTTCTGTGAAATCATTAAGTACCAGATAAACAAAGGGCTTGAAAAACTTTAAAAAAGGGTTTTATGATCAAGGGAATAGATTAGAAGACGCTATGGCTGTTAAGGGCCAAAAGATTAAAACCACTTCTGGCTATACATTGTACGTATTTGTATGTCTATAAGCTATGCCGCGTTGCGTGGACCTCTGCATTCAAACAGTCAACTCTATATAGTCGAGAAGCAGATTTCTATAAGAGGCCCAAAAAATGGGTTACGCAGCACCCCCACCACACAAAAGGTTTGACAACAGATTCAGATAGCCAAATACCCACAGATCACTTATTCGACATTCGGATCTACAGATTGTGGGGTCAGTGACTTGGTACGCTGCGATTTTTTGAGGGTGGTGGGGAGGTATTTTGAAGCATCAAATTTCAGCATTTTCGTATAGGGTCTAAACTTTGAAAAATCATATCTTTTTACTTAATCAGGCAAATGGGTTAGTATTTGGCCGACGCGTGTTAATAATAATAATAACGGATGTTTTGACTTCCGCGACAAATATACATTGCCGATATACTTAGAATGTGCTTACAATTGATATTTACTAATTCTCGAGAACCGTTTGTATAAGATTTTTACAAATTTACAAATCAAGCCATTTCATTGTCTTGTAACGAATCATGAGAGTTGTCATAATTGCCTCTACACCCAATTTTCCTATTGGTACCAATTAAAACCTTTGAAAAATCATATCTTAAAGACTAAATATTGTTCAACGATGAAACTATGGAAAGTCGTGTAACTTTGTAAGCTCTTTCATTTTAAAACATTTTCGCGAAATGATCCTTGTTTCCATGGCAACGGTTGCTAAGATGCTTTTTTTGTATGCAATACCCCTTTTAAAGGAGATCGAACAGAGATATGGGCTAAATAAGCAATTTAAAACAAAAGTTAATAGAAAAATGAAATAAGTTTTTTTACCGGTTTGAGGGATGCTGAATGACTCCCTTAAACTTTTTCCTCGTATGCCTAAAGATACAGTCATTTGGCTAAAATGTAATACAGTATCAACACAAACAATTCTTTATAGGTATTTTTTTTTCGCGTGTGTCTAGAAATGTTCATAACTGCAGAATCTTTAGTAAAGATCTTGGATACAAATACATATATTTTGTAAATAATACATATTTTTTGAAACGGTGTTGTTGTATTTGACGTTATTATTATCTCTGTGTTTTGAGAGGGTGTTTGCTTAGTTTCATTAGTATTGTACTGAAAATTTAATACAAAATCATTATTGAAATACATAATTTTTTAGTTGCTTAGATTTTGTATTGTTTGCAGTAAAGCTCTTAAAGCTTTTACAATCAACTTTTATGTGGGTTATTTTTTCCGTAAATCCTCTTAAGGTGATTCCCTAGTTTTGCACTGCGCATCTCTTACTCCGCATAACAAGATGGCCGCCGTAAAAAGAGGATGTAAAGTAACGTTATTGAAATGAAGTTGACTGAAGAGAAACGCTACTGGAATTTTTAGTTGCGGTTGTTTCTTGCCGAGGTGGGACTCAGTGTATTGGGAGTACGCGTGTTGCTGAGTTCGACTTCCTCACGGAGAACCTCGATAGTGGATGTTTAACTTGTGCTTACTCTCGTGACTTAGATTTTCATTTAAACGCTTTCTTTATTACATTGTGTCCTAAATGTAATATCTCGATGGAAATTCTGTAAAAAACGGATTTTTTAATACTTTCTTCCTCCTTTCACACACATTCTATTTTGAAACTCGCCCCAGTCCCCTCTCAAAAATCGGAGGAAAATGTATTTGGTGCGCACTTTCTGCAGCTCTACCGCAAAAACGAGTACGGTGACCCCCATTTTTTATTTCATGATTTTAATAAGGACAGTGCTTCCTTTCGATAAGAAAAAAATTGGCACAAATCTATGTTCAGTTTTTTGGCAATTTTACTAAATTGTACGGAGCTATCACGGGTCGAATAGCGCGTGTTCAATTCAATTCTACTTTGGAGCGTAAAGTAAAAACAGGAGCATTAAAAGGCATTTTTCTGGTATGTAAGTGGATAAACAATACAATAAAGTAAAATTCTGTTCGATACCACATGCATCATCGAAAAAAATCTCTCCTTTTTGTCTAGTTTTAGGCTGCGCGCGGTTTTTGTCAAAGGGTCCAAAATAGCCGTATNTTTGGTGCGCACTTTCTGCAGCTCTACCGCAAAAACGAGTACGGTGACCCCCATTTTTTATTTCATGATTTTAATAAGGACAGTGCTTCCTTTCGATAAGAAAAAAATTGGCACAAATCTATGTTCAGTTTTTTGGCAATTTTACTAAATTGTACGGAGCTATCACGGGTCGAATAGCGCGTGTTCAATTCAATTCTACTTTGGAGCGTAAAGTAAAAACAGGAGCATTAAAAGGCATTTTTCTGGTATGTAAGTGGATAAACAATACAATAAAGTAAAATTCTGTTCGATACCACATGCATCATCGAAAAAAATCTCTCCTTTTTGTCTAGTTTTAGGCTGCGCGCGGTTTTTGTCAAAGGGTCCAAAATAGCCGTATTTGTCAGCATTGTGCCGTCAAAACAAGCACGGTGACCCCCACTTTTTATTGCTTTTTTATCATCTTCTTGACTTGTTACATCAGTGTACCAAGTTTCATCTACAATCTATGTTAGGTTCTTTTACTATGGAATCACCTTAAGCTGATTTCTTATCCATGCCCCCTTTTCATTCCCACGATGCCTTTGATGCATATCCCGAATTACTTTGCAAGTAGCATCCGCCATCTTAACTGCGGGAATGATTAGATCTTCAAAAGGTAAGAATTATTTGTTTTTTGCTTCCATTTTGCTACTTTTAATCGCGTTAAACACTTATTTTTTTTATTGTTGACGTGCTAACTGTAGGTTAAAAGATTTTTCATAGTTGATTGAGAAAACGGAGCTCATGAACTAAAGAAAATTATATTTTATAATCTCTGTAAGTTCTTTCTGAAAATCGAAAACAATAGTCCTTGTTTTTTTAACCAATACAATATAAACTGAACCATTGATCTTTAAAATCTGTAATTTGATTATAAATTGTAAAGCAATTACCTTTTTTAGATATACATATACTGTATATATAGAGAATTTCCCAATCACTTGAAAACTTTTTGTCGGTAAAATTGTGATAGATAGTTTTCCTCCTTTAACCCATTCGCTCCTGGAGATTTTGCCGAAAAACGCGTTTTGAAGCTAGTCGAGTGGTTTTCTGGTCACTGTCGTGCTATAAAGAGTTTAAACTTACCACAAACCGGTTTACAGGTCGTACACTTCATGGCCTTCTGATCCAGATGCAAAATATCAGCTTGCGAAGTTCGGACATGCGCAGAAAGCAAAATTTCGAGGTAGTTTTTGGGTTTAAAAGTGATACAGCAGTCTTGACTTTTACTTTTCGCTTTCTCTCCTCTCCTCTTTTTTCGCTTTTCTTGCCTCATTTTTTTTTTCTCTTGCTGGGCATTTAGTAGGCTTCATTTTGGTGGGAATAGTTTTTAGGAAAGCTTTTAGGATCTTAGGATTAGGTGAAAGGAAAGGTAGGTGGGGAATGGAACAAGATTTTCATGGAGATTTTCAGGTCAATGTTACATGGTTTTTTGCCTCTTTCTCCGGTATCCTTGACTGAATTGTGCTCATTCTGGTATGGTTTGAAAGATCTCTTCACTCTGCACAAGTTAGCGGACAAAGTTGTCCTTGACCGTTAAAACTGATGACGTCACAAAGGGTAGAAAGGACGTGGATCCGCACGGGCGGTTACGGGCGGTTCAGGGGCGAATGGGTTAAAATATTAGATATGGCGGATTCTGAAGATGAGCCACAAGAAGCTAAGAAGGCAAAAGTAGACAGGACTTCCAGGTCCACTTATGAAAGAGTAGACTGGTCAATATGTATATTTTGCCAAAAAAAGAAGTACAAAGGCGTAAAAGGGCTTATAAGTGTTGCCAGCTTTGATTCTTGTCAAGCGATTGTAGATGC